TGTTTCATAAACTATGTGATTAATGTAACCGCTGTCCTTGTAACTTGTTATCTCGCTTTTGTGTCGTCTCTGCTCTCTCTTTAGTCTGTAGTCCTCTAGGCTTTTTTCAAACTGGCTGATAACTCCCAGATCTCCTTTGTGGGGGCATTCTCGGAATGTGTGGCCTATCTTTTGGCATCCCCAACAATGGATCGAGGATGTTTTGTCACTTTCTTCTTCGATGTTGAATGCTTCTTCGGCGGCACTCATGCATGCTAGCATTGTTAGGGCAGCTTGTGGGCAGTATAGTTTACTGTCTGATGTCGGGACCAACAATTGTCTTCCTTGTCCGTCGGTGACTCGAACATTTCGCTCTGGTGCTGGAGGGGTTGTCAATGCGGTGTGGAAGGTTCCGTCGGTCGCAATCTTTGGAGTTTGGAAGGAGCAGTTGTCTTGGAATTCTTGGAATCCTTGTTGGTGGAATCCCGCAAAAGCTCTTCCTCCTGGTCTCGTTGGTGCAGATGGTCCTGGAACGCAGCTTCTGTTTGGTCTGACTAGTCCCGCGCTGTTTGCAATTCCCACGAGTTGCTTGATGCGCTTCTCTTCCTTCTCTGCTCGTTCGCGTAGGCGGTGCATTCGAGACAGGTTGCTGGGGTAGTCCATAAGCAGTGGTCCTGCTGCTCCTGTCTCTAGGTGTTCAGCCACAACGTCCTTGATTTCTTGTGTGAAGGCTTGGAACACTACTCCTGCCAAGTCTGATAGGTTGGTTGGCGGGGGATTCTCGTGGCTGAACCCATTTAGAATCGTGGCAATTCTGCCAAATAAAGTAGCCACGCTGTCATAAATCATCGTGCCTCCTTCGTATCGGATCATGTTGAGTTTTGCCAGTTGTTGGTTTGGCGTCTCCATTCCTTGTTGTAGTCCGACGTAGGTGGCCATGAGTGCTTGTTCGAGCGCTTGGAATTGGGTCTTTGCGATCTGTTGCTTGGACCACTTTTCGTAGACGTCGTTATCGGGCTCTCCGTCTCTGGTTGCAGCTCTCATCGAGAACTCTTCTCCTAGTGCTGCCATTGCTGCGATGATTTCCTTGTGATGTGCTTGGTCCATTACCATTTGGCGAGTGATGGATACGTCCATCTGGTTCTGGACTCTTGGCACTGGAACGTATACAGCTCTGTTGGAAGATGGTGGGAACTTTGTTGGGTCGATTCCAATGTCAGTTCGTAGGGAACACAGCCGTGGGACCAATCGGAGCTCGACTCGGAAGTATGTGGCAGCGGCTCTAAATGGTGCTGGAAGTCCTGGTCCCGGTCCTGTAGCAATTGCTTGTCCCATGTTGTCGATGACGTGCAGGCTTGTGAATTCGTACACGTCACTAGTCACGTCGAACAATTCGCTGGTGGCGGCGTTGACTCGCGAGCGAACGTCTGGGCAGACTGATGTGTAGCGTTTCATCAAGAAATCCACCTTGTGTTCCATTGTTGTCTTTGTCTGCTTGATGGAGTTCACAGACTGTTGTAGGATCGCTTGCTTGATTTCCGGAGACTCTGTGGTTGGAGCTAGGACGGCAGTATCGATGGTATACTGGTTGTAGGTGATGGTTTTGTCCACGTGGCTTCCGTTGACCCAATACGATTTCTCGTTGATGCGATCGCTCCTTTTTTCATTTTTTTCATATTTGTGATGCGACGCGGCAGTCATCGCGGCGAACGCTGCATTCTCCACATTGACAGGACTTGCTGACATCATAGCGAACTCGTTGCGCTGGAAATGATCAGGGTTGAACTGTCCTCCCCATGTGTTGGCCGATGGTGTGAACAAACTTGGTGGCTCTGACTGCGAATGGGGGCTTCGAATTTCGGGCTGGCTTCCACTTAACGTGACAACATTGTGCTCCTGGCTCTCATCGTGGAGAGAGCGTACTAGTGCATTGATGTAGCTACTGTTGGACATGATAGACGGTGATTGATATTGCTATTGAGGTGTATTTACGGGGGTCTGAAGCAGCTGTGAGTAGATGATAGATGATTGATCTTGGGCTTGAGATTGGCGACGACCGTTGGCCTTCGATCGCTCTAATATATCTGCTCGGGACTCGGCAGTCCAGTCAGTCACGTTACGAGGTATCTCCTCTTGCCAGTCCGTCTACCGTCTTGCCTGATCATTCCCTCGAATTTTTGGAGAGAGTCGACTATCAGTCAGTCGGAAGGTTGATTTGCGAATATACAGTATCAACTGGCGAGCGAAGAATGGTGAGGGGATTCAAAAAAGAAAAGGTTGCTCTTTACTACGGAAGAGCGATCATCTATCTTTATGAACTCAGACAAGGTTGCAACAACGCCTTCTCCCTTATTTTCTGATATGGTGAACGACCAGAATACTTACCACATTGGGTTTCCTTGAATTTTAGGAACAGTGGCGTCGGAAGTTTTTTAAATTCAGGCATTTGTAGACCAGCGGGACACGTGACCATCGTGACAAGTGACTGGTGGCCCCCAAAAAAAACGCTATCGTTCACGTCGTTGCCCAATGAAAACCACTGGCGTCAAAAAGGTTTTAAATAACCTGCCTGCGGCGCGAGATTATTTCCTTCAAAATGTCAGAAGCCAACATCAGATATTATATATATGGAGCCATCACTGAACCACCAGTACACATATATTTTAGACCCAAGAAAAAACAAAGGCAATGGCTGTAGAGAAGACATCACAAGATCCTCCCAAAGTGGCCTCTATCGATGAGGATGAAGCATGGATGGACGCTGATGAAGAAGAAGTAGAAAGAGCAATAGGCGAGATTCACAAAGGTCGTCTTCAATCTTCTGCACGCTCTTCCAAAGACGGAAGAAGATCCTCAGTGATACAGAATGTTCGCCGTGGCTCCGTCATTATGATGGAAGCTATCGGCAAGAAGAAAGACTGGGTGAAGGAAGGAATTTCGAAGCTAATGGGGGAAGACTATTCCAAGCGAGAAGCAGCATTTGTTCTCTTTGTCGGAGCTCTAATTGCCTTTAACAATGGATACGTCAATGGAGCCTGTCTTTCTGGTCTCGTTTCGCCCAACAACACCAAGAAAAGTATTGCTGGATTCACAAGCAAGTACACTCGCTCTGCAGTATACCTCGCGGACAATGAATTCGAAGAAGTGGGCGCACAAGTTAGTCTCATTGCAAGCTACTTTTTGGGTTCGTTCTTGTCGGGATTATTGACGCCCAACGCAACTCCCTACAGACTTGAGCCTACCTACGGTCCAACCTTTTTGATTGGCGGTCTCTTTCTCACCGCAGCGAGTATTCTGTCTGCAAAAGGAAAAGGAGATCCCTATATCTTTTGCCTGGCAGCGGCAGCTGCGGGTATTCAGAACGGTATTGCCTCCATCTTCAGTTCCAATCTGATTCGGTGTTCATTGACAGGATCGACAACAGATATGGCCATTACTCTTGGGCAAGTCATAAGGGGCAACCGAACGAAAGTATGGAAAGCCATGGTCCTCTTGCTGCTTGTGATTGCTTTCTGGTTGGGCGGATTGATCTCCTTTTACGCAACGAGACACTTTCGAAATTATTCTCTTTACTTCAGCGCTGGTCTTTTCTTTTTCATCGGAGTTTCCCTAGTGATGTTCCTTGTGAAAGAACATAGTGTGTCTGTGAAGGACGCAATTCTGGGAACCTGGGAGATCACCCAGAGCATGCGGCATAAAATGGAATGGCCGCTGAAACCAGATCATCACCATAAAAATTCTGATGTTTCTAAAGTGTGATGGCTAGGCTATCAAAATTGTGTTCCAGGAAGCTACTTCATAAAGAAGTGCATCTATAAGATAATGACCAAAAGGGGAAACATTTTGCTCTTCAGCCAGTATAGCTGTCCTATCATTGGACTATACCGGTTCACAGCATGACAGATACACATACAGTAGAATTAAGGCTTCAAGATCCAACTAGAACGATAATTGGTTTTATTTCGAAGCAAATGTTAAAATTAGGAGTATACCAACTGAGTGGCTTCGAATGTTCAAGTGTCTTTCAATTTAGAACAATAGAATTGCGGAAACCAAGGACGAAATCAATGCAGTGCTGGACGCCACAATGAACGATCCTGATTCCTCGGGGCTGGCAGTGGGAGATGCATCACCTGGTGCGGCAGTGGGATCAGCTGGAGCAACTGGAGCGGTAGTGGGATCACCAGCTAGTGTTGGGGTCGCCACTCCGGCGCAAGCATTGGTCAATGGGCCATCGAAACGATCAGCGATCATCAAATGATTCCAGGCAGATTCAAACATCTCAAGGAACTTGGCATTGTCCTCGACGAACATATCGACAATGCTGGAAAACTCGGGATCCAAGAGAGCTTCTTCTTCGGCAGTGAACGTTCCCTCGCCTGCCTTGAGATTGGTGAAAAAGGCGTTGCTCAAGACACCATCGGCGCCAGGCATAGCAAAGAGAGCCACACCTTCTTCGGGGGTAAGACCTCGGACGTTATTATTGTCGCGAATCCCAATCACTTCCGATGGAGCATATGTTCGAGGATCTAGATTTTTGCTTCCTGAGCCGTCAATGGCGTCCACACGACCGGCACAAAAGGTCATGGAACTGCCACCAGCAGCTTCAATGGCAGCTTGTCCCGCAAGGACAATCAAATCAGCATAAGATACATCGGGGTACGCAGCTTTGACCGGCTCAAGGAGAGCCAAGGCATCTGCAGTACCTGCATTTACCTCCCAATCCATTTCTGGGGAAAAGCGGATGCGAGCCCCATTGGCACCACCCCTATAATCGGTGGCCCGGAAGGTATTCGCGCTTCGGTAGGCCAAGTTGGCGAGGTGGCCAATGTTGACAGCATCCGCATCAATAACATCTTGAATGGAAGCGCGTACAGGAATAAAGTCAATACTGCCGTAGCCAACTGGAACATCTGGAAGAGGGTACTGAAAGTCTTGAGCCGGAGGAACTTCACTGCCATAGCAGCGACTGGCGGGTCCCATGTCGGCTGAAGTCAAATGGTACCAAGCGTGCTTGAAGTCATGCTCCAATGCGGCAATATCATCCCGATAAAGCTCGGAGATTGCTCTGTAGTCACCTTCCGCCAATGCCATATCGGTGACCAACATCATGATGTCAGGGCCATTCTCGGGGAAGAATTGGAGCTTTCCTGATGGGCCTTCCTTGAGAGTCCTGAAAAAGTATGGGACGCATACATGCATCATTTGGTTAGGATCGAAACTACACCTTGATCACTGCCTCGAAGTGCAGGAGACTTACCAGTTGAGGCCTTCGTCAAACAGATTTACAAAGTAGTCATTCGTCCATTCAGTGGGACGAACAGTCCATTTACCATCAAACCCACTTGTGAATGCGTTGATTCCAATGCCTAGATCCGCGCCCTCCTCACCACATGGCGGACTCATACAAGGACCGTGAGATTTTCCCCAAGCATGACCACCTCCAACAAGAGCGACCGTTTCGGTGTCATTGAAACCCATTCGCGAAAAGACTTCGGCCTGAAGTAGAATCAAGACCGTCAGAAAGAAGTTATCGTCCGATGTTAAAAACAGAATAATACACTTACAACATCCTTCTGACTTTCTGCTGCATCTCCCTTGAAGTTATGTGCTCCATCAGGTTCGACATAAATGTTGCCAATCACAGTTGGGCCCAGCGGGTACGCGCAAGTGCCTATCTGGTCGATTGTTGCACAGGGAGTCAGCTCTTCTTGCATTTCGTTTGGTCCAAGGATGAGAGAGTTATCACCGTTCGGGTCGTCGATGCGTCCGCCACAAAAGCCCAAGATTGGACCTCCGGTGCTCTCAATGGCAACGTTACCAGCCAAGATGATGAGATCACCCCAGGAGAGCTTGGATCCGTACTTCTCCTTGATAGGGTCAAGAAGTTGTAGGGCAAAGTTCAAGTTTCCATTGTCAGGCCACGTAAGTTCAGGTGAAAATCGAATGCGACCACCGTCACAGCCACCTACAAAACAGAACGGAAGACGGTTAAGGTACCATTGCAATAGTATTACAAAGCAAATCAAACCCACAAGATTCCCCGCAAAAGTTCCTTACCTCGTCCATCACTCTTGCGGTAAGAACCAGCACAGTGCCATGCCAATCGAATCATAAGACCTGCATAGTTGCCGAAGTCGGCAGGCCAGTAATCCTTAGAGTCTGTCAAAGCATCAGCAATGTCTTGTTTGACTACCGCGTAGCCTTCGTCAGGCTCACCCCAGTCACCAACACGTTCATCATGTGCCAAACGGCGGTTATGAAGTTGATGGGCCTGTTCTTGGTCAACGAACGCCCCACTCATGGGGCAGGAAGCTCGGTGTGTCTGGTGAGGACCGCTCTCCTTAGACATCATATATGGGCAACCAGCCTGAGAGCCAGGAATTGCGCCAGTCAAAGCCAACAAGGCAACGGAAGAAAGACTGTGGAGTCGAGCGAATAAATGACCAGAGCATGTCAGAAGTTGTTTTGGCGAGAAGCAAAAGCAATCATAGGAAGCGACCGTCGTACTCACTTGATCCTCATCGTAGTTCTTTTGTCCTTGATACGCAGAAATACTATCTTAAAGATATTGTGTGCAATAGCCACCAAGGCCAGCACCGAAGAGATTGAAGCCAAAGATTTTTTTGCGGTGATGACCAAAAATTGACTTCGGCTTTCCTACGTTCGTGAGTTTGTCGTATTATGGAAAGTGTCAAGCCTCTTAAGTCTGTTTGAAAAAGCGAAATCATACCATAAACAAAACGTCGAATGTTGATTCGCGCGTGAGAAGGTTCCTCGGCTGCCGGGACCCATCGAGACTCTTTTCATCCCTGAAAACAAATGTACCGGTATCTTGTACCTTATACCGCAGGTACGCGGCCCATCACGTAAAAATGTCAGTACGCGCCAGCCGAATACTTCTTCGATCGCCAGCCAGTACGTGTCACGGAGGCAACCATATCATGAAACCGAACAGCCCGCGCGAAGCGGGCGTTACGGATTAAGAAAATCTTTCAACGACAATTCGCGGTTAATTAACCGCGAATTGAAAAATTCGCGGTAAATTTAACAGCGAATTCTAAAATCGCGGTAAATTTAACAGCGAATTTTTCAATTCGCGGTTATTTAGTAGCGAATTCTAAATTCGCGGTTAATTGAACCGCGAATTGAGTTATGTAGAATCACTCTCATTTCTTCCTCCATACAACAATACCATGCAATAGAATGTTTTGTTCCTCAATCACAGGGTTTCTTCCTATGTTTGGATTGGGAAAGCTGTCCTCTTGAGAGTCTCTAGAGAGAGGAAAAGCAGCTGTTCCAATAGTGAAAATACAAGTGTAAATAGTCTCCTTTAGCATCAATACTACGTTATAGATCTATGATTCTACCCCTTGACTTTGAGAGCGTGCAAGTACTTTCCTGTTCTATTCTCCTGGTAGTTGCATTCCCTGAAAACATTCAAAGAAAACTCCTTGCAATACTGTTTTCGTTAAGAACGCCATAGATCTTGTTATCTTACAGGAGGCTTATCTTTTCCATCCTCGTCCATAGCTTGACGCAGAAGCTTCTGGGCATCCGATCGTTGTCAATGAATATTTTGTAGTAGCTTTGAAAGGATGTTACTGGATGGTTGTCGACGAACTGTTTGACATGAGCCTAGTGGTCCTCGACGACTCCTCTGCTGATCTTCTGGTTTTCTTGCTTCTGCAGCGCTCTCAGTCTATCAGCAAAATATTCGAAATCACCTTGTTCCACTTCCTATTTTTCTCGCCGCTCATGTCACACACCTTCTTCAAGATGACTTTTGGAGTCAACATTTCCCCATCGAGTGGAATGGGCGACTCCAGGAGCAGCGGTGTGCAAGAGATCCCATAGAATTTCTTTTGCCCTGCTGATTTTTCGTCCCATCTTATGCTCCAAGATATTGTTCGCCTTTTTAAAACTTCTGAGCCTGGTAGCAAGTTTCTTGGGATCCCACTTTTCCGATCTCCCTTCGTACCTGTACCTGGTAGACTCCTCGCCCATTTCGCAAATCATTTTCAGATGACTTTTGGAATCATGTTGTTCCCTTCATCGTCTACTTCTTTCCTTCATCATCTACGGCTTCTCTATCGGGCGACAGATCCCCGGTAGTTCCTGGATGATTTGTTTTGCCCTGCTGATCTTCCAGGGCGTCTCAGGCTCCACAAACACCATTGTTGATGAAGTTTTAGAATATTATGAATTCGCGGTTAAAGCAACGGCGTTTTTTCAATTCGCGGTTATCACAACGGCGAATGAAGTCAATTCGCGGTTATCACAACGGCGAATGAAGTCAATTCGCGGTTAAATAGCCGCGAATTTTTCAATTCGCGGTTAAATAGCCACGAATTTTTCAATTCGCTGTTAAATGTTGGAGTGTTCGCGGATAGATCATGTGTCCAACACGACCCGTTCGATTTGAAGGAGGCTTGACCAGCTCGCACAGGAATGTCTTGGCAGGCGCGCCACTACGTTTTTTGCGTGATGGGCCAGGGATGGTACAGTCTTCGATCGTGCGTCACCACACGTGAGCCAGTGAGACTTTTTCTTTTACGTATTCTCGTCAGGCGAGTAGTGCTGGCGTCAAGCGGAGTACGGTACACGTGTACCAATGCGTAGTCGTGTGTCGCGCCATCTCACGAGAATAAAAGGGTCTGGAGTAATTGAGGTGGTCTAGCAAACGGAGTTATCTTCGCTCTAAAGACATACATATATCACTGTTAAAGTTACTGAAGTAACACAGGAACGAGGAATTGATGCCGGAGGATGACCGCATTCGATGATGGTGAGAAGAACACCACCAAGCAAGACCATTGTTCTTCGGACTTGAATTAGTAATTAGCGCGGAATGAGCAGAGTTGTTCCGATCCTGCCGCGTTGCTTCTTGCGCTGATGCCCTTTTGAGAGGATTCAGTGTTCCTAATTCGGAATGTTCTTGGAGCGCCGACTTGCTGAGGAGGTACACTTGGATGAATACAAGAGTACTAACCTATTTACTTGCTACTTATTAGAAGAAAAAGTTTCAAGCAACTGATAATCTATAGTAGTCAATACAGCGATACCGGTCGCATCCTGTTGCTATCATTTCGATCAATTACGAATGTCATTCCTACTGAAGAGTTGATGCAGGCCATACAACTTAATCTTAGTAGGCGCCGACCATGTCCATGTCTTCAGTGGAAATAATATCATAAATGCAATCCTTGCGGTCCAATCCGTCCTTCAGTCTAGCACAAGCAGCTTCGGCTTGTTCCTCGGTGATGGAAGACTCACCCAAGCGACGCGCACGATCACCACGAGGATCTTCTGGCTCAATGCACAACTCGGGGAATTGAGGCGCAGACGATGATTCATGGAAGAGCATGGCATCGGTAGGAAGGACTTGCCACTCGCGTCCGAGATCAGTGTAGTCATCAAGGACAGTAGCGCCATCACGGGCGAGGGTCTTGCCACTCTCAAAGTCTCCCAACATACCGACAGTGTTGCCGAATGCCTTGGAAGTAGGGTTGGTAAAGTCGACCTTGACGAACTCCTTGAAGCTAGAGATGGTGACCTTCTGACCCGGGTACTTGGAACTCAGATCGATGTCGATGCGGTTCTTCTGAAGCTTGCTTCCATCGGCCTTGATGGTGACGGGGAAGCCAGCAAACTCGGTGAGGTCTCCTTGGTATTCGTAGTTGAACCAGTAGCGAACTTCCTTGTCCAGACCCTTGCCAGAACCTTCAATCTCGAGAATGTCATTGCCGATGCGGATGGCAGCAGTCTTGATGTAACTCCAATGTCGGACAAGCTTGGTTCGGATGTGAATATCAAGGCCAAGTCCATTTGCAAAGGTGGCATCCTTGGCCAGGACAAGATCGCACTGCCCATGGTACTGATAGTGCTCGTTATGCCATGTCTTGAAATGAGGATCGCCACCTGTTCCAGGACCAAAAGTGGAGATGATCTCTTTTGATGGATTTGAAGAATTCACAATGTCCGGGTTGAAACAAAAGGATTTGCCAGTCAAATATCCAACGCCATTGTCTGATGAACCAATACCGTTCCAGGTTGCATCAGTCTGGGAGAAGTCTCCAAGCAAAAAGCCTGAACCGCTTCCTATGCTGATACCAACTTCTCCCGGAAGCTGTGGGCTGTTGCCGTCGAGTGCCCAACCCATCTTGTCATAGCAGAAACAGATCTTTGGGTCGTTGGAGCCGTTAGAGGAAAGAACAACTTCAAAAGAGTTGGTATTATCAGCGGTTCCGAGATAGTGACCGACTTCCTCCCAAACAACGGCGACATTGTCTCCAGCAAGCTTGTATCGGATATGGCCCGTAACAACGTTGTTGACATCCGCCTGGAAGGGTGCGATTGAGATATCCGAAGCGGAAACAAAGCCATCTGCAGCATAGTGCCACTCATCGGAGCTGCCAAAATCAAAATGAAGGTGCCCATTGGAATTGATCAAGATATCGGTATAGGTAGTTGCACCAAAGGTGAATGGAAATCCCATGGCGACTAGATGGTCGTAGTCATCATCGTAAGGCAATGTAACCCAATCGCTGTCGCTAGGGTCGTAGCTCATGCATCCATCTCCTTGGAAGTTAATGGGCTCGGATTGTTGCAACTTGCGGAGGCTTTGGGCCTAAAAGAACATCATGTCCATAAAAGACATTAGCATAACTGTACTCCAATGCTTGCACAAAGTGTTTCAATAGTAGCTTACCTTTTCTTGGGCTGTGGCCACGGCAAGAGTGAAAAGGAAAGTAGAGGAAAAGATCAATTTCATCTTTCTGTATTGTTTGGTTGTATGCTGCTGTGAGTTGTTGGTGATGATTTGAAATTGTGAGTAGAACAAATCCAAAGCCCATTTTCTGCACCGTTAGCACTCCGACCACATTCGCATCTTCGTGTTTCGTCACGATGATATACTGTGCGGTACAGTATGGTCCCTATTTGACATGGCTGAGGTATGTTTGGTTTCCTCGTGTGGTTGCAACACGACCGTTTCTTGCCTGTTATCCTCTCGGAGTCTTTTCCATTCCCAATTCTTTGGGATGCAACTAGTGGACCAATAAGTCGAATGTACGGATGAAAATTGGATGATCTCACTGCGGTTATTATTTAGGTGTCATTCTCAGGCATTCACACGTTCTTGGTAAAACACTTTGATGGACATGGTGAGGTCAATTAGGTGGCTTCCTTTGGACGCTATCATGATTTCTTTTAGAATATACATACTGGTGCCAGTAAAACTGACTGCAATGATATGATATGTACATGACACTCGATGATGTCGAGATGACGATGATGATGATGACACTGTGATCGATTCGAAAAAGGATTGATTCTATTTGACTAAGACGACTGACCATAAGTTTTCAGGAGTACAGTAGGTATATTGCTGTATTATACCGGTACTCGTACCTGGTACTACTGTATCCTCTATCCCTGTGTATTCTATTTTTAAGCGATAGCATCTCTTCTATCTCGCCCGTCAGTATTACTTCTGTCGCTACTTCGGTCCACCTCGATTTGACTTCTCTCTGGATGATTATGCGTATTATTCTCATTCTCATTCGTTCGTAATACTGCAGCTCGGGCCAACAACAAATGAGGCCAGGTTGCTACAAACTGCAAGCTCGCCGTAATGCAAAAGTTGAACAGAATCCCGTGATAATCCACCAAGATACCACCCAAAGCGGCGCTTCCACTCCAACTGAACATGTTGAAACTCTCGAGGGCACTCCACTTGGCCCGTTCGTCATTGGGGACGTAATCCATCAAGACCGACTTGGTCAAGGCACTCGTGGCATTCATAAAGCCTGTTCTTATCACCATCAATGTACAAATCATTGCAATAACAAGTTTATCGCCATTTTCAATTCTTTCTTGGCTGAGTTTCGTCACTGTGACCATGGCCATCATAAAAGAGACTCCAATCCACTTGAAGGCAACCGTAACTTTGCATCGCCCATACGACTTGGCCAACACTTGTCCGAGTTTGGCCAAGCACGCTTGTAGTAAAGGAGCAATTATGTATAGCAATTGCACATGAACTGGCTTCAAGTGCAAATTATCATAGAGAAAAATGGCAAAATATCGAATGGACATGCCTATAGTGTGTGTGTAGTCAATGACAACGTGTGTGTGAGCCAGTCATTATTTGTCACAGAAAAAAGTCAGATAGTGCAAGCTACAAACAATCAACGTACCAGATGCCAAGCCCGACAGCACATCTGCGGAAGCCACCAATGATGGAATGATTCGTTTCGGTGGTCCACCATCGCTGTGCAAACAGCAACCACCACACAAGTAACTCAGCATACTGGCCAGTTTCGAGGCATTGTAGGTTTCATCTCGATGCGGACGAGTTTCAGGTGGAGTACTAGTGCCTTGTCGCCCATTTGCTTGTATGGATCTTTCGTCGTCAGCTTCTTCTTCAAGGTCCGACAGCAACGGTGTCCGCAAGGAATCCTCCTCCTGACGACTCGTTTCAACCATGTCGTCACAATCCTCAGGACGTGATTCTTGTTGTTCTTGCCATTGTGGATCCTTCAGGAAGCATAATAAGACCATTGCTGGTAAACATATTATTTGCCCAGTACCCATAACATAGGCACAATCCATTAACGTCCATTCATTGCCCAGTATCAAAAACATGGTCAATGCGACAGTCGGGCCCGACAGATTTCCCAGATTAATGAGAATACTCCTCTTCGTAAAGTACTTGGATCGTTCACCATTTTCAATCGAATCGGCAAAGACCGCCGTCAGACAAGTATTGGCAATTCCCCAAAAGCAACCCCAGATACACAGCGAAAACATCAACGCCGAATAGGTTGGCTGATGCTGATGTCCATTCCAAAACAATACCTTCAGGGTGGTTCCGGCTGCCACCATTCCGATGCACGAGGCTAATTTGAGCAAATGGTCTCTCCGGTACTTATCCGCAAGGTAACCAACTGGGAAGCTTACAAGTAATTGGCAAATTCCCATGGCGGCCGTCAAGTAGCCCACCAATTTGGGGTCCTTGCCAGACAAGAGGAAACAAAAGGTGGCCAAGACATTTTGATTCCAAATGGATCGACCCGCAAAGATGATCCATGTGTAGGTTAATATCAAGCGAATGTTTCGTTTCCGAATCCGATGTACACCTGATGCTGGAGATGAAGCAGGCGGTGGCGATGAAGAAGGAAGCTGCTGTGAGATGGCCTCCTCATCTTGTGTTTCTTCTTGTCGTATTATACTGTCTGAAACATCTTCAGCTTCTCTCAATAATCTATTGTTATTGCTATTGCTATTGATATTGATATCGCTATTTTGTGAGGACGATGATTCGTCTTCTATTCGTTGATGTCTTCTTGGAAGCTGTGGCATTTGGTTCCAGCTCGATGCTTGTAGTGTACAATGCGAGTATAATATTGGATGTGTGTATTTTATACGCCTTTGTGTTCTGTTCAGATTAATCGTCTTCGTTATTTTGTACGTAAACGTGCGCGAGGCAATGCGTGCGGTTAGGATTGACCTGGTTACCAGTTTGAATCGATCGACTACAATTTTATATTGCATATATGCTGGTACGTCTCATCATTGAGCCTCTCCAGCAGTAGATATAGCCAATGATCGCATAGACGAATGGTGCCGTCATGACATCTCCATTGTCTCTATCAGCCTTGTTAAGTGTATGTCCGCATGGAGCTTGGGTGACAGAAGATGTGGCAATTGAATTGTTAGAGGGAGTGACATCTGCGGACGATTTGCAACGACTTCACCTTGCCGGAGCCTTGCCCGATGTCCTAGTGGAATATATGGTAGCCGAGTGGATGCTCCTTCACCTTTTGAAAAATACAGATTTATCTTTGTACATGCCGCCAAAGTGACTTGGCCCATTGTCGACTTGGGAGACTGGCTCAAACTATGTGCGAAACTTTCAATAGCAAAATCAACAAATGTAGACGAAGATGAGGCGTTGAAACGTCTGACAGAAAATGATATTGAAATCCTAAGAAAGCTTTGTGACCAGCCAAATGAGCAGGATGCTTTGAAATCATTACGAAGTGTAAAGACGATCATTTGTCCTGAAGACTTGGCAAGAATGAGGAAACTACAGTAGCTGTGGCTATTGTTGTGAACTTGGATGAAAATGACGAAGAACAAGTGACGAAGTACCCAGGCGAAAACGATGATGGATTCCATTATGGAAAGGCAGCCACACTGATGCGAAAAAATGACGAAAAGAAGATTCTGTCTTCCTATACTCCCAAGCTGCTACCATCAGGTTATACCATGCAATTTGTTCATGATGAATTGTGTGATCAAATTGTTTGTCAGATTGTGCATTCGGATAGCTTTGGCAATGCCTCGGCCAAGAAAAGCGACACTATGGAGATGATTCAAGAATAAAAGGGTGAGTATCATAATGGATCTGTGACTCCAACCGCAACGCCGCCCATTCACACCCGTATTGGCGAATCATCTGAAGCTGACAATCATGACACGGCATGTCGACAAAGTCCGGCAACAGCAGAAGAACCAGAGATGCCAACGACACCGCCACTGGAAATTGTAAGATCAATATCACAAGATACCGAATCCTTTGTCACTCAATCCTCAGTGATATCACAAGAAGAGCTTGAAACGACACAAGAATCATCGGAGCAAGAAGATTTGGTCGCAAGCAAATACCGCAAAATGCTCCAAATGGGAATTCCGTTACTGGCCATTGAATTCGGCATGGCCATTAACGGGGTGAATCCAGACATCATGACTTCTATACTGAAAGAAGAAGATACTCCAGTCTCGGATCCTCCTTGGTTCCGACCAAATTCAGAAAGGTTGATTCCAGAAGAGGAACATGATCAGGAATATGAAGAAAGACGGTGACTACTGATGAGGAACTCGAAATGGAGGAAGAAATTGAAGTGTGGACCGATGAAGAATTGGATGAACTTGACTGGATGACCATTGAAGAAACAATCATGGATTTCGAAGAAGCCGAATGGACCACCGAGGAGGACGACGATGATTACGTCGAAGAAGAAATCATCATGGTGGAAGGGGAAGCTGATGATGAATTATTCTTCGAAGAGGAAAATGTGGATTCTGGAATTGAAGTCAGTGCTGAAACCGTTGCAGCAATCGAGAACGTCTTGGAAAACCGGAAGAATCCAAACAAATTCGTTATCCTGCAGGGTCCCACCAAGGAGGAAAAGAAAAAGGTGGTAGAAAGACTTCTTGCCAACAGAAAACGGCAGTCGATAGAGACTTCTTCACCGCAGAAACTTTCCAAAGAGGAAAAGAAGGCTGCAATTGAAAAATGGATCGCAAAACGGAGGCATGAAGCTAACAAGGAGGCATTGGCAAAAGCGTATGCGAGGCGGAGACATCTGGCCAGGACGGTTTCGCCAAAAGAACCTTCGAAAGAGGCCAAGAAAGCGGCACTCGAAAAATTGTATAGGAAACGGGGGAGTAGGACGAAGAAATCTGTACCTCACGATGCCTCAACAGACGCAAAGAGGGCGTTGTTGGAATCGTTGTATGCTAGCCGGAGGAGGAGGAGGCCAAAGAAGGGTGCTATCGATGGGTCACATACATCAGCGAAAAAGGAAGAACTCGAAAGATTCTATGCCAGATGGAAGACGAGTTCCAAACAGCGTGTTCCGCACGATGCCTCCTTAGCAGCCAAGATGGCGGTACTAGAAAGCTTCTATGCCGAACAACTGAGTAAACCCACTCTGAATGTTCCGAATGACCCGACGATCGAAAAAAGGAGTTCAGTGATCGAAAAGGTACCTGTCAAACGAAAGAGCGAGACCAGAAAGGATAAATATCTGCGAGGAGAATCTTTCTCTGCTTCTACAGATGAGCTCAACGAAGCTGGAGTGAAGAAGGCAGAGCTGGGCACACGAAAAATATCATCGTCAAGCGTCGAAGAGATTCTCAAGAGAATGGCATCGTCGTCGGATGACACTATTGATGTGGAAGGGGAGTTGCTGCGAAAAATCAAGGAAGCTGAAGACGTTCAACAAAAATTGGAACGACAGCTCGCAGCCAGCGGGGTAGTGGTTGCAGAAGATATTGACTATGGTGTATGCATGCGAAAAGTAGCTGTGATTGGAAGCCGAATGACAGAAATTGGTAGCGCCTATGCGGTCCATTCAGACAAGAAGAAGCAAGATGCACTACGACTTGAATACTTCAAATTAGAGCAAGATATGGCAAAGTATAGCAATGCCATGTTTTATTGCGACGAATACCAAGCGGAACAAGCCCAAAGGAATCGTGAATGGGAAGCAGAGAATCACAAGGCAAACGTGGAAGCATTGCGAAGAGTCTGAGGAGGCACATACCTCCAAACGTCTCGACTATGAGTGAAGCGGAATTATTGGACGAGATCCCACCAAATGGGAAGGTTCTTCCTTCTCACATTGCGAGAAAAATGAAGCGTACCAATGCGCTTCAGCTGATACGTCGGAATCCAGATGAGATTGCCAAGATGCACCCTGCACTACTGATAAGTATGCGAACCATTGGTTTGACAATCACAGAGAGACGTGCCCTTTATGAGCACCTACGGCCTATCGGACCAATCTTTGAAACCTTCAAGGGAAAAGGAAAGGCTTCAGAAAAATACAAGTGGTACTCGATGATGAAGGACAATTTCAAAGAGAAACTTTTGATGTACAAAAGCCACCTGAACCAGTATGGTTCTCCTGATAACCACCACTGCCCATTGGTTGGACGTCAATGTCCAGTCAACCACGACCGAGAATTCGATTACAGCGGGAATTATGGCTGGACTGACCAACCGGTGTATGCTGCACTCAAGGCTGTGGGTGCACCCGACAAGTATGATCCAGTCGAGGTTATCAAAGTTGCCGAATTTCAATCCGCCCAAAAGGCCATGAAACGCGATCATGCTCTCAAAGAGCACTACCGTGGCAAACTGTTGGAGGTCAACAAAGCAAAAAGTAGTTGTAATACGATGGAGGCAATCATGATAAAAATGGAACTGGGGATGGAAAAATGGATGGAAGACAGGATGAACATCGAAATGAGGAGGTTGTTGCTGTCACATGATATGAAAATCAAGGAAGCTGCATCGTTCAATGAAGTATTGACCGAGTGCAAGCTGGGGACCATGGGAATGTGCAGCCGAGCAGGCATGCAAGTCTCTGGAAAGAAGACTCAAGCATCATTCAATGATCCACGCAGTGCACTCGAGTGCTTTCTATCCGACGAGGTCAAAGAAACCTTTGATGTTTTTACAAAATTTGTATTGTCAAGAATGGACCACATTACGATTGGTGACGAAAAGATTCGCGGCATGATTTTGGCCCTGTCTGGTTTGCTCTCCGAGTTGAAGGAGCGGAATACAAAAACTGTGGTAGCCCTTGGTGCTTCAAAGGGTGATCGCTCTAGAGTATTGAAAACGGAAGAAGTCATTATGAAAGAATTGAAAGAGAAGAAACGAACAGCCGAAGTGGCAATCATCGTCCGATCGATCAAGCGAGAAGCGAAGCGGAAGTCAAAACTTCGAGGTGAGACTCGCGAGTTCCTATTTACGCTCCACAAGTACTTGGATTGTCGCCGGCAAATGGATGCAAAGTATCTCGAAGTGGATGAATTCCAAATGATTGCCGCATTTCCAGTCGATGTGGATACGCCAACGATGTTTGCTGTCAAAGACCAACAGCAATCTGTCGACGGCATGCCAGTTCAAACTCTAGATGATTTATACAAGGCTGCAAAAGTGGCTGCTCCGATCTTCCACGATTTCATTGACGGGATTATTGAAATGTTGTGCGACCGCTTTAGACACCAACGGGAGGGGATAAGCTTTGTGAAAGCAGGTTTAAAGTCGAGGAAGAGATCAAATGATAAGGCAGCGAATGATTATGGAGATAGAGAACCAGGTCCTGGGATCTCCTGGCTCTACGATATCATTCGAGGTAGTATCGAATTTGGATCAGCAACGCAGGTTATTCAGTTTGTGGATTTGATGATGAAAGAGGAGTCCATTCGCGTCGTCAAGGCAAAGAATCGTTTCAGGAATCCAAGCCTGACAGGCTACCGCGATGTGAATATTCAGTTTCAGCTGAATACCATGCAAGGCTTCTTTCACATATGCGAGATCCAGCTCCATCATTCCGAGATCTACAAATTGGATAAGGTTCTAATGTCTCATGATTATTACGAGTACTTCCGCACCTACTTCGCTGGTGCAACACATAGTCTCAAGGATAGACTGGATGATTTGAAACTTATTATCAGCCAGGGTGGTGATTTGGATGAGTATCTGCTGAATGAGCTACTGGAACGAAACAAGAATGAACGACGATTGGAGCGGCTTGGTGCATTGTTTGAATTATCGTTGTGTGAATATCACTTCGCACTCGGTGTGTATGGCAAGCTCTTTGAAATCAGAGTACAGAAGCATGGTCCGAGACATCCACTTGTGGCAAAGGCGTATACGAATATGGCAAACGTGCTGGAGAAGCAAGGGAAACTCGACGAAGCCATGGAGTTGCACAAAGCTTCGCAGGAAGTTAACAAGAGAACTCACGGGGGGAAGCACGAATCAGTTGCAAACACATACGAACATATGGCAATGATTCTGAAGGAACAACTCGAGTATGCACATGCCATCAAGTATTTTGAAATGGCGCTTGAAATCAACAAAGAGATCCACGGTGAGAAGAATTCATTAGTCGCCAATACACTCAACAACATTGCCGTTGTCTACCAAGAGCAAGGAAATCTCGACAAGGCCTTGGTACTTTACCAGGAATCGCTTGCATTAACAGAAAACTTCTTGTTGATACGCATCGGACAGTCGCAGCAACCTACAGCAACATGGCGCTAATTCTCATGACACAGAAAAAAATTCAACAGTCGATGAAGCTTCATGAGAGATCGCTGGAAATTTACCGGAAGACTGTTGGGGAGAGACATTCCGACGTCGCCAAGGCATATTATAACATGGCGTTGGTGTACAAGGCCCAGAGCAACTATGGTGGTGCCATGGAATTGTATTCGAAGTCTCTTGAAATAGACAAGATCAGGGGAAACACGAAGAAGCAATGAAGTACTACGACAAATCCTTGGATATTGAAAGCAAGTTATCCTTCGAACGCAGCATTGGTAGCAATATGAGAAGGAAAATGACGGATACAAGAAATGCACATTATGCACGACAGGAGACAAATATCAGCCATAGACGATGACTGGTATGTACATGTGGGTGATAGCGCAATGCTACAGCAGTTATACTAACTAGCATCAGAGTGTTCACAGTAATGAAAAAGTGTTTTCTGTACTCACCCTATTCCCCCTATAAAGTTGATTGATATTGTCAAGAAATATTTTAAAAGTAACTGCACCGTTTCGGTTGATCAATTCGAGTGCGTTCTCTTTGCTTGCGCACTTGGTTTCTATCTGACTTGCCGCACCAGGTACAACCATTCTTGCGGTTTAATTATTCGCGCTCACACTTCTTTCTTCATTTCCCATCAGCTAAAGAAGACCACAATCTCCAGAGGAATCGCTTTTTTAAGAGCCTATCAAGGATGGCACATCATTTCCATAGTCCATCACCATTTCTCATTTTTTCAAATCTTCTGCCTGATTGATTTATCTTCAATAACAAGAAGACTGTCCAACGGAAAGGTGGCATGTTGGCGATTACATCTTCGAACAGACGAAGAAAGGTATTTCGAGCTAGTTAGTGCTAGTCTGTGGCTCGTGGGCGTTCAAATGGGTAAAGTAGTCGCATTGTCATTGGCGGGTGAACAACCAAACTAACCCATGACGATCGTACTCGTAGTGAGAATAGCGCACTGTCATCGTCCAAACCATATTGCAGTCGAAGGAATCAAACTTCATTTTTTATCTTTTACTGTACGTATTTTTTATTCATTTGATTCGACAAAATATATTATCCATGATCAGACAGCTGACCATCACTAATTCTTTGTTTGCTGATCAGACAGCTGGTCAACCAGATCAATTGCTGCTCAGACGCTTCATCAGAGAAGCACAGATGACGTAGCTGATCCGACAACTGATCTAGTTCTTTGCTGCAAGATAAAAATCGTTGCTTTCCATCCCAATAATAAGCTGTTTCGGAACAGACAGCTGATCTACAAGACCAATTGCTGCACAGACACTTCATCAGAGAAGCAGAGCAGGTAGCGGATGAGGTAGCTGATCCGACAGCTGATCCAATTCTTGCTGTAGCTCCCAGCAATAACAAGCTAGATGGTTGCTTTTTCGATCCCATGCTGTGCCATGAACGCAGAAAGCGAATTACTTCTCAGAGACTTCATCAGAGACGCACAACAGGTAGCGGATGAGGTAGCTGATCCGACAGGTGATCTGACCTAATGCTTCCAGTACACTGTATACCGCACAAGTACCTGGTTCTTTGTATCGTGTCGGATCGTATCGCATTGGTGAACTATAATAATAGACTAGATAATTTGATCAGACAGCCGAGCAGATAGCTGATCAGAGGACAGACCAGCCTATAGTAGTAAGAGAATGAGTGCTATGAATCTTTGTGTGTGGGAAGGACGAGTGCAGTGATTGATTGATTGAATCTATGTAATATAAAAGCCATCGATTCAAGCACTTTAGCTGCTCCGGCAAACACTTTGACTCATCCCACCCACATTGTAAAAGTACTGAACACAATACTACTGACCTACTAATCTTTTGTCACATACATTGTACTGTTTCTCAGACGGTTGATCAGATATAAAAGCATGCATATGCATATACGGTATGTAGGACCTTGTGGGTACTGGCTGAAGATACTAATAACGGGCCATGCAACAGTTACCTACATATTACAGGATTTTCAATCCCTGTTTTGGTGGACAAAACTTCGTGCCGGGTTCACGCCGGTTTGAGCTTCAAGAAACCGTCTTGGGCCTTTTGGGACACATAAATGTTGTTGCAATCGTGTATTTTAAAAGTGACCCGTGCGCAGGCTTCCCAAGACAGTTTCTGAGCCGCTTTGCATCAACAATAAAAAGAACAGCACAAGACTCATCCACAGAGCCTTTATCCAACTTCCATAGTAGAACACATAGACCCACATACACTATGATTTCCTCACTCAGATCCATGGTACTGCTCGCTCTTCCCCTCCTCAGTGCTGCTCAATCCAGTGGAACACTCACAGCCGAAACGCAAGTCAAGGTTTTAGAAGGTCCCTGCACTGCCTTCATTGAAATCATTGAGGCCGAAGATGAGGGAGAAAAGCTAATCTGTGAAGCCAAGGATGGAATGATGTACGATATTCCTCAAGTCAACAAGGAGTGGATTGAAGAAAAGCGACAGAGTGGAGAACTTGTCAGTGGAGCTACTATTCTAGACCTTCCTGAAAACACGATGGTGGACATGTCAACTTGGTCTCTCATTCTCTCAGGTCCACCAGACTTGCTGAACTAATTAAATGGAAGGGAAGAGAAGCTTTCAGGCGCTCAAGATGAGGCGGTAATTTCTGAAATTCTGGCATGAACTCCATAGATTATAAGGAAATATACTATAAACATTCATGTATAATACACTTTTGCAATTATGAAATGAAGAAACTGGAAACTGCACTGACCTACACTGTAGGTACACTTATATTATTATAACAGCTGGTTTCTAAGTTTCAATCTTATCCATGAATTGCAAGACGTTCGACAAAACGACGTCGGCTCCACAGTCGGTGATGCGAACCTCTTGTCGATCCATTTTTATTCTCTTGTTGTTACCATCCTCATCGTCTGGAGCATTATGCTTGAGTAGTGCAGCCTTCCACAAGGCAAGTTCCAGCGTGCATATGATCTCTGACTTTTGGCATTGAGCCAATTCATAGAAGACTGCCTTGAGCCGCTTGCGATTCTTGATGGGATTGGATTCGAGGTCTTGCTCTAGCAATTCTTGAATCTTGGTCCACCTGGCATCGAGCTTGACATGCTTCATCAAGAACTTGGAAGAAGAAGCCAATTGGAGAAGGGATGGTTTTGGATAGGGTGTCTTGTTCAGTTTTAAATAGTCGATACAGTTCTTTCCCCAGGCATCCTTTCTCAAGACCAGTTCCAACGGATAGTGCTCGAGAACATTTCCAAACAAGCTGCCGTGAGCTGGCTTTACAGAAAGAGCAAGAATGTGCAATGGCGTCATGCCCAGCAAATCCGTCCGGCTTCCAGAACAAGCAGAGATATCGGATGCTTTGATCGAGTCAAAAGCTTCCATCACTTCCTCCTCAGACTCATAGTGAATCTGGTGATAGCAAAGCTTGTGGAGCGGAAAGTCATCAAATCTGTGGTAGAGCGCACGTTGAATGGCCGACTGGTTATCGAATACCTCCAGCAGTCGGTCCCAATTTTGTGGAGGTAGGCCATCATCACTGATATCATCATTTTTTCCTTCATCATCTGATGACGAGGCCGTTGCTATTCTTCCAAAGTAGTCTGGCTGCAACAGACGTAGATTCTTCAAGGAAGTACAGGAATTCAGAGCAAACTCTTCCATTTCTTCTAGTCCCTCGGGCAGCTCTAGAGAAACCAAGGTGGCACAATTTGAAAAGGCATTGGTTCGAATTTCTTCGAGGCCCTTTGGTAGTTCCACATACGCCAAGCGAAGGCAGCTTGCAAAGGCAGATTCCTCAATCACCTGAATGGATTTGGGCAGCTTGACATGAGTCAACCCCGAGCAATTGTCAAAAGCCTCTTCTGGGATCACTTCCAGCTTTTCACACTTGAAAAACTCGACATTAGATAACCTGTAGCATGATGAAAATGCTGCAGTTCCCAAAAATTCCAAGGTGGACGGAAGGATCGCAGTAGTCAGTGCCTCACAACCAGAGAAGACGTCGCTTCCAAGTAATTGCAAACCATCCACAAAGATAGCTTCTTTTAGAGATACACAACCCTCAAAGGCGCCATCTTGAATCTGAATTAGGCTGGACGGAAAGTTTATTTCGGTCAGAGCCAAACAGCGTTTGAAGGCTTCCAGTCCAATCATTTGCAGGCCCAATGGGAGGTGAACTTGTTGGAGCCGAACAAAGTCTTGAAATGCCCCAGCGGCGATGCTGACATGGTGTTGCCTTACACTGATTGCAAGTGAATTCTGAACTTTATCATCGTCGTCGTCGTCGTCGTCGTCTTCGTTTGGCCAGAGGTACCAGTTTGGCTCTGCCATAGTGATGGAATAGAGTGTGTGCTGTATGCGATATGAGAAATACAAAAGATCGAAAACTTGAAACTTTTCTTGCAAACAGTCGAATGAGTCTAATAAGTTGACTGATTCGAACTAACCGATCTACAGTACAGTAATTTTAATGGTGGGAAGTGGGGAGACGGTCGACGCAAGACGTCCAGAAAGGAATGTTAGAAGACGTACCGGTACGTACGTTTGGATCTGAGGGTCATCATCATCATCACATCATTTTCATTTTACTGTCATCATATTCAAGTAAAATCGCAGCTTTTATGCGGCACCTCTTTATGCCACATGACTTCCTTCACCTATTCCGGAGAGGAAGACGGTCGTCAGATAGTACCAATTGAAACAGAATGCCTTACGATCGCTGAAACAATCCAAGTTCTTCCCATTCGTTTCTGCAATAGACATCATGACCATTTGCAAGAAGTTGTCTTTTCATCAGGAATAAGTCTTCGCTGCATTCCCGATTATGCTTTCTATCATTGCAGGGTGCTACGAGATATTGTGCTTCCTCCTACAGTGACAGCTATAGGAGACTTTGCTTTTGGTGTGTGTAAGGCACTGGCCGAGTTTAAATTCCCCGAAGGATTGAAGACAATCGGCAGGTACTCGTTTGCTAACTGCGGGATGACCCACCTGCGAATGCCTGCATTACTGGAGGTGATAACAGAGCGCGCCTTTGCTGGATGCGACTCATTGCGTGATGCTGAACTGCCCGATGGCTTGAAGGTTATTGGGGTGGCTTCCTTTTGTGCTTGCGCTGAACTAGCGGAATTAAGGCTTCCATCAACCGTCGAAATCATTGAGGGCAACGCATTTGCAGGCTGCTCCAGTCTGGAAACTGCTGACTTTCCAAAGGGACTCAAGCAGATTGGAAGGCTTGCATATTTCGATGCTCGCAGTTTGGAATCAGTGGCTATACCTTCTAGCGTGAAGGAAATCGAGGAAGGTGCCTTCAGTGAGTGTTCCAGCTTGAAAGAAGTTGTTCTGGTGAATGGATACTTGCGCGTTATCGAAGCTGCCGCTTTTGCCTCATGTTCAAGCCTACAGTCCATCAGGATTCCCCTCTCTGTTGATGACATCGGATATGACGCCTTTGCCAATTGTACCAGTCTGGTTTCCGTTGAATTTCCTGAAGTCTTTAGTGAAGACTTCACCCCTGAGTTTCGTGGAGGACGTGTCTTCAGCGATTGCACGTTGCTAACAAACATTGCAGTGCCACCATCAATCGAGCTGGAGGAGTCGACATTCGGCGGTTGTACATTGTTGGAAGAAGCCTTCGGCGAGACAAGTGTTATTCAGGGCGTAAGGTCTCGCTTTTCCGAATATGAAGCTCATAAAGCATGTTACAATGGGTCCGAGTTTTCGCTGATCGTCGCAATCAAGATATTACGAGAATGTTCTGGTCCTCCTCGCCACTATGACTACAAGCTCTTTGATCCATTTGGAATGACCCCATTCCATATTCTCTTATCGGCTGCAAAGAAGAAACCGGATCTCTTGGACCTCTTGCTGAAGGAGTATCCATCACTTGTACTTGGATGTACGAATCTTCAGGGTATTTTTCCCGTCGAGTACTTGCTTAGCAGCTGGACACGAGAATCGCGATCATTCGCGCAGACAGCGCTCGAGAAGTGGATGGTCCATGACATGGCAAGTTGGGGCTTGGAGGAATGGCGATCGAGCATGTCCCGAATGGTAGATTCCGTCCTGAACGATGATCTCGACGCGGAAAACAGACGCAATGCTCTGCGGGAAGCACATTTGTCAATGATGAAATACGAGCTCAAAGAGGCCACATCATTACTCGAGATGTGGCTGTGGAAAATGGAGATGCACTCGGTTCGGAATGGCGCCAAGCGAATGGCTTTAGATCGACCCACTAGTCGTAGTCGATGTGGCGCTACATTTATCATTCCGATGATTGTGGATTACTTGTGGGCTGAAGGTTGCTGGTACTGGGGAAATAAGAGGGGACTTTCAGCATAAGAACCCGATTAGATACAGTATATTAGGTGATCCATAATGTAATGTGAAGTTCCAAGTGCACGCTTTCTTCTGCTTCTGGCTGTTGGTTATTGCTTGTGCATTTTTTGGATGAATTATTGATCCCTCTTACTTCAACGAAGGCATTTCACATTCAGTGAGTCTTGAGAGAAGGTATTGGAAGGAGAGGTAATTTTAACTCGTTAGCGATAGTGCACTGTACAGCAGATGTATCAATATTAGGATAGTCGAAATTCATAACACTGTTTGTTATAAACTAATGCTGATCCGGACCAAGCAAATGGTCTACGACAGTCGGTATGATGAACGTGGCACCACACCGGGCACGACTGCTCGCTCGGTCTACGGCCATTCGCTTGACACCATTCCGCGTTGACTGCATCTTCATTTTCCACAACCACAGTTCTAGCAAGGACGTAGTTTCCATGAGCTCGTAGCATTCCATCTGATCACAGGCTTTACTCAGTGTGCCAAATAGTGCAGCATGCAGTTCCATTTTTCGCGGGACATTGAAAACAGACTCGACTAGCTCGTGCATGTTTGATCGCCATTGAGGTAAGCCCCAACTTGCCATGTCCTGGACCATCCACTTTTGCAGTGCCATTCGTAGCATTATTGATGCGTCGGTAGTCCAATTCTGTGTCAAATAGTATAAAGCTGTATCATCGCTCGGGCAAGTGAGGCCAAGTACATTGGATGGGTAATAGTCCAGCAACAGTTTCAGTAGATCTGGCCTTTTCTTTGAAGTTGACATTAATACATGGAATGGAGTCATTCCAAGTGGGTCGATCAGGTTCTCTAGGTACGTATTGTTTTCGTCTTGTATTAGCAGAGCTCTGACGAGCATCTCGTCAGACTCCACCGATGCTGCATAGTAGCATGCCTCGTGGACGGGATAACCGCGAAAGCGAGATTTGATACCCTGCATGACATTCGCGGATCCATATGCATCGTTCAAAACCGTGCATTGGTCCAATAGCTCATCCTGTGTAGTTGATGGTGGAAGAGCAATGTTCGCCAACTGACAAGATCTACTGAACACATTCCACCCGAATGTGGTACGACTATCTCGTGGGATTTCGACAGATATCAACCATTCATTGTCATAGAATGCCTCATCACCAACATATCTAACAGAGGGAGGAATCCAAACCGATTGGATCCTGCTGGAGTAGGCGAACGCAAGCTCTCCAATCGATCTCAATGATCCAACCACAAAAACGACGTCGTGTATGGATCTACAGGACTCAAATGCATTGCCACCAATGCTGACAACAGTCGGAGGAATTGACACCCTCGACAACGAGAAGCATTCGCAGAAGGCATAAACCCCAATAGTCTTGAGCCCTGGTTCCATCTGAAGTACCTTCAAATTCGAGCAGCCCATGAACGCATGGTCCCCAATATGCTCGACACTAGAAGGGATAGCAATTGATTGTAAAGTGCACGCTTGATAAAATGCATACTCTCCAATCTCCTTCAAGCCTTTTGGAAGATCAACTTCTTTCAGATTGAAGCAGTCTCCAAATGAGTTCGCCCCATAATGACTTCAACGGTTGATGGAAGCCTTAATTCTCGTAGACTCGAGCAAGTACTAAAGGCATCCTGTCCAATCATCTTGAGGCCATCAATAAGTTCAACTTCTACTAATGAGACACATCCAGTAAAGGCGTTTTCTTCAATCACTGCCAATGAGCCGGGGATTCTCAGATGAGTGAAAGCACAGGAAGCAAACGAGTTCTTTCCGATAGTCTTCAATCCTTCAGGGAACCTAACGTAAGTCAAGGAGGTGCATAAGCTAAAAGCAAAGTCTCCAATAACTGTGACTGTGGAAGGTATCATCGCTTCTCGTAAAGCCTCGCAACCTTGAAAAGCATGACCGGGAATGCAGCCAAGACTTGAAGGAAGGACAACTTGTTGCAAGTGGATGTGATGCCTGCAGAAATTGATGGGAAGAATTTGAACTGCTTCGGCGACAATGAGGCTATCTGTATCGTCTGGTATTCCTCCTTCGTCGTCCTCTCCTGAATAGGTGTAGGAAGTCATGGCATGAAGAGATGCCAGGACGATGATGATGATGATCTGTATATTTTCTGGAACGCACCACATGCAACGCACCACATGCAACGCACGCAATTGAAAAATGGTTTTTCAAAATCGGGCATGCCCCGACCACACATCAAAAGTTCGATCACGACAAATTATTATTTGACGGACGAAGGCAGTACAAGGCCACATTTATCGCGTTATAGTTTCAAACATTTGTTTGTTGGAGAATGTTGTTTCACGCCATATTTACCGAAAAGTCGAAAATATTGCATTGCAACAGTTTATGGTACAAAACCTAATATTTTATATAATAAGGCTGAAGCATCCACTGGTTCATTCTAAAGTACCAGCGCTGTAAAAGATAATCAAAAGACCACAATCTGAATGTATATGGCAATAAGACATGCCAATCTGGTACTGTACTACAATTATAGTAGTAATTAGTTAAAATGGTTGAAGACGCCGTTGCCCCCCTTTGTTGGGATGTTCAGTCCAGTGCCATCATCGCGATACTGCATGCACCACCGAGTATTGCAATAAAAATTATCATTATTGGCAACAACAGCTGTTCACATGTCTGACGGATATCGCTTGCTCCCCATATTGAGCAGGGTGACGGATTACATGACACTGATATCCCAAGCGAGGCTTCCGCTTTGCCTTTCAATCCTTTGGAAATAGTAATCTCGAATCGATGATCTTGTTCTTGAGGTAGGTACGCCAATCCCAAATCCTAAAGGGACCACTTATCTGGGATCTTGCTGATCAGGACGCGCTTACGAGCCTCGACCTGCCCATCCCACTCCCGTCGTCCCACCCAAACGATTGATTCGTTTTAGGTGGCCAAACAAGACTGGAGGGAAGCACCCAGTCGCAGCAAGCCATGAAATCATCTGGTTTCGCGTCGCCGATGCGACCTAGTGAGTGACCAATTCACTAGAAACCACAAAGGCAAACACTAGCCTTCCGAAGGATCCCTTGGAAGTGTGACAATAAAATAAATGCGAAAATGTATTCTCGCCAAAATGTCCTAAAAGAGAAAAGAAAAAAAAAGTGAGATCATGGTTAAAAAAGTAAATGTAATTGATGGGGTGAATTTCCAGGTGACACTCTCTGATGGGTTGTTCGTGTGTTGTCGCACACTATTATCATACTTCATCTCTTTCAAAGTCGTAACAAGAATGTGCTTTATTTGGCATCTTTTCCTCGATTTACCACTCGGCGACTGTATCGCCTTCCTTTTTCCGTCATGCCAGATCCCAAAGCTTCAGTAGAAGGATCCTTCTTATCTGGCGAAAGCTTGAGCTGTAGCCGTCGGCTGTAGCGCTTTCCAGATTCGGTCCATCCAGATCCCATTCCATCAGAAGGAATATTATTCGTAGCTGCGTTGTCAGATTGCTGAGTTGGTGATGCAAAAATCTCGCCATCGCTACCATCCTGCTCCAAAGAATCGAAGTCGTCATTAATCAATCCAGCATCAAAAGGCGACTCGTCCATGGTACTCAAGTCTTCTCCCTCTGGATCTTCGATAATGACAAGAAGGGAAGGTTTGAATTCCTTCTTCTCGTTCACGTCGTCGACTTCTTCTTCTTCCTCCTCCTTCTTTGGATCTTCGATAATGACAAGAAGGGTTGGTTCAAAATCGATCTTCTTTTCAGACATTTTCTCCTTCTGGCCCTTGCTTCTTCTGGCTCTTGCCTTGTTTGCCCACTTGGCTCTCTCGGCCTTGGTCTTCTTTTTCAAATTCGCCTTCTCGGCCAAGATCTCCTCGGCCTTCTTGACCCAAATAGCGCCAGCTTTGGCAAGATGAGTCGATCGTTCATTGGCGATGTCATCGTTGAATCCAGCATCCAACGACGAGTCAATGTGGCTTTCGTCGCCGTCTTCTTCTGGATCTTCGATTAGGACAGGCAGCAAAGGAGTGAAGAGTTCGTTGGTTCGTTTGGCCCATGTTGCAGCGCAAGTTGGAATCGTAGATGATGAATTCATTTTGCGACGCTTGGTGGGTCTGGATGAAATAAGGCAGGAAATTGCGGTTCGCTTGAGTGATAGTGGTGCTTGTTCTTCCATGCAGGGCTCGTCGTCGTTGTTGTCGTCGTCATCCAAATCCATTGGTACTGGAATATTGGAGAGCATGTGCTGAAGGACCGTTGGAAGCATTTGTCGGTGGTTCTCGAGCGCAATTGCAATGATTTCAGAGTCGACTTCGCCATCAATAAATCCAGTATCCAAAGACGAGTCAATGTCACTCAAATCTTCTTCTGCTGGATCTTCGATAATGGTGGCAAGCACTGTAGGTTTGAAATCGATCATCAAGCGTCGGGCATTCCGTCTCTTGATCTTGCGGTCAATTTGACGAATTAGCTGCCTTCGGGACTGAAGATCTTGCTCGTCGGGAATGAAGTTTCTCCTTCGAGTCTTAGGGGCGAATTGGACTCGGCTTGAAGAGGTTGGTTTGGGTGATCCCCAATCTTGTCTTGAAGGACGAAGAATGGACACAGGAGTGTGTGGAACGAATCTCACTGTGTTCTCTATCTCTGGAATTACTTCGTCGCGAAGTTGAATGCGCCATTGAATCAGACCCCAGCATTCCCTGCGAGATTGTAGCTCTTGCTTGTTTAGGACAAAGGTTCGACGAAAGATTTTGGCGAAACGGACACGATTTGGTTTTCTGGTGAACACACCCAACCAACTTCGGTTTTTCTTGCGAGACCCGCCTTCTGGACGACGAAGGATGGAAACAGGAGGCTGTCGTCTGTTCCATTGCTTGCAAAGTATCTGATAGGTTCGGTAAGTGTCGAGTACCATGTACCGAAGTAACACGATTGCGACTGCACAAACCAAACCGGTAATGATGGTTTCTTGAACTGGTTGTTGTTGTTGAGTGATGGCACTCATTCGAGGTAACTTGGGAAAGCTGATGCGTTTCAAGCTTTCTTGATTGACAAAGGTAGTGATGTAGTTGGTCATGATTGCTGTTGTTGTTGTTGTACTAATTGATTCAAAGAGGTTCATAATGGAAATTGTGAGGTGTTGCGTTGAGGTGTGGAGTGAAAACCACGGCGGGTTGGAGATCGCCAATTTGCCGTGTTTTTAACACGATTGACTCCTTCGAATCCTCGTTTGGTGGTCTCGGTGGACTCACTCGCGGTGTTTTGTACGATGGATTTTGTTTTTATGTCATGATGGATTCGGGACGCTGATTGTAGAGTGTTGGAAGGTTAGACCATTGTCGATCATATATATGACGAAAGATGACGACTGCATCTTCATTATCGGATCGTTGACAGGAGTACGAGTTAGTATGTGTACGATATGTACGATACCGCAGTCGGAAGTATGCACACGGTGGACGTACCCCAACGCCCATTCATACGAAGACCGAAGGGGAAGATATTCTCATATTTATCAGGGTTATCATTGTTATAATTCCAACTCACTCAATCCGTCCAAGCTAAGCGGTCATGACGGTCAGCATCAGGAAAAACAGACAATTATTTCAGTTTCGACATTTTTCATCGTGTAATTTTCCACAATTATTTTTCATCGCGGTGTTTCATTTTTCCACAAGGAAATTCGGAAAAGATTGTTTACTGTTGAATATTTTCTATTTAGTTTAGAGTCAGTCCATCTTGTTTGTCTGTCGTTTTCTAGCTTTTATAGTGTCTGCAAATTGTTTCCCCCACTTTGCAGCCCCTACCCCGGGCCCTCACACTTTTATATAGTACAGTAAGGGTACCCTTTTAAGAGAGTATTGTGCGATAGCGTAAAATGTCTCTTAAGGCGGTTCCCCTCTTATTAAAGGGGGTCTGGGGGCGTCGCCCCCAGTGGATTGGGGGGCTGGGGGCAGCCCCCAGCGGGTCAAGGGCGGAGCCTTGCGGGGGGTATCTAGGGGGGCAGAGCCCCATTGGAGAAGAAAATTTGCAGTTTCAGGTAACAATTGAACCAAATTTTATAAGAAAACTACCACAATCTTTAAGGTACATTTTAGATCTGGTGCTGCGCTGGCCGCTTCATACATTCAATGCTTCCTAAGCAGTTTTTTGAGCCTGCTGTTAGCATTGAAGCATCTAGTTCCAAATGATCCAGATGATTCGGACGCTGAGGAAGAGGTGTGATGTCTTTCTCGCCACTCTGCTGTAACAAATCCTTCTGCTGCACTTCCCCCAGAAAGGCTGGTTTGCAGGCGAAGGACAGACATATGGGCATGAAATGGTACGGGTGACAGACGGACTGTGAAAGTTGTGTCTCTTCAAAATTTGTCTCTTAAGGGGGTGTTTCTCTTAAAAAAAAAACCTCTTAACAGGGTACCCTTACTGTATATCATATTTTTTATCATCATTTCACCCTCAACTGCGGGGGGCCGGTCAGACGCCAAAAAAATGAAGATCTGCTTTGCGGTGCGATGATGAATAGTAAAAAAGCAATCATGGCAACCGTGGCATCTCTTCCTTCCAATAAGCGACAGAAAACAATCTTACCACCGCCTTGCTTTTACAATGATCTGCACTCGTCGTACAGGGTAGAATGGGAAGCTCGGAAACGCAAGTTTCCTCCTTCGATTGCAGTATCCAGCCTTTGCTTTGTGGAACCATCATCATCATCGTCATCATCAGATGATTCAGATGGCAAGAAGGGTTCATCGTTCCTTTTGGTGGGAATGACCAAAGGTTCTTTGACTGTCTTTCAACACTTTGGACAACAGAGCGAGTCCGAGGAAGAAGTACTGCAACAACAGGTGGCGAGGGGAGAAGCAAATGACCAAGATGATGAGTCTTCTTCGGATATCACGGAACCTTCCGGATGGAAACTTGTTGTTTCCCATGAGCTCTGCAAGGGAGCTTTGACATTCCTTCATGTCAGTAAACTGTCGGAGAAGCAATCCGTCGTCCTTGCGGGCGGTATGGATGGACTTTGGTGTTGGAATTCTGTTTCAGACCTATTGACAGTAGATAGACGCACAGTTGAGGAGACCAAGACGATGAAACCGGCAAATAGATTGAGCAAAACTCCAAAGAATCAGTCAACCTATCACCATGAATCTATTTCAATCGAGAAAGCACAAGCAAGTGATTCGGACGTCTACATATCCACCCCACATCGCAAATTGTATCAGATTGGGATTTCATCATTGATAGCCTCTTCCGCAAATGGGACGACAGTGGAGAAGAAAGAACTTCCGTTGCCTGATAGGGATGATGGTCAAGACAAATCTGATATTGTACCGCTACAAGAGCTGAGTCAGACGGTGGGTCATGTCGGTGATTTCGAAATCACGGCGCTACATGTGACTGGCACTTCGCTCTTGGTCGGAACCAACCAATCCAAAGTTCATTGTTGGGACATTGAAAAACAGGCGTATTCAGAACCTTTGGATCTGAGTAGTTTCAACAACAGTAAATTGGAGGAGGAGACAGCTGTTCGAGTCACTGCGATTTCGTCTATTCAGTCAGACTGGTGGACCATTGCAGGAAGCATCATTTCAGATGAAACATGGACTGGATCATTCCGCAAGAAGAAGGCTGGCTACAAGCGACCTGTCAGCTTTCTCGGCACATGGCACGGACCATCCAAGTCCAGAGCGCAGTTGGTATCCAATATTCTAGAGAGCATTCAAGGGTTATTGGTGGCGGCTTCAGGCCAACTCTACTCGATTGGGAACGTGCCTACATTGACAGTCTTTGAATCGCCCTATCAATTGGAACGACCACGTCGGATTGGAACCAATGCTAAGAGCAACAAGGCAATTTGCTGTGGGTTGATGAATGGTGGATTGGCGGTAGCTGGTGTGGGGTCCAAGGTGGACTTGGTGCAATCGTCTGTTCGTTTGCAGTCGCTGGATCTACTGCAGGCGTTCGCGTCCGATCCTCAAGGAGCAGGGGCAAGGAAAAACTAGGGTGCCATCATTCAGGACTTTTACATTGGAAGGCTCCAATGTGCAGCGAAGATTAGGTTCTTGTTAAGGCTCAATGATAGCTCATCAAAGAAGCTGCCCATTCTTCTTCCTCCCTACTACGTCATGGAAACCAACAAAGAATATTGAAAATGACAAATAGGCTATACTTTACATGGAGACTGTATGATATATTTTATGGATGTGAAAATCGTCGTTTGTTGCTTTTTTCCCGTCGGAACCACTAGTATACTTCCAAAGTATACTGGATCGAAGGTACTTCAAGCATGATTTATCACTTCATTTATCTCACTCGGCGAGAAGAAGGCCCCTTGCCCTTGCCGCCCTTGCCTGCTGACAGCTTGGATCCTTTTGGTGCCGATGGTGCCTTTGCCTTCTTAGTAACCTTTGGTCCCTTTGCAGTGGTAGCGGTAGGGGTAGCAACTGGAACAGGAACTCCGACTGGGATAGCAACAGGAATCATAACTGGGACCGCGATAGGAACAAAAGATCCAGAGGTAGCTGGTGCAGCTGGGGCAACCGTTTGTGCAGCAGCAACGGCGATTAGAGCGAGGAGGAAGAAGAGAGACTTGGACATTGTGTCTTTGAAATATGTATGCGTGTTGATTCGATGCAAACTGTGAATAATGAGTATGGTATGAGGCAGAATGAGTGAAACGATGCCGGCACAGAGCTTCATTTTTTTGGCTGATAGCGCCAAATATCATCGCAACAGAAAGACGGCGGTTTCAACGTGCAGGAAAATCACTAGTAAATTTTGGTGGTGCATTCGACGCGACCACAAAATGAGCCATATCTACATGTTCGAGATAAATCTTTTTTATTTTGTTACGATTATCACTGCGATACACCACGACGACAAAATGGCATATTTAAACCATAATGCTGCGATCTATATATTGAGCTCGAGTCCATGGATGCCTACCAATGGTCACAGGGCACTGCAGTGGTCCTTAACAAGTATTGAGAAGAATGCATCGTCGCTCCAACTTTATGAGACTCAGCATGGGTCAAATGGCATCGCAGTAGCATGTTATTGACTAAGAAAGACTTTATTTAAGCATGAAATTTACTTTTACAAAATTGCAAGCACTGCGACATGCTCGCAATGGATAGGGTAGTATACTTGTTTTGATGTTCCGTGAGCATGTTTGTTTTCACAAATATCACAATCTTGAGAACATCAGTATTTTAGCACATCACATTTTTATCTCACTCGGCGAGAAGAAGGCCCCTTGCCCTTGCCGCCCTTGCCTGCTGACAGCTTGGATCCCTTTGGTGCCGATGGTGCCTTCGCCTTCTTGGTAACCTTTGGTCCCTTTGCAGTGGTAGCGGTAGGGGTAGCAACTGGAACAGGAACTCCGACTGGGATAGCAACAGGAATCATAACTGGGACCGCGATAGGAACAAAAGATCCAGAGGTAGCTGGTGCAGCTGGGGCAACCGTTTGTGCAGCAGCAACGGCAATTAGAGCGAAGAGGAAGAAGATGGACTTGAACATTGTATTTGCTTGTGTATATTTGAAGTTTCAAAAAGTATGGGAAATTGAAGAGTTTAGTGAATTTGTAGGTGTGACTCTTGAGATGCAGCAAGTTACAGTAGCTTCATTTTTTGGCAGTGAGCACCAAAATGCTGGTTCAACCATAAATGTGATTTTCCGTTCGTTTCTGTGTGAATGAAAATCACTAGTAAATTTTGGTGGTGGATCCTGTATTTTACTTAATGGTCAAATTACCGCCTAGTGTTTTTTATTTCAACGGATTCGTGAACGAACAAAAAACAAACCCCACTTTTCTGTTCCATTTCCTTTCTGGCTTCGACTGCCAAAAAAAAGGAAGCAAACTTCCTTCCTCCAGTTGCATCCATGGACTCACCAAGTACTTCAACATCCCATACTTTTTGAAACTTCAAATATACACAAGCAAATACAATGTTCAAGTCCATCTTCTTCCTCCTCGCTCTAATCGCCGTTGCTGCTGCACAAACGGTTGCCCCAGCTGCACCAGCTACCTCTGGATCTTTTGTTCCTATCGCGGTCCCAGTTATGATTCCTGTTGCTATCCCAGTCGGAGTTCCTGTTCCAGTTGCTACCCCTACCGCTACCACTGCAAAGGGACCAAAGGTTACCAAGAAGGCAAAGGCACCATCGGCACCAAAGGGATCCAAGCTGTCAGCAGGCAAGGGCGGCAAGGGCAAGGGGCCTTCTTCTCGCCGAGTGAGATAGATCGATCATGTCAATCGACTGACTCTGTATCACTATCTTTGGGAGATGTCCCTTTTCATCGGGCCTTCGCTGAGTGAGCACAATTTTTTGGAAATATTGTGCAAGACTTTCTTGGCTGATCGAAATGAACGTATCATATACATATAGCTTGACCGTATAAAGACGATATAAGTATGCCCTTATTCAAACTCTTAACTTCCATCCTCATAGTAGCACTACAACTTGGACTTGACAACACTTAAAACTATCATTGTTAACAGTCATGAGGTTGCTCCTTGACTCTGAATTCCGTTTTTGACGGAAGAAACGATGGGGAAACAATAAGACCCTCGTATACGATCTTTTTATCATGGCATCAGCCACACGGTTTGTGCCATAAAATCGATGGTATGGCTGAAGAAGGGTAACAGTATTTATCATGATGGGATCAGTTCACAGAGGCTTGGCCAGCCTAGATGAGTGAGTCGGTATTCAAGCCTTGGGCCTATTTCGGGAATTATTCGTTTTCTTTCCTTTCTGGAACAATAGAATACATGACCATGAAACAACAAGGCACAAACGAGACAAAGAGACATCGACTAATCACAAACAACAAATTCGTATATTCATTTATAAGGCCTATGCTTTCTATAGCGTGGTCTTTCTGATGCGCCGTTTGGTTCAACGTCCATTTACGAACATTTCCCGCAATATGAAATGCGCAGCGAAGGACTGGCAAAAGCTAAAACGGCTCAATGACAAGCATCATTCCTCCTCAATGCATCATGTTCCAACCACCATCTGGTGTGATGGTGGCATTGTAGCATGCAGTCTTTGCCTCATCTTGCTTATTGCAAGTGAGTCAAGTATCGTCTGGAAGACTTGGAGGAGGAGGCAGAAAGCTTGGACCCCTTGGAGGCAGATGGAGTCTTGGCCTTCTTGGCAGCCTTTGGCGCCTTTCCGCCGGCCATGACAGGGGCAGCAACTGGGGTCATGACAGGAACCATAACTGGAACCATGACGGGGACGGCAACAGGAACAGCAACTGGGACAGCGGATCCAGAGGCAGCTGGGGCGACACTTTGCGCGGAGGCAACAGCGACAAGAGCAACGAAGGTAAGGACGGACTTGAACATTTTGAAGTTTTAGTGTGTTTGTGAAGATTGACTTTTTGTGGCGAAAAGAAATTGTGAGGTAGGCAGTGGGTTTGATGGAGAGACTGCCGACTTTTTTCATAGATCTACTTCCTCTAATTTTGTCGACGACTGAATGTCCGCGTATGAAAACATCCGTTGCCAGGTGAAACTGTGCGGTAATCGACCGCCCTGGCGTTTCACGGTCAAAAGCCAGCATTTGGTGAATCGTGTAGAAAATATCACGGAATTCGCTACAGTACACGTGTACCAGGGAACCTGGTACTGTATTTGCACCACCACGGGCGAACGTCACACTCGAAACGTCACTGCAATCAATAATACCTGATACCAGGTACACAGTCCAATTCCTCTATTGTCAGGTCTGTGAGCTGGTATCTACAGTATACAATAAAAAGAAAATATCTATAGTAGCTTTAAGTTGTAAGATTCAGTAGGCTACAATTTCCACCGAGCTCGTTGAATATGTTCTTGTAGTGCATCTTGAATCTCGAAACGAACAATACCGTATCGTTTCGTTGCATCTTCCATCTGTATACCGGTACAAATGGATGGTATCTTGATATTTTTGTTGTTGTGAATAATGGTGAGCCTATACCGGGTAGCTTCCAATTGCAACCCATCTCATGCTGTTATCAGCAAATATCATTCCAGTAATTGTAAAGATCTACCGCTAACCACTACGGTGCTCTGCAAACACAGGCAAAACCACGGTTTTCTAAAAATATAAATAGCTACGGTATGGAGTATACAAATTTCATAATACGTCTAGTTCTTATCGTGTAAAGCTTAAGCTCTTCATTGCGAGATTTCCCAGTGTGTCTGCAGAACTAATATCCATGAACGATTCAGGACGACCTGAATCATTCACTTTGATGGACATCTCAATGTCTTCCGCGACTCCAAAGGCGAACGGATCGCTATGGTTTCATGAACTCATACAAAACTCAACCGATATACAAAGGGTCCAGTGACAGCTATCAAAATGTCCAATCTCTCCGTGCTTGATTCATCCTAAAGACAAACAGCCCGACGATACTAGCCTCAGCATGCTTAGTGCAAGTGAGTCAAGTACCGTCTGGAAGACTTGGAGGAGGCAGAAGAAGCGGACAACTTGGATCCCTTGGAAGCAGATGGAGTCTTGGCCTTCTTGGCAGCCTTTGGAGCCTTTCCACCAGCCATGACAGGGGCAGCAACTGGAGTCATGACAGGAACCATAACTGGAACCATAACAGGGACAGCAACTGGAACGGCAACTGGGACGGCAGATCCAGAGGCAGCTGGGGCGACACTTTGTGCGGAGGCAACAGCGACAAGGGCAACGAAGGTAAGGACGGACTTGAACATCTTGATAGTTTGGAGTTTGTGTAGTAACTTGTGCAAAAGTAAAATTGTGAGAAGCAATGCGAAGTTTGGAACTTCCAGAGATACGTTTGAGATTTTCCCGTAACACGCCGGCAAGGAGGCGCCAAATATTTCAAACGGTGATGTTTATGGGTGATATTTATGTGGTCCTTTGTAAATACTGGTATGATCGGTGTCCGTTATAATGTCTCTGTTCAAAACGTACGGCAGTTTGGAAGTTGGCAGGCGTCCTTGGTATGTTTGCCAGCTGCAAAAGTCCGTGTGACAAAAACACTCCGAGAGGAAGCGTGCAGGCAAACCAACCGTCATCCATTCTCCTCCATTAATTTCCCAACGTAATGCAAATCTGAGCTGTTCTGTCGAATGTCGAAGGCGTGGATGGCTTTCACGTCACCTTCACTCTGGCAGGCCCCTCTGTGCCGTCGGAAGTTCATGCTGTACATTCTGCCTTCTCCAAACTGCATCACCACCACCACCTTGGTATGCTCTGCCCGTTATTTCCACACGCGTCCATTTCTTCATAGGAGCAATTGAAGACAACAAGAGGGGTTTAACATTCATTCATTTATTTTATATCTGCGGTGGACCCAATGGTGTTCTTTTCACGATTATCTTCCACTGCTTGTCGACAACGATTGGTTGTTACCTGGGGTCTCATTGAATTTTTAATACCGTGCATCTCTCACGTTGTTTCAGTGGTGATCTATGAATGCAATAATCCATGGCCAAATGCAGTATCATGACGGCGACGGATGATCAGCGCAATTTCTTAAACGGAAGGAGAAACTATGTTATCGTTCTGGATGATTGATTGATCAACATTTCGATCATATCCATTCCTCTGAATTATATTTACACTACAATCAAACGGTATGATGACGAAACTTTCTATAGTACCACTCTCGTTGGCCGTGTTCAGGTTGATTTCCATTTTTGTGAAAGAGGAATATGTATCACATGACTGAAAGAGGCCTGATGAAAGTTGGAAAGTATATCTGAGGTTATCCACAACTAGAGTTTTGCATATGGAAAGAGAAACTAGGATGACTCAGAGGAAGCAAAACGAAACAAATTCGGCTCCTGGAGCTTTATTTTTGGTTCCTATTCTTCCTTTTTCTGAGAACAATCAGAGGTAGGAACGAAAAGCATGTAGTGGGATCCTGAATAGATTTCAGTCGTCATTTTTTAGATGGGTTAGTGAGTCCTCAAGTGATGTATGCCCTGTCTGCTTCTGAGTAGGCACCTGATAGAGTCCACTGTTGGATTGTCGTTTGATATTTACCTATGGTATCGTCAATCGATTCGCTTCATCGTTCCATGTAATTTGTTTCAGTACAGTGTGCTGGAGTGAGTGTTTTCGAAAGGAAAGCCACTGAAGATTTTCAGGCAGTCGTTTTATGCAGTCGTGGAATCTCGCTTGGAAGTGACATGATGCCAATACTGCTATGCTATGTTGGTTGCCCAGACGAAAACATGCACTACCCATAACAAAAGGATGGGTTCATTCATGTTGAATGAAGGCTTCAGATAGCAGAATTGTTTCTCTCGAGAGATCATGAATTGCATGTTTCTTCAGATTTTCGGATCAGAACATGCCGATGAAAGATTAAGCTTCAACTGAATCCATGATTGCAGGTAAGTGTGAGGGTGATCGGCAGTCTCTTCATTAAAGAAGAAGCAACTGTACATCTGTTTCATTCATTCATAGTGAAGGCTTCACACGCCATGACTATTCCCACAAAAGTTGACGAAAAGTTATCGAGATATTCACGCCACCGACGAATAAAATGCCAATAAAAGATCCATCTTCAACTGACTTCATCATAAACTGTTGTGAGTATGATACTGTAAAAGGACGGATTGTATGTAACACATAACCGCTGATATAGTACATAGGCAGCTAGTAATAATTACAAGATTTTTTTGACAATATAAGTACCGGATTTAGTTTAGATTCCTAAGAAAACAAGGAAGCCAAGCCATTTGTTGCGTCTCAAGGATGGGTAGTGTCCCGAGCCGCGATATTGTAACGTTTCACACAAGTAGTAGTTTTGAATAGATATGTATCTTGGCCCCTAATAGCCCCTCGGCGAGCGCATTGCAAATACATTGCGTCCTCCAAAGAGCCTCAGAGAGACAGGATTGGGTTGAGTTTTTTTCACCTTCTTCCGATGGTGAGGTTGTTGCTTCGAGCACAATGCTTATTGCATCTGGTTCAAGTAGCGTCTGGAAGACTTGGAGGAGGCAGAAGAAGCACTCAACTTGGATCCCTTGGCGGCAGAGACAGTTGGGGTCTTGGCCTTCTTGGCGGCCTTGGGTGCCTTTCCGGTGGCAACTGGGGCAGCAACTGGGGTCATGACAGGAACCATAACTGGAACCATGACGGGGACGGCAACAGGAACAGCAACTGGGATGGCAACTGGGACGTTGGATTGCGCCAAGGCAACAGCGAAGAGGGCGACGAAGACGAAGATAGACTTGAACATGTTTGAAAGTTGGATAATAACTTGTAAAAGTAAATATTGTGTAGACGTGATGAAAGTCACGGAAACTCCTTACAAGAGATCTGCAGATTGCAGCCTATGATCTTTGCCGCCCACACTTTGCCGTTTGAATGTTTGAAGTTTGGAGCGAATACCTAAGTAAAGGTATTCTTTGAAGTCCGTTATTGTAATTCTGTAAGGATAGTACCATTGAAAAAGGCTTGGCTGGTGGCGGTGAAGAGAGGGTTGGCTCTGGTTTATTTGTAATTATCGCGTTGACTCCGACCAGACCGCGTGGTCACACCAAATTTTGGTCGGTCTGGCTCGGTACAATTTGAAATCATCGTACGAGAACCATCGTGTGACATAACGTCCGTCGGCCCAGCCGACACCTTACAAGACCTCACGTTTGATTAGCCATCAAGCAACGTCACTTTCTTTTGGCGGTACTTCGAGCAGCAACCGCTCCAGAACCATGCGTTTGTATTCGCCGGCTGCCGTCAACATGTCACCTGTGCGAGCAGACGTCGAAGAGAGCACGTCAGGTTTCCTCTACGAGAGTACCTTTTTGTTGGCCGTCTGTCTTGCTTGGTGCGTGATGGATGTATCATATGATATATTTGAATATTCATCAACACGATGACTCTCGGTCAACTTGTAGTCATGTTTTGATCCTTTGTTCACTGGCACTGACTACGGTACCGGTACATTGGCCTCATCTTACAGTAGTGCATCACTCGTTGCTGCCAAGGCACTGACTAAAATATCTGGATCATGGTATTATACAGCACCAGTAATCCAAAATGTGCTGACTGACATGCTGGATCATCAATTGGTTGCTATCTGCTCCACTCTCGCCTCGTCCTCTTTTCTGCATTTCGTCTGCATACTACTGTATACTGCATACCTTGTAGTTTTGAAAAGGAGACGCTTCCAATGCTTCTCTACTCCTTTTGATGCGGTGCCAAGAAGAAATGACTTCTGGATCAAGCTTATACTTCTATCGTATCTTACAACTCTGGTGGCCGTTCGTTTCGAATACAATACGAAAATTAATTATAGATCAAGAATCAATCGTCACCAAGAGCTCCAACAATCGTCATCATCAAGAGCACCCTACGGCAACAGTAGCAGCATAACGACATGGAGTGATGATACCATGTATCACTAAATCCGATACCTCACTCAATCACTCAGTCACTGTGATGGATAGTATCGTAGTCCTACTACACCATCAACATTCTTCTGTATATTTATTTCTCCTTGTGTCGTAGTCTTCTTCTTTTTAAGAAGCCAATTCAGTTCAGTATCATTCCATCCAATGATCCTTCAAAAAATTCTCACAGTCATCGTCAACAACAAACTCCTACGGCAACAGTATCACGATAAGGACATGAAGCAACAATATCATGGATCTCCAAATCTAATACTTCATTCAATCACTTACTATTAGATAGATAGCATAGTGTAGTGTAGTGTAGTATGGGACCTAGTGCAACTCCAACTTTCTTCTATATATTTATGTTCCCAAGTTCCGTCGTCGTCATTAGTCGATGCATTTCAATTCCATTCCATCAATGATCTTCCATTAAAAACCACAATCATCGTCATCATCATCGTCGTCGTCGTCATCATCATCTGCCACCACTGGTTTCTTGGCGGCTGAACTCTTCTTACTTTTACTCCTGACATTCTTACTATCGTCGTCTTTCTGCTCCTGTACCTTGAGTTTTTTCGCTGGTGGCTTGGAGTCGCCATCATCATCATCATCATCATCATCATCATGATCGTCTTCTTCTTTTGCTTGTCCCTTTGTAGTATGATGGTCGTCTTGCTTTCCTCCATTGTTTCGTTTCTTGAGACGTTCTTGACGATCCGCCTTGTTGCGACTATTTGCCTTGGCCTTTGGTGGTGTTGGAGCAGTAGCACTTGCACCAGTAGCAGTAGCATGAGTAGTACCATTGTTCCCACTATAATACTTTTGTTGCAATTCCTCCACACTCAATTCCGCATCTTCCTGTAATTCATTCAATTCGTGAGCATTCTTTTGGTCATCCTCCGAGTCAATTTCATCGTCCTCTTCTTCTTCTTCTTCTTCTTGGTCAGCACCACCACCAGGAACCCCATAGAATTTTTCACATTGCAACCAATAGGTCTTTTCTTTGGAATTGGGTTTATAGGTTCCCTTGAGATAAAAGGCACCGAATTCATTGGTTCCCGTTCCCGTGACTTGATAGGATGATGATGATGACGATGAACTGCTGCCGCTTGTTGTTGTCGAGGAAGAGCCATTCTTACTACCTTCTTGTTGTTGTAGCAGTACCAACTCGACTCCCTTTTCTTTAATCTTGCGATGTGGTTGAATCTGATCCGTATGATCGGTATGAAAAAAACCATTCATGGCAATTTTTAGTTCCTTCTTGTTATTCTGTTCGCCAGCAGTAGCAGTAACAGTAGTAGCAGCAATAGGTTTGCCCAAGGAAAAGGAATCGGGCATGGGATGAATGGATTTGAGCTTGAAGGTCGTCTTGGCATCGGACGAATTGCTACCCAAATCACGTTTCATGCACCAAGTCCCCAAATACAACAAATGATGCTCCTCGTTCAATTTGAATCGTCCTTGCAAGACTGGACAATTGACGCTCTTTTTGCTGCCGCCTTCTTGTTGTACAAACTCACCATCCTCGTCGTCGTCTTCTTCTTCTTCTTCTTGAAATTCTTCTTCCTCCTCCTCATCCCCATTGTTGGTTTCGGCAAGGTATTCCGCCATGATCCTGGCACGTTCTTCGTCAGATGCCATGACGAATGATGTAGGATTGATTTTTTTTGTTTGTAAATACCGTAGTTGAGTGTTGGATTAGTTAGTTAGTGTGTCGTTAGTTGTGTGGTGCTTGGATCGATTTGTGATTGTGTATTTTGCTGGATTATTTATTTTGATATATAAAATGGGTGCTATGGCACACGACGACGACGTTACGTGTATAGTACCTACTGGCAGTAATCACTGTGTGAATCAATCAATGGATGATTGATTCTCTGGTTGTTATTTGTTGTACTGTAGATTGCTTGTCGTATTGTATTGTATGGTATTGTATATATTATATATCTCCTGACAAGAGCAACCACAATTTGCGGACACAATATTAGATATACACCGGTACAAGAGAATGATGAGAAAGAGAGTTGTGAAGGATGGTTGGAGGAGTCAGCTGTCAGCTGTCATTCAATCAGTTTTTTGTTTCGGATCCTCTGTCATGATTTTAAGTCGGGACAGTCGATTTTTGACTTCTGATTGATTGATTCGCCCCTTGCGCCTGTCCATACTCCAAACATGATATGACCTGCCTGCCTATCGTAGACGAAGGTACCGGTACCAGGTACCAATGTACCGGTCCGTTCCGCTACGGTACTGTAGGTATGGTCGAAATCAAATCGGATTCAAGACCGGGCCGTCTCGCACCAGCCCTCCATTGACACCTAATTACACAGGCAATAAGAATCGCCAGATCGATCAGATTTCGATTGTGAAAAATCGTGGACAACCAATGAATAGAAGAAAAAAAAGAAAGAAAAAACATCTGTGATATAGCATTGTAACAAACATCTCTTGTATACCTACCGTAATACGTCTATTGCATTACAGCAAAGCTTCTCTTCTTCTGTACGCCTTATAGAGTAAAGCTCAAACACAATCACAAACACACACTAAACAATGATGATGATGGCATTCTTCAATAGCAGCGCTCTACCGGTATGGATGATGCTTCTGTTGTGTTCTCGTTTCACCACCGTCCAAGCAGACACGGTCCAATTGGCCGAATGTCCCAAGGAACCCAATGTCGTTGGTGTTTACATTAACAATGGCAGTAATTGCGTACGAGAACGCAACGAAATGGCCCGAGAAATTGTCGATGCGACCTGCAAGACTGGTTGGGAATTGATCACCACGCCCACTCAATCGCAATCGTATTGCCAACCATCATTGAATGCCAATGCTAATACTAATGATAATGATAGTGATACTAATGATGACAAGAGCAGCAACAACAACAACAACAGCAACAAGGATCCGGCTTCCGTTCCAACCTGTCCCGTCGATTATCAACGATACGGAACGCAATGCCATTCTCCCTGTCCCCGTGGTTACAATTCCAAACGAGGCAAGTGCATTCAACTCAAGGATTCCATGCCCCAACATTCCATGACTTGTCCGAACGACAACAACAACAGCAACAACAACAAAAATTTGCATAGAATTGGTGCCTATTGTTGCGAATCGGATCAATGCGGGGATTTGATTCAAGCACGTCATGAGATTCGCATCCAAAAGATGCAGCAGCAAAAGGCGGGGAGTCAATCGCAAAATGCCATTTTGCCCCCTTCCACCACCAGCCTCACGGAATGCAATTTGCCCAGTGTTCCCGGTCGTTTTTATTACAATCCAATGACGGGACGATGCGATCGATCTCGAATTTCGGAACCAAGAGTTTGGAAGAAATTGCCCCGGGACAATAAGAATCGATACATTGGGACGTGTGACGAAGAACGCGAAACCAAAGTATTGGGAGGATGTCAACCCAAGTGTCCACCTTATTACAAATCCCAAAAGGGCATGTGTCATTTGCCACCCTGCAGTATTCCATTTGGAAGAGGAATGAATGATTACGACGAAAAGGAAAATGACAAGATGAAGAGCAACAATGGAATTGTCTTGTGTCCCGAAGGCAAGTATTACTTGGCATCGCAGTCCTTTTAAAAAGAAGGAAAAAGAAGAAGTATTGTTAATGATAAGAAGAAAAAGAAGAAGAATGACTGCATCATGGGGACACTAGGAATACCGCGCTGATAAAGAACAAAGAAAGCATAAACACTTACGAGGGGAAAGTGGGAAACGGAACGACTGATTCATTCATGCATGGTGATTGAACGGTCGTCGTTTCTCCAATACTACGATTAGAGAGCTACTGATGCTGCACTGTATGTAAATGGACACTTGTTGTTCCATTTTCGCACTGGCACACTCACACACAAAAACAAAAGGGCAGCATGGAACAAAAAAAGTTATATATATATATTCTAAAATGCGCAACCGTAGCGACAGTCAGCGATATTGATTGATTGATTGTGCACATCAGTAGCATCCTTTTAGAAAAAGATTTTCAAAATTGTGATTCGATAAAATGTATGGAATCAATTGCAGATAAACGCTACATGCAGTACAGTACTGGGGTGGGCCAACCATGGATGCAGATGGACCTGCTGCAAATAATGTAAGATCATCTTCGACTGTTCCGAACTCCGAACTACAGTCAGTATCGACAAGGATGGTATCGATAGATTATGATAGCGCCTAAACAAGTCCCGCCCATCGCTCGTTTTCCCAAACGAGATGATCATACCCACCAGAGGGTATGCGTTGGGGAGGTCGCTCCTATCTTATATACATCAAAACCACTGCAAGAAAAGGAATGAATGAATGAATGGATAGATAGATGCGCAGCTAGGTAATGGTATAGCATTGCTCCAGTAGCAGGAAGTGTTGGGTTCGTTTCGACTATCAAAACGACGAGGAGTGTGGGGAAGCCAACAGAGAACCCATCCGTCCATCCATCCATCCATCATCATCGTCATCATCACCATAAAGGTCGGAAACTTGGTGTTGACAAGGAAGCTTGTGGGACACACCATGAAAAGTGCCCATGGTACAGAACAAGATTCTGGAGCTCTGCAAAAAAGCCATTGCATCATTTCACATTCCCCATCAGGTTAATCAAGAAGGCCAACGACACGAGCTGCGATGATTCTTCAAGTTCTTTATGTTTGGCAACAATCATTATTTATTCATTCAACCATCTTACGCCACAAGTGTTACTATTGGCTGCTCGAACTCTTTTTGTTGGATGCACCTTTGGGGTTCAGAATGGGGTCTCCACATGCAAACAAAGGTGTCGAAATCCCAAGGCATGATGATCAATAGTATTATATTGATCTATCTTTGTTCCATGCATCGGTTTTATCTACTGGTTGGAGTTGTAAAATATTTGGGATTCTCATCTCCATGGGGCTGGGTCTTACGCAACAATACGCCAATTTCGTCTATGGATCGCTATGGATGAGAAAATGTCGATAGAAATCAATCGGCCTCGCTAGATCAACCATCCATAGATACATGCACTGCCCTCAAATGAAGTTAGGACGCAAGAAGTAAAGTGGTACTGGTCGAATGGTTGGCCTAATTTCACTTAACTTCTTCATTCCATCACTTATTTGGCATCCTTGGGCAAACACATTAAGGCCAGGTGGGTTGGAAATTGATGGGGGGTGTTTCAATGGCCTTATCACTTTGACTTATTGGGTGATTGATTCATTCGTTCAGTCCTCGTGATATCAAGAGTCCAAAGATGCTGGCCAAGGATCTTTCCAGTCGCCCTATATGTATCCAAACACGGTAAGACCCTGACCCAACGCATTCAAATATACACATACCATTCGGTTTTGGGTGTCATTTAGGAATATGATACGGCGGAAATGAGCCCAAGGGCTCCGATTTTTGCTGGACCTCATTCGAAAAGGCGACAGTGGACTCCAAGGGTTTTCCTGGAATTTGATCCATTCTGGACCAAACCTCGCGGTTTGAAGTACACTGACACTCTAGAATGAAGAAAAATAGCATATTGGTTATATCGGAATAACAAGATTTGTAACCAGAACAAGGTCGCTCTCATTATTGCCTCTGAATTTTGCATTTCGGTCGGGGTGACGTCCGCCCGTCTCCGGTCAATCAATGATCACATCGAAGGTGGTTTTCCTCTTTACAACATCATCAATGGTGAGTTGGAGCCCAGAATATTTTGTTCACTGCATGAACATTTGATTGATATTAGGAGCTATGAATCTCCTGGCCTTCTAGGAAGGGCCCAGTATGAAAGAATTTGGAATATTTGCCTTCTTTGGGCACAAACAGGACCACTTTTCCAAGCTCAACATTTTCGTCCCTTCGCTTCTGGGCGTCCTACGTAGCCCTCATGGATTTACAAGTCGTATCAAAGGGCGCAATATCTTCTTTGAGTGACACGAAAGCCTTGAATTCAAGAGGACGATGTCGAATGGTCTCAAGATGCACCGAAATCGAAGCCAAGCGGTAGACTCAAAATCTGTTGCCCGTATGAAATCAGTGTTGGTGGACCCGGCAAGCCGCGAAAACACAACAGCAATGCACCAATCTCTTCTTTGGATCTAACAAAAGTGACTGGGTCGTTTCCCAGAGGTAATTGACCTTCTATTAGAAGAGAAGTGTCGACCAAACTGGCGGAATGATCCGGAACAAACTGTCGGTTTACCATCGTTGGGCAGGTCCCCCTACCCGCCATTGATAGAGAAAATCACTCAACAATACACCAATGCTTTCTAATTATCCCTCAGGTCAGGGAAGCATGTGATTCGCTTATAGAATCGGACTAGATCAAACAAACAAGGGCCACAATGGCGTCAGGACACCTGTGAGTTTTACCCCTAACCAGTGTTGGTTGCATTGCGAGCCTAGTTTCTTTGAACTTCTATGTTCTAACGCATCTTTTTGGTCCATGGGTACATACATCAAGGTTTGGGTACTTTGGAAGGTGGATATTCTAGGTAGAAGTGTTTCAACGGCAATTGCTTGACCTGGGTTACCAATCCAACTTACTCTCATGAAAAGGCCAAGAGTCTTTCCCAGTCACTCTGTAGATACCCAGACACTATGAGACCGTTACCAAAGTCTCCTAGCATACTCCAAATAATCAATATTAAGCATTTTTTGGAATGCTATGGTGGAAAAGAACCTTGGGCTACGGTTTCGAATTGACTTACTATGTGAAGAGCAACAGGTGACTCGTTGGTTTTTCCTGGAATTTGATCTGTTTTAGACCGAAGTTCTCAATATGAATTTGACAGGCGTTGAAAATAAACAAAATTCCGCATACTATATGTCAGAATAACAAGTTTTGTAATCAGAACAAGGTCGTATGGTACGAGACTTAGCTCTTGTCGACGAGTTTTGCATTTGAACCTGGCGTCGTCCGTCCGTCTCCAGTCCATCCATTTTCTATTCATCTCGTCATGGCAACAAAAATGGTGAATCGGAGCCCATATTCTCTGTGTAAACCATGTGAAAGTCGGATCGAAACTCAAGAATGACTCTCAAGAAGCTATAGGAACGGCTCAGCATGAAAGAAAATGGAAAATTTACTTTCTCTGGGAACAAACAGAACATTTTTTCATATCCCAAGATCCTCCGCCATTCACTTATCGGCGTCCCACGGAGCCTTCATGAATTTAGAAGTCGTATCCATGGGCGCAGGATATTCTTTGAATGATATGAAAGCCTTGGGTCAAAGCAGCTGGTGTCTAATGGTGCTAGAACCCGCCCAATTCGAACCCGAGCTCTAGTTCCAAAATCTGGTTTTTTTAAGAAGCTGGCGTTGGTGGACCCAGCAAGGCTCGAAAACGAAGCAACAATACACCAATCTCTTCTGTGGACCAAATAAAAGCGACTGGATCGTCTTCCAGAAAGATCTGACTTTCAGAAGAGAAATGCCGGCCAAAATGGCGAGTTGGCTCGGTTTTATTACCGGTTTGTGATCGTTGGGCAGGTCTCCATGGCGGCCATGGAAAGAGAAAACCACTCAACAATACCCCAATTCTTTCTATAGATCTTCAAGTCTCGGGTAGTATGCGACTCACTGATACATTCGGCCTACATCAAACATACAGCGGCCTCAATGGGGCCAGAAAACATGTAAGTTCTGTCTCGTTCAAAAGCCAGTATTGGACGCATGGTTAGCTTCAAACCTTCAGATTTCTTTATTCTAACACTTATCTATCGTTTGTGGATACATGTAACAAGGTTAGGTGGGTTGGTATGCGGGGTTTCCTAGTTAGAAGTGTTTGAACGGCATTAGCTTGACGTGAGTGATCCATTTGGCATTCCTCCAAGAAGCGGCTGAGAATCTTTCCCAGTCGCCCTGTAGATTCCTCTACACAATGGGACCCTGATCAATGTGTCCAATATGCTCATAGTAATCGGATTTGGCTGTTGTTTGGGAATGCTACAGTGTACATGAGATGTTCAGCTCCACTTTCCCACGCATCTCTTTCCGACAATTTCAAGGAGATTTGATGGAATTTCTTGTAAACTGATCTAATCTAGAGCAAAGTCAGCTAATAAGAGTTGACAGACATCTACTATAGATAAAAAGAACATCTACTTTATGTTACAATCCCAAAATTTGCAATCGGAACGAGGTCCTAAGCTCAAGGGTCTTAGGTAGTGTCAATTGCAGTCCTATGATTCGATGGACCTCCACCTTTTCTCCAGTACCACGCTTACGAACTTTCTACGCAAATCGAAAACGAAACCTCTTGATGCGACGAGGTCGATGATGAGATTATGAAAAAGAACATAGATACGTATGAGAAGTTGACACCACTTTTCAGCATTAACCATGATTGCAACGACGATAGTGACAGCACAGTTTACAATCAAGAGCCTAGTCCACGAATGTCAAAGCGTGAGGCTTTGAAGCTTCTTGAATTCATTATAGCATGACAAACGGCAGCTACTAATCCAAAAGAAATTGGAATGATGATGATTTTTTGGAGGTATGCTGCTGCCAGCCAATGCATGATGAATGGCTGATACAAAGAGCATTCCCTCTTTCTTTGCTGGTGTCTGCAAAAGGCATGATCGATTGGCTGACTCACACTGGAAGGATAACAACCACACGAATACTATGCTCGAGTAGTATAGCTTTAGTGCTCGGCCCTTGACACTCCGAGAACCACACGACGATCCCGCCAGTGTCTCTATACAGAGAGGTCGCATATCATTTGATCTCCTACAGCGAGCTACTGTAGTGTACTAGGCGAAGGAGACGATGCTTTAGAAATATTTCAAGGCACTTGAATCATTCATTCATTCTCGAAAGTCCATGATGACCATTAAGTGTACCAAGACTTTCTGTGAACTTCTTTCCCTTCCTCCAAAGGTTGATTGTCGATCCAATTGTTACTGCCCGGGGGATGGAACGACGACGCCATTGGCATTTACGAGCATCCCCAAAATGACAGACACCTCTTCTTACCTCCAAAGAAGAAGAAGCACCTTGCTGAAATCAACCGACAATATGCACCCGGTAGTAGTAGTACTCTGTTGTGAAGAAAAAGGAAAAGTGAAGACTTCACCAATGCTTGAGCGTATAGGGGCAACAACAGATTTGGCTCGTAGTATGCTCCTGAAAGAAGATGCTCGCTGCTTCCTTGCGGAAAGGATGTACCACGCGACAGACCATTCATCCCAAGAAGAGGTACTTGTTGAAATCGAACGACAATATGCGCCCAGACCATGTTTACCGGTAGTAGTCGTAGTAGTAGTGTTTTGTTGTGTGAAGAAAGAAGCAAAAAGTGACTATGCTCCTCAAAATATGACTGTAGTTGCTGCTTCCTCACGAAGCGATTGGAATTTCGCTTCATGCAAGAAAGGGCCAGTCAAGTTGTCAGTCTGAATGCGAGTTTGATTCTTTGAGTTCCGCAAACAACATTGGTTTCCTCGGTCGCGTTGCTTTTCCGCTGTCATAAAACTCAGTTCAGTTCAAGAAGTCCTCCAAGCCTGTCATTGACAGTATACTGCACTTGGATCAAGGTGGCGGCGAGGACCCGAATAATCATCCATTGTGAGCACTATTAGACCACGAACGTCACAGTTTTCGAATGAATTATGACCGGCAGGATATCTTCACGACGTAGTGATGGTTCTTTGTGAAGGCTTGGACGAGAGATGGACTTTTCGGGCTGATCAGGAGAAGAATCCAAACGAGTGAGTCGCAGACGCTCTTCAAATGGAAACCACATTGAAGAATAGAACGAACAGAAAATCGAACATCTAGCTGGAAGGAACGGAATGATCGGTCGCTGAAGCAATGAAGGATAGATTGGCATGCTATGGATGATGGACGATCGAGTTTGAATCGACGACACTCACTCAATCACTCTATCATGAATTGGATCTCTTGCCGCTTGCCACTTGCCGGTACCTCCCTACCAGGTACAAAGGATCTGAAATGCAATTGCTCCCACTGACGACTGACGACGACTCTTGCCGCCACACGACTGCCAACCATGCACAATATGATAACCAATCCACAACCAAGCGAAAGTATTCGACCAGATGAAATGGAAGACCGGTAGATCTTTCACAAGAAAAGAGATAAATTCTGGTTGAGCATATCGTGTCGTCTTGACCAGAATCAGCGAGAAGCACCACGAGTCACAATATGCAGTCAGTCTCTCCTGCAGTACAAACTGACATGCAGTGATGACATCATCGGAGCACATTAGTGGCGGTCGAAATCAAAATACCTCTTGTGAGTACAGGGCGACTTTTCAGTCCCTGTTCTGTGATCAATATGATCAATATGATCATTCATCAGGGCTCATCCAGAGTACTATTAGAACGTATCTTATCGAAATCAAAATACCTCTTGTGTGAGTACAGGGCGACGTTTCAGTCCCTGTTCTGTGATCGATCAGGGCTCATCCAGAGTACTATTAGAACGTATCTTATTTTCTCGGAGAGTATCAGGTACTGGTGGAAGAAATGAATTCTGGGCCAGTCTTCTACAAAGAATAAATACCTACAATTCTGGTCAGTCTCCTACAAAGAATAGTGAAATTCTGGGTCAGTCTTCTACAAAGAATAGTGAAATTCTGGGTCAGCCTAGCTTACGTGGCGTGTTCGAAAAATCCGAACTCATTTGCTAGTAAAGTAAGCTCCCAAAGCACGAGTCACAATGAGCCGTCGTTTGTGCCACATTATGACATCATCAGCGAAAAGATTAGACCTCTCAGCGTGTAGTATGGTAGGAACCATCTGTTGCGAGACAATCCTGTCGCTCGCCAAAGAGGATCTACTGTACTTTACTTGGGCATTTGGACCCACAGGCAGAATGCGTTCGAATTTGTGAACGGAATAAAATGAGAAGGAATTCTGCGTCAGAAAAATGGCGTGGTGCGAACGGAATTAGAAGTTTGGTTCGCCAGGACTCACAATGTTCAGTCCCTGGTGATTTTAGATTATTTGGCTCTTGTGCCGTTCTAGAGCGGGTACACTCCCGTCGCTGATCAGAAGCAAATATCCGCAAACATCTGCAAACACCCGCAAACACCCGCAAACATCGAAACATATCGAATTCCGTTGATACCACACCATCAGACGGAAAACCTGTCCGGTCGAGGGTAAATCTGTCTGGTCGGGAATGTAGCGATTGTTAGTACCATAGGTATTGAGCGTGACCCCTATACCGCATGCCATCACTCTGTAATCATGCTACAAACGACTAGCTCGAATTGAAATCAGTAAGTGTTCAATCATGGTAACGTGTCGCAATCGTCACATTAGACAAAAACTACAGAGTGAAAAGCGCGATCATGCCATCCTTCCCCAGCAAAATAGCGTCGCTCCTCCTTGATTCTCTTGAACAGGAATGGCGGTCGCGGACGGTGAGAGATCTAATAATCGCCAGAAAGTTGGCGCCGTCCTGACGACAACACCCTTCTTGATCAGCTAATTACTGACGCATGCTGAGCAGAAGGAATGGTGCCGCTAGAACTCGACTAGGTTTTTCGCTCGGACGAGTTCTATTTATATTTTGCCCTGCGAGGTCCCATTCTGTGTCTAATGTCGTGCTATAGGGTTTTTTGTGCCAGGGACAGTCTAGTTCGCAAAGGTTGGTCCCATTGGAACGGGCGTTATCGTTAGCCATCTTGGAATTGCAAATCCATGTACGACCTGCAGGTACGCACTTCTTGTACTGCGTTCCATCTACGTGGGGCTCAACAAAACTCTAAGAAATCCCTTGAAAAGCTCATAATTTCAACGAACCATCAATTTCACGCCCTACTCTATAAACCATGATGAAAACTAACAACCGACCGTGTTTCCCCCAACGTCTCTTCCTTCTTCTAAAACTCGTCGAAGAGAAGGGACTAGACCACGTTGTCTCTTGGGTCAACGATGGATCTGCCTTTAAGGTTCACGACCTGAAGGAATTCCAAGATGTATTGCTGCCCAAGTACTTTAGCACGAAGAAATACGCTAGCTTTACCCGACAGCTGTGTGCCTATGGATTCTCGTGCTTGAGAACTGGACGACAGACTGGTATTTGTAAGTGCATTGCAAGCGGGAAAACAAAGATCCATCCATTTTGTGGGATCACATCACACTAACACGACCACTTTCCCCCCTCCTTGACTACTTTAGACTCTCATCCAGGATTCCATCGCAGCGACCCTGCTGGATCCTTCCAGATCCGACGAGAATCGGCCAAGAAGACTGCCAAATCGCATGTCTCCAGACCATCCGTCGAGACTCCAATGCTCACCAAGCACCAAGGAATCATGAAGGCAGGAGTTCCGAATGTGCAAGCTGGAATTCCTCAATCTACCGCCAAGACCTTTGAATTCCCAGCTGTCTTTGGCAGCAATGGGCGATACACCAGTGCGGATCACACCAATCAGCTCAGCCATCTTCACAATCTCCTTTGCGCTCCCAAGACTGCTACTTCTATTTCTCAGCCAACCGTAAACCAAACGGCACAAGCACCGGCTATTCCACATGCACGAAAGATTAGCCAGTATTCTCTGCCAGTCTTGGACTCTTCTGATGACTCGCAAAGTGACAATGGAGGCTACAGGACTGGAGTCTCCATGGATGATTTGGAACCCATTCCAGTCTTTAACTGGGAGAATGCCTTGTTGCCCCAAAAGAGAGAATTTTCGGCATCTTTGAACGGCTTCTCCAGCATGTTCTCCAACAACAACAACAAGTCCAACTATGTGGAACCAACGGACGAAGAGTTGCTTGCCGGCATGTACGAGCCACAATCCATTTCCACTGTGTCGACCCCCATTTGACTAGGAACTCCTTCTCTATGTACCTCTTCTGGAACAATGGAACCATCCTCCGCCGAAGCTGATCAAGGACCCGCGAAAGCTGGCCCTGAATCGCTCTTTGAGACACTCGATTCCTTTGCTCTAAAGGTCTAAATGCCTGTCTTGATTGACAGCATTGGATCTTATCCATTTTGATCTGATTCCAAGTGGCTCGGATTGTGTACCGATTGCGATACACCCTCCGATTACATTCACTTGGAACCTTGCCATTCTTTTCCGAGTGGCAAGTCGAAAAGGATATGCTGCCAGGTGCATAGAAAATATATACACAGAACTTTATATATTACCCCATACAACAATATCTACAATATCTAATATTACTTACTAACTACATATGTACATACATGCTATCATCAACACTTTCTAATTTTTAGTAGCTACAAACCACAACAAACGGATTAGTTAGTCCTCAGCTGAATGAATCTCTTGCCAAAAGAGAAATTCATTCCATCTCACACAAAACAAATCGCAGACATCGCATTCTCACGGGTACACAATACAACTTCATGCAGGAAACTTTTTACTTCGCGTCTACCGTACCGTACCGGAATAGTTGGAGGAGATGGGTCGCTCCCCAGATCGCTTTTTGGTGGGTTCAAGAATTTCCTCGATTTCTGAACAGACTTTTTTGACCAGACAAGAGCAGAAGGATTTTAGGAATTACGCATTTTCATTCGTCGAGGCCACTGTCGTCCTGATCAGAAGCAAGTCAAAGGGAATAGAATTTAGTATTTGTTGCAAGTGGAAGCGTCGATCCAAAGTTCTCCTCGGTCGTGCCAGTGATTTCAGTACCAAAATACGAACCACCAAGTCCTTCCAATCGTCATTCCTACGCTGATACGAAGCGTCGAAGGAATGTCACAGTCCAGCCGTACTTAAAGGTCCTACGACCGAATTAAGTGGTCTCACTACAACGGGCGTGGTTTCGTGGTAGCTTACCCAAAACACCAAACTCGCGCTGTCCTTCATTATCCCGAACGAGCACCATTCGCAAACCCTACCGAACCAGTAAATTGCAAGAGATGACGGGAAACAACAAGAGAAAACAGCAATCGAGGAAGAACCGTCGCCCGCATTTTCCAGGGCATCTATTCCATCTGCTAAAGCTGGTGGAAGAGAATGGTTGGGATCATATCATTTCCTGGGTGAATGATGGCAAAGCGTTTCGAGTGTACGAAATTGAAGAGTTTGAAAAACGACTTCTTCCTACGTATTTCAACAGCAAGAAATATGCTAGCTTTACCAGACAGCTTCACGCCTATGGTTTCAACTGCGTAAGAACAGGAAGACAGACTGGAATTTGTAAGTTTTACTGAATTATTGAATGTTGGCATTTCGATTTGTTGATTGCTGGGAAGTCCAAGTCAATCGTAAATTATAAAAAGGGAAAAAATTGCAAGTCAATCGTTTCTAACAAAATTAAATTTCCCTTTTTGTTGTTGTTTCAGACTCGCATCCAAGCTTTCATCGCAATGATCCACAGTCTTCCTGCTCTCTAGAAAGAGAAGTAGGAAGACTGAAATCCAGTGCAAAAATCTCCAAAGAAAAGCAAGTTCGAGGAGGAGCTGCCAAGACCATTGTCGACATGCCTTTGTTGGTGGAGAATAACTCTTCCAGTGAATCGGACAGTCAAGAGGGCGATTCCAGTAGTAGTGACTCGGCCACTTCTTCTACCACCAACACAACAACAACTACGTCCAAGCTATACAAGAACGCTGCGACAGTGGCGGATCAGACGAAAAAGACACTGCTTGCCAATCATCCACAGCTCCGTTTCCCATTCAATATGAACATGAACGGAAGAGGTTCAAGCTTTTGGTCTCTTTCTGTGGCCACAAGCGCTGCCTTGATGAATGCCTATGGGGGAGGATTGGGCAATCATCATGCGCCACAAATGAGTGCTACCAATACTTTGCTAGAAAATGAGAAACTGCGACAACATCTTTTGGCATCCACAGATGTTATCAGCAGATCTCCTGCTGCTGCTACTACTACTACTACTACTGACTTTTCTGTCCGTGAGGGTGATTTTGATCCAAGACCATTTCCACCATCACATCATGGATTCAACCCAAATATGCTGAATCTAAACAAGGGTCGCACGAACCAGAATTAGCCCCCCCCCCCCTGCAATACTCGAAAGGCATGAAAGGGGCACGAACGACTTTTTTGTTTGCAAATCATGTTGATGTAATTCATACATCGCACCATTATCCATATATATTAAAACCAGTGAACTATATTAGCTAGCTATACGGTGCAGGGATTCGCAATGAATTTGATTTTGTCATTTGGGAACTGTCATTTGGGAACTACAGTATATGCTGGGTGGGGGGTACTTCTTTGTTTCCAATGGGCGGCTTGGTTGGTACCTACTCCAGGATCACTCATGAGCAGAATTTATTTCACGAGCAGAAGTAAAGGTACAGTTCAGTCGCTTGATATCCGTCAGAATGATGATTGTTATATGTAAAAATACATGCGTTTCCCAGGAGCGTCGCAACTCCAACCCACTGCAATTTCAGGTGGGACCCCAACCACAATCAAATATATATATCTTGTATAATATATATACCGGATATATCGGGCACGACCTATCCCAAAACGAGTTGCTGTCCAAATTATACGGCGGCGCCTTTCACTTTTTTTCATATATATTATATACAGATATATTCTATATATATATTTTCAATTTAGGGGTAGGTACCGATTGATGCCTCTTCCGGTGGTATATACTACTCGTAGTATTCTCAATAATCGCAAGAGAGCCAAAGCAACAAGAGACAAAACAGAAAGAAAATCAAAATCAAAATCAAATTCACACGGAGTACAGTATCATGCCAAAGTTCCCTCGACGATTGTTTGAGCTTCTGAAGCTCACAGAAGAGAAAGGATGGGAAGGCATATTTTCGTGGGTTAACGACGGCACAGGCTTCAAAGTGCATGACCGGGAAAAGTTCGAAACGGTCTTGCTTCAGAAGCATTTCAATACCAAACGATATGCAAGCTTTGCGCGCCAGCTTCATGCCTATGGCTTTGATTGTGTACGAACCGGAAGGAATACTGGAATTTGTAAGTTGCTACAATGGGTGATGCTGAATTGTGGTTTAGGCTGCTTCATCTTGCCCTTCCTCGTCTAATAATGTATTATTGTTGACTTTCAATCTCGTACCGTACTATTAGACTCTCATCCACAGTTCAAACGGGACGACCCCAAGGGTTCTGCCAATTTAAAGAGAAAAATGGGAAAAAATGTTTCCAAAGAAACAATCCATGGTGTACACAAACAGGAATTCCAACCCGGTGGTGGTGGAATCCGCAATTTTGTACTTGCAGGCGATACCATTGTGCTAGTCCCTTCGCTTTTGGAAACCTCTAGCGAAAGCGATGACAGTAGTCAAAATTCATCATCGGTCATGTCCAACCTATACAATACCATGCGCTCTCAAGTTGTGCATCAAACCAAAAAGGCACTTATCCGAATCCCCTCTGGAGCTACTACTATCCAGCAGCATGATGATCTTCCCTTTGGGAATCATCGTATAAATGGGAAGACTGGGTCCTGGTCGGGCATCACGACTGCTGGTGGCGGTGGTTCCATGAACAATGATAATAACATGAATGTCCCATCTCGAATGCACATGATAGCGGACGATGCGTCTGCCCAAGGAAGCCAGCACTTTGATGATCTGGAACCAGTTCCAATGAGAACCTCGGCGGAAAACAGCACCGGGAATGGCTCCATGTTGTTGTTCCAAAAAGAAGATTTCGAACCGATACCATGGTCACCACTACACTCTTCGGACGCATTCCACTCTTCGGACGACGATGATGATTATGACGAAGACGAGGACGACGCTATACCACCCAACCAACTCGAACCCTCTCTCGAACCTCGAACTATCAACGAGATGGTCGAACACCCATCCAGCGCGAACACTTGGATGTACGATTCGATCCCAATTTTTGCAACTCCGAGACAGCGAGCTTTAGTGGAACTCTCATTCCCAATGGTTTTGCCGCTTGGCTTTTACGTCCTGAATGTTTCTACTTATGGAATATGCTGGATCACCTTACTCCTTGTTGGACACTTTGTGGAATGTATGTTTACCTGGTGGGGAGGCGCAGACGATAAAAAGGACAAGACGTACACTGAGGATCTCAGCATCAAACCTACCATTGGAATGCTCCAGCATCACATTATGGACTTGATGTGGATCCATTCACTTCTGTCCAACATGGTGTTGACACCACACTACTTTGGACCCTCCTGCTTTGCACTCTTTTACCTTTTCATTGGACTACAGCCAGTCAATCTTGTCATTGTAATCAAGACGCACTATTGTGAAAGCAATCTTGAGGGTACATATACCCATGAAAAGTGGTGGATCGGTGACATTGTCAAGAAGGTTTTCATAGGATACACCTTGACAACGCTGGGTGTTTTTTTCATGCACTTTTACAACATGAACTTTTTGCGGATCCCGATTGTGTTTGGCTTCAACATGATACCACTGTTCGCGTTCGAATCCTACCGGTACTTGCTATCAGCACCATTGACACTACTTGGGCTAGGTGTCGTCTCACATGCGAAGAAAATCAGCTAAAATAGAGGGAATACATATACCATACTATAGGTATACTGGAAGTCTTTAAAAAAATATTTCGACAAGCCAGTTTAAACTCTGGACTCTTACACCCACAAGGCGGAATTGAGCGAAAGCAAAGGACGAATCCTACTTGCTCAACAGGGCTGCCTGACCAGCTATCCAGATAGCTGTCTGGCCGAGAAGCTGACTAGTGCACGACACCGCCAGATAAACCATCCGTCACCATCCGAGGATACGATACCGATACGATACGATACGATCCGATACGATCTGATACGACATGGTACGACACTGTACACAAAGAACCAGGTCCTACTACTAATACTATACTTCCATCTACTCGTACAACTTTTTTGTGGGAACTAGCTTGAAACTAGTTGTCTGATCAGGATACATATACTTTTATCTATGTTTAGATTACTAGCTGTCTGATCAGCTATCTGATCAACCCTCTGCCCCCCTGCGCCTGCCAACTTTATAGTGCTAGTACCACCATCGCATGAAGGTGGAGGCGCACTACGCCCCGCACCCAAGAATGCAACGGTGTATGCTTAGACTACTATAGCTGTCTGATCAGCTATCTGATCAACCCTCTGCCCCCTGCCAACTTCATAGTGCTAGTACCACCATCGCATGCAGATGGAGGCGCACTACGCCCGTTAGATTACTACAGTACCGGTAGCTGTCTGATCAGCTATACTATCTGATCAACCCTCTGTTCCCTGCCCCCTGCCAACTTTATAGTGCTAGTACCGGTATTATCTATCGCATATAGGAGGCGCACTACGCCCCACCCAAGAATGCAACGGTGTATGTTTAGATTATACTAGCTGTCTGATCAGCCGCAGCTGTCTGATCAACCCTCTGCCCCCTGCCAACTTTAAAGTGCTAGAGTACGATGATGGAGGTGCACTACGCCCCACCCAAGAATGCCTACAACCCACTTCTATGAACCAACAACGACCAAGCCAAAGACAAAGCGACGAGACTTCTTGTGCAAATGGAATGAAAGCAAACAAGAGGATGTACGTACACTGTTATTGGTACTACGTAATATAAAACATCTTAATATATGGATTTACTATATTGTGAAATGTCATATTGCAAGCAGCCATAGTCCCTTAGTTACCAGTACCTGGTACCAGTACCAATGCCTTCATTTTCAACTTCGTTAGCCTGTGGTATCAGGCGGTTCTCGAGTTCGTTGTTTGGTACCAGGTACCAGATACTACCAGCAAGAAAGCGCCACCAAGTGTGGTATTTTATGCTCCTGCTTGAAGCGGCACTGGTACTAGTCTGCTTCTTTATTTGTCATCCAGAGCAGATTTTCCTCTTTCCGTTCCTTGAAGCGCATGGATGATTCTGTGGGTACCACTTTATAAGTATCTGAGCAGAAGTTTGAGAAATACGCGACCAGAACTATTCGTATGGGACTTTCTCTTCACGGAGTTGCGAAACAGATCAATGAACAAGTAGGAGGGTACGTCGACTAACTACTGATAAAAGCAAGTTGGATCAAATAGAACGTCGCGCGACGGTGCAAGAGAGCCTCATCGAGAAAGCAATCTGTCAGCAAAACAAGTTCTATCCCGCAGCCTCTATATATGGCTATACATTGAACTTGAGTGGGACCCCACAAAAGCATAAATGCCAGCGATCTCACCAAACTTCGAAGATTGAACGAATCAAGCAAAAACAAGACTTCGACGTGAATTGGAAAGAAGAGCTCATCTTTCACAAAACCCTCACACTTTTAGTAATAAGAACGGGATGATGGCAAGGTTTCCAGAACGATTGTTTCAGCTTCTCAAACTAGTAGATGAGAATGGATGGGAAGACACTTTTTCGTGGGTAAACAATGGTACAGGCTTCAAAGTACACGACAGGAACAAGTTCGAAAAGCTGCTGCTGAAGAAGCACTTCAATACCACACGATACGCGAGCTTTGCACGGCAGCTTCATGCCTACGGCTTTGACTGTGTCCGAGCAGGAAGACAAACTGGAATTTGTAAGTCACTCTGATGATGATGATGATGATTCGTTCTTGGTTTGGCTGTATTCCTCTTCTAATGCATCAATGAACTTTTTCCTCCACCTCCGATCTTGTAGACTCGCATCCACATTTCAGGCGGGATGATCCAATCGGTTCTTCTGCTTTGAAGAGAGAAGCGGGAAGAAATGTCTCCAAGGCCGCCGTCTCCAGACGTAACCAGGAATGCCAAGACGGGGGACTAGAAGATCATTTTGCACGAATGCGCAACTTTGTCCTTTCAAAGGATGCGATTAAGCTAGCCCCTTTGCTTTTGGAGAGACCAAATGCAAGTTGTCTGCCAAACATGCAGAAGGACAATGTGGGCACAGCTGACGACGGTAGCCAACATTGGTCAGTTATGTCAAATCTATACGATACTGTTCGCTCTCAAGTCGCGGATCGAAGAAAAAACGTGATTCCTTCCCCACTTCCTACGCAATGTCTCCATTTCAATCGCAAGGAGACTGGACCCTGCTCTGGTATTTCTGCTGGTGGGACTTCACTAAATGGCTCATATGGAATGCACAATCCACACAAGTCGTTCTGGACTCTTTCTACAAATCAAAAGCGAGCGACTTCAGCACTATCAATGGCTTCAGTGAATGACCCCACTCCATTGCATATGATAGTCGATGAAGGCAAATCGAATGATGCGTTTGCTACAGGCAACTTGATTTGTGACGAGGAAGAAGACAGTGATCTTGATCCGATTCCATTAGAAGAGGCTGCCTTTGATCAAATTGCATTGAAACCACCGGTGGAAGACGATTATTCGTTCCGTGGCAAAAACTGGGATCCAACAAATTGGTCACCAGCTGGCAGTGTATCGGGTAAAGATAACGACGCCCGTAGATCACCGATCCAAGACGGCTTTTTTCTGGAGCCCCGCCCAATCAATGAGATGGTCCAAGACCCAGGTTGCTTGAGCACATGTCGCTAGGGCTTATGGGTTCCAATGCGTAGGACCCTGAGTACTCTTGCCATACTCGCTCATGGTATCTTTACGCTTTGCCTCTTGTTTTGAGCTGCTATCAACACCCGCGATCCTTTCGCTGCGTATCTGCGATAGGAAGAACACCATTTTGAGGAGTACACGACAGTTTCTCCTCTGGAATGATGGTACTGAACAAATGCCGTGGCATCGTGGTTAGGCCTACTCCACTCTTACAATGATTATATAAAGACGATGGAACTCTTTGCAGTAACCAATGCCCTTGACTCGTCTTCTTTTGAGCCTGGACCGATCCAAGAAAAGCAGATAATCAACGATTTCTTGAGCAAATAAAAATGAAACAACCAAATGAATCTATAAACCATGATCATATTTTAAAACAAAAGTATACCAGTCAACTACAATAGCTTACTGGTGTACTGCCTAAAGCTACACCACAATTCAACTACTTTAATATTAGTACTATACTGTAGGACCCACCAGCCAAGTCCTACTTGTAATAATAGACGCTACATTTGTCATTTCACAGCCTCCGTGGTCTCATTAGGTCCAGTACGACTTTAAGCATGATACATGATACTCCGGTTACTGGTATTCATGAACAGAACTTTTCCAGCTTCCTTTAGCAGGTACCGGTAGCAACATTTCCAACAGTATGCGGTGCCTGATCAGAAGCTTGAGCAATTACGCGATCAATGATTTTGCAAAAAGACTCTCCTTTCACTTTCGAACATCCAAAACGACGACGGATGAATAGATACATAGACGCACGAGTGATAAGTACGTCCGAAATCCAAAAAGTATCGTCGCGCATGGCTTCAATGATAAAATCGGAGAAAAGAATCTTTCAAAATACCCCTCCAACGACCGTAACCACAATTCGGGCAACATTTAACCTGATCTGGACACACAAAATGTAAATATGCAAAATGTCAGAAATGACCAAACTTCGGGACCGCATCCACATAAGAAACATATGTTTTTACCTCTGGATTGGCGAATAGCCTCAAATAGAAGTGAATTCCGACGCCTTCGACTTTGGTGTTCCCCACCATAAAATCGACATGATGGCAAAGTTCCCTCAACGATTGTTTCAGCTATTGAAGCTAGTTGATGAGAATGGATGGGAAGACACATTTTCATGGGTAAACAATGGGACAGGATTCAAAGTACATGACAGGAGCAAGTTCGAAAATGTTTTGCTTAAAAAACATTTCAATACAACGCGATACGCAAGCTTCGCAAGGCAGCTTCATGCCTATGGCTTTGACTGTGTCCGAACAGGACGGCAAACTGGAATTTGTAAGTCACTGTAATCATGATGTTGAGTGGTTGTGCTCTGCATTCTTCCTCTTCTAACGTACACATGAACCTGTTTTGCTCCACCTTGGTCGATCTCGCAGACTCGCATCCCCACTTCAGGAGGGATGATCCAGAGGGTTCGTTTGCATTGAAGAGAGAAAAGGGAAGAAACATCTCCAAAGAAGCAATGGTCTCTAGACGCTGCCAGGAACAGCAAGACGAAGAGGGATTGGATGGACGTCTCGCAGGACTACGCAACTTAATTCTAGAAGACAACGCTATTGTGCTTTGCCCTTCGCTTTTGGAGAGACCCAATGCAAGGGGCCTGCCAAATATGAAGAAGAACAATTCAGGGATGACTGATGACGGTACTCACCATTCGTCAGTTATGTCAAGCCTAAACGATACTGTTCTAGTTGCTGATAGAACAAAGAAGTCGCACACAAGGATTCCTTCCGAAGCTACTACTCAAGATCTTCCATTCAAAAGAAGGGAGAGTGGGTTCTGGTCTGGTACCACTTCTGATGGCAGGGTTTTAATGCGCGACCCATCCGAAATTCATTGTCCAGACAATTCGTTCTGCTCTCTTTCTACAAATCACCATCGAGTGGTTAGTGATGTTTCACTATCAACAAAGGCTCGCGCCACTGCTGGGGCGGCTTCAGCATATTACCCATCTCGAATGGATACGGTATTGGATGAATCCAAATCAAACGCTGTGTTTGCAAACCGCAGCTTTATTCGTGACGATTATGATGATCTTGATCCAATTCCATTGAATCATCTTGATGGCATGACTCCATTGAAAACTCCGCTCGAAGACCATTGTTTGTTCCATGACAACGACTGGGATGCTACGGCCTGGTCACCAGCAGGCAGTGTGTTTGATGAAGACGAAGATGACTTTGGATCACCGGACAAAGTTGGGTCCTTTCTAGAGCCTCGGCCAATCGATGAGATGGTCGAGAACCCAGCAAGCTTGAGCACACCGTGGATGTAGGACTCACTCATCAATCCCACTCCATGCCATGCTTGAGTTCTTGCTCCTCATAGTTTTATCAGTGGCTATCATCGTGCGTGATCCTTTCACCAGGTGTTCCTCTGACACGAAGGAAATCAAGAAGAATTAAAAGATAAATACAATAATAGACTTCGTTATGAATATTTGTTGCCGCAAGGCAGTCTCGACGGCAAGCTTGCTTCGGGGAAGTGGTGAATTGTTAACAGTTTCCTCTTTCATTGTCGCGGGCTTGCGAAGAAAGGGCAGCCTCAAGTTGCTTATCGAGAATATGGCAATGAAAGTAAAGTCGTCCCGTGCTTTTGTACATGCCGTACCAATATATCCGGGCAAGCAGGAACATGTTACTCAATGGACGCAGTACATACACCATCTACTCTTTCTTCGGCTCTCAGCTTGCTGCTTGGGATTTGTGAAGGTACACCAATGCACACGATTATATTGTTTTAACAATAGAACCAGTCGACAATTAATTAACCTGCAGCGATTCCCAATCTGTGAGCCCGTGGTGTCAAGTGGTATGATGCAGAACTAAAGGTACCTGGTACTTCTAAGTTCTAAGCATCGACGACGCTCTCAGCACCTTGAGCTACCGATACGGACTCGGGGTGTAGTCATGAGCAGAATTTTCTATTTGTTCGACTGCAATCATTCATCGTTTTGTAGCATGTCCAAAAGACTCGAGCAGAAGTATCACGATAAATGATAATATTCGAACATGAGAATGACTCTCACATCACAGACTTGCGAAACAAAAACGACTGATACATCGACGGACTGCTACCTTCGACATTGCCGAATTTGAGCTGGACATAAGGTCAAAGAATTACAAGTTGAAAGTGGACCAAGGGGGGGAGATATAGATATACGGGCTTTGTGCCATCTTCGAACTCATTCGAATGAATCAATCAATCATGTGTACCGCATCCGGGGTTTCGGAAAATCTCCATCACGAACATCAACGAAGAATGAAACACAAGTGCGGAGTGGGCGGTTTCGTCGTCTCCACACGCACCCCCCAAAAACCCACCATGGCCAAGTTCCCGAAACGATTGTTTGAGCTTCTGAAGCTAACTGAAGATAAAGGATGGGAAGACATATTTTCTTGGGTTAACGATGGTACTGGCTTCAAAGTTCATGATAGGGAAAAATTCGAAAAGGTCTTGCTTCAGAAGCATTTTAATACCAAACGATATGCAAGCTTTGCACGGCAGCTTCATGCCTACGGCTTTGATTGTGTACGAACCGGCAGGAATACTGGAATTTGTGAGTCACTCTACTGATTGTTATGATTCTGAGTTGTGGCTGGGCCTTGTTCATAGTCCTCATCTAATGTGCCCATGAACATACTTATTTAGACTCTCATCCACGCTTCAAACGGGATGACCCAAAGGGTTCTGCTGAGTTGAAGAGAGAAACGGGAAGAAACATCTCCAAAGCAGCAGTCTCCAGACGCAACCAGGAATGCCTAGGCAAAAGACTAGGCGATCGCTTTGGAGGAACCCGCAACTTTGTTCTTGCAGGCGACACCATTGTGCTAGTCCCTTCGCTTTTGGACACATCCAATGAAAGCGATGACAGCTATCAACATTCGTCCTCCGTCATGTCCAATCTATACAATACCATTCGCTCTCAAGTTGCTGATCGAACAAAGAAGGCGCTTATCAGGATTCCTTCCGAAGCTACTATTCCAGGCGCAGATCTTCCGTTCCAGAGCAGGAATACAGGGTTCTGGTCTGGCACCACCACTTCTGAGGGTGCTTTAATGAATGACTCATCCGGAATGCATGATGCAAACAATACGTTCTGGTCTCCTTCTACAAATCACCAGCGAAAGGTTAGTGATGCCGATGCAGCACTATCGACGAATATCACTGGTGGGACTACAACAATGAATGGTAGATCTCTAATGCATACTGTATCTGAATCTGAGCCGAACGATGTGTTTGCAAGCCGCAACTTCATTCATGATGATCATGATAATGATCTGAATCCAATTCCATTGAATACGTCGCTCGAAGACCATAATTTGTTCCATGGCGTAGACTGGGATCCGATACCATTGTCACCAGAAGGCAGTGTATCAGATGAAGATGAGTTTGGATTACCGAACCAAGTCGATTCCTTTATGGAACCTCGACCAATCAATGAGATGGTCCAAGACCCAGCCACGATGAACAATTGGCTCTACGACTCGGTTCCAATGCTTGGGACTCCAAGAAAGCGTGCAATGCTCGAGTTCTCCCTTCCCATATCTTTGCCAATCGGCTTTTACTTTTTGGATGTTTCCACATATGGAATCTACTGGGTCGCTTTCCTAATCTTGGGACACTTTGTCGAATGCCTCTTTACCTCATGGGGAGGTGCAGAAGATGAAAAGGATAAGACGTACACCAAAGATCTCAGCATCAAACCCACGATTGGAATGCTTCAGCATCACATCATGGACTTGCTGTGGTTCCATTCACTTCTTTCGAACATGATGCTGACACCACGCAAATTTGGATCCCCATGCTTCCTACTGCTGTACCTCTTTATTTGGCCGCAACCCTTCAATCTTTGCATGGCCATCAAGACGCACTATTGTGAAAGCAATCTCGAGGGTACATATTCTCACGGGAAATGGTGGATTGGTGACATCGTCAAGAACGTTTTCATTGGGTACGCTTTGGCGATAGTTGGTGTCATTTTTATGCACTTTTATGACATGACCTTCCTGCGAATTCCGCTGGTGTTTGGCTTCAACATGATACCACTTTTCGCATTCGAATCCTACCGGTACTTGCTATCAACACCAGCGATCCTTTCGTCAGGTGTCTCTGATGCGAAGAAAATCAAATAAACTATGTATACCGCACAGTGTAGGATAATGCACTTTGTTTTTGCATTCAAATTGCAATCTTCGCGCAACATCATCATTGCCACTTGTCTCTAACCGGTTGTAGGTATGTTGTTAACTCGGTCTCCGGCTCCTCACCACGCCCCAATCGATCGTGTGACAGAGACAGTGCAAGCCTAGACTCCACGGTCATACTATACTCACGCTAGTTAACTATCTAGTTAGTTGTCTCTCTATAAAGCCATCCACCAGAATTTCCGTCTAGCAGCCAGACGACCCAGATCGACGGGCTGTTGTAAAGGCCTGTCGTTGAAAGATGGGTCGAGCTGCCACTAACTCAATCGTCTTAGCTTTTCACCGATTGAGATATTCTCTCATGGGAAACAAACTAGCTTTTATACTAGTATTCCAATCGGAGGTGCCGACCACTCACCGGTGGTAGGTATTTTTATAATATCTATGAGCGTGTTCATCACCACGGTACCTTATCTGGTCCGTTCAGTTTAGTACGTGGATATGATTGTTTTGGGACCTGTCTCTTATTGGTTATTTTCCCGTTATAGGACTAACTTTTTTTGTGACTCCCCGCAAAGAACTCAATGCTTCATGAAAAACTCTCGATGTCACTCGACTTAACTGGGAATGGAATTTGAAAGGTTCGCCGGTTACAAAATAGCTCACCATATATAAGTGTTTCCCGCAGCACCAGCCACTGGCTTCGCCGCTTTGTTCCACCACGCAGCACCCCATTTCACGATAGAAACGAACAGCTGTAGAAACAAAACGCTGGTGTCGTTAACCGTATAAACAACATCTCTCTGCTCACACGAATACCGAATACCGCAGCAGCATGGCAGTAAAGAAAAAGGGTGGCCGAGTGCCCTTCCCTTCGCGGCTGTTTCAGCTTCTGAAGCTAACGGAAGATAAAGGATGGGAAGACATATTTTCCTGGGTTAACGATGGTACTGGCTTCAAAGTTCATGATAGGGAAAAGTTCGAAAAGGTCTTGCTTCAGAAACATTTTAATACCAAACGATATGCAAGCTTTGCACGACAGCTTCATGCCTATGGCTTTGATTGTGTACGGACAGGAAGGAATACTGGAATTTGTGAGTCACTCCGATTTGGAATGAATCATCAGAACATGCGAACTGCTGTTGTTCATCCCTTGACTCACGGTTGCTCATCTCAACGTTCTGTGAACCTTACCCAACAGATTCTCATCCAGCCTTCAAGCGCGACGACCCAAAAGGCTCGTGCTTGTTGAAACGAGAAGAAACGAAAACCATATCCAAAAAGGCAATCTCAGAGCACAATCAAGCAGCATCAAACATCAGTCGGTTCTCAAACTTTCACCTGGGGATTCGTGCAGGAGACACTGTTGTTCAGTTCCCTTCACTTTTGAAGCCAAGCACACAAAATGGAGAAGCTAATTTTGGGACTCTGACTTTCGATAATAGCCAGCCCTCGGGGCCAATGGGTAACCTGTATAATACTGTCCGCGCTCAAGTTGCCGATCGAACCAGAAAGGCACTCATAAGGATCCCTTCCGAAGCTTCGGACAACCCTTTTAGCAATCCAGACAATGCGTTCTGGTCTCCCAATACAAATCAGAATACAAACCACAATCGAGCGGTTAGTGATACTTCATCAATATCTACAAAATCAAGCTTCATAAGCATGAACAATAGTGTTTCATCACCAAAGCCATCTGGCATGGGTGCCCACTACAATATGAATATGAACATGAATATTGTTGATGATGACATGTTTCGTCAGATGGCAATGGTGCCTGAGGAAGATGATGACTCGTTCGGAGAAGACGGCGATTTCGAACCCATACCATGGTCACCATTACCGACTCCTTTTGAGGGTGACATTGACTCTGTTCTGCCGATCCAACTCGACTCCTCTATTCTGGAGCCTCGACCGATCAATGAGATGGTCCAAGACCCAGCAACCGCAAACACATGGATGTACGACTCGGTCCCATTGCTTGGCACCCCGAGAAGGCGAGCCTTGCTTGAGTTCTCGCTCCCGGTTTCATTACCAATTGGCTTTTATGTCGCGGATGTTTCCTCCTATGGAATCTATTGGGTCTGTTTCCTCATTTTGGGACATTTTGTGGAATGTCTGTTTACTTCATGGGGAGGTGCAGAAGATAAAAAGGACAAGACATACACGAAGGACCTCAGCATCAAACCCACGATTGGAATGCTTCAGCATCATATCATGGACTTGCTGTGGTTCCATTCACTTCTTTCGAACATGATATTGACGCCGCACTACTTTGGAGCTCCGTGCTATGCACTTTTATACCTCTTTATTTGGCCGCAACCGTTCAATCTGTCCATTGCTATCAAGACGCACTATTGTGAAAGCAATCTCGAGGGTACGTATGCTCATGGGAAATGGTGGATTGGTGACATCGTCAGGAAGGTACTCTTGGGTTACGGTTTCACGATACTAGGTATCGTCCTGGTACACGTATTCGAAATGGCTTCGTTGCGAATTCCGCTGGTGTTTGGGTTCAACATGATACCGTTGGTTGCATTTGAGTCCTACCGATACTTGCTTTCAGTGTCTGCGGTAGCTGGATTGACTTCAGAAGCACGCGTTGCGAAGAAGAAAGTGCAGTAACTGAATATAATGTACATAGTATTTCTATTGGGGCTAGCTTCTGCGCACAAGGATAGGATGTAGTGGGAACAACTTGCAATGGATGATGCTTCGGAACACATAATCCCGACCGTAGACGATGCTTCGAAAGAGATGTATGACTGGTGCTTTCGCTACTAAATACAAGCACCTATGATCTATCCTTACAGAATAGGTTGCGTGGCATTTTTGTGTGTCCCCTCGATTATCCTCCAAGGGGGAATGATACTACCGTATCAGAAGTACCCATGGGATCCAAACTTGGAACAGCTGGAAAGTCTGCGGCCAGAAGTTTTTGCGCAAGAACAGCAATCATTGCAGACCCGAAGTGCTGGTACATTTTACGTTCATGCGTTAAGTTGGGTCTCCAGGAGCGCTGGAGCGGCGAAACCTCAAACGATTAAAACTGCCTTTCCATTCGTTCGTTCGTTCCTGACACGAAGCTACTGGAAGGCTATGTACAAATCAGTCAAGGAACACTATATATGTGCGGGACCTTTGGACGTTTTGATATATCATAATATTGGCAGGGAGCACTTTTAACAACCAGAGTGGTAGATGAGCGAGACCGAGGAAATCTTGTTGGACACACAACTATACCGGTTCGTCACGAAGCCTCGAAAACGCTACCATAAACACATGAAAACTTGTGGTGGGCACTTTACAAAAACACGAAACTGCAAAGATAACCATGTCAAGTACAAAACCACAAGCTACTAAACCGACTAGCGCTCGTCTTTGTTTTCCTCAAAGAGTCTACAATGTACTCAAACTGTGTGAAGATACTCATCAGGAACACATAGTGTCGTGGGTGAACGAAGGGGCAGCCTTTAGAGTGCACGATGTGAAAGAGTTTGAATGTGAATTGCTTCCCAAGTACTTCAACACTCAGAAATACTCCAGCTTTACTCGAGCGTTGTGTGCCCATGGATTTGATTGTGTCAGAACTGGAAGACAAACCGGGATTTGTAAGTTGTAATGTTTTGTCATCTGGAAAGCTTCAACTTCCCCACGCAAATTGTCTAACCACTTCTTCCAGACTCCCACCCCAAGTTCACTCGCAACGATCCCGAGGCTCCGTCTATGATGAAAAGAGTGAAGAGAGTGAAACATGCAAAAGTATTGAACAAAAAGATATCAAATGTAAGCCAAGGGGACTTGTCATCGGTGGGAGGTGGAAAACGATCTTTTATGTTTCCATCGTTTCTGAACAATGCCCACACAGTCATGAATGATGATGATTATGCATCAGTTTTTGGTCGGCTGTACCAAACTGTTGCATCTCCAATTGCTGATCGAACAAAAACAACAGTAAAGGCAATGATTCAGCACCATCACCATCTACGTTTTGTCAGCTTAGACAGAAGTGGTGGCGGTGAGAGTACGGGTGAACAATCACCATGCATTCCCATCCCTTCATCGGCGTCAGTTGCACTGCCTAGTTCCTACCATATTGCAGCAGACTACAATACGACAATCTTGGACCAACAAAACCAGCATGGTCATCTTGCTCATCATTACTCTGGTTCAATCCGCGATGATGACTTGGTACCGATTTCGTCATCAACGAGTGAGGGAAATGCTTTGGAAGGTGCTGGTTTTGAGCCGCTATCCTGCTCACCCCACACTACATTGAATAATCGCGGCATTCTTGATCATTCCGAAGACGAGGCATTTATTTCATTCTGGTATGGAGCCGAGAAGCATTAATCTGTTGAGAAAATTCAGGCAACTTTTAAAAAAATTCAATTCTTCAGTATGCTACCATAATGTGTCCTAGATCAAGGTACCATGCGCTGTACGAATGTTTCTCTCCAATCACTACCTGCTTGTGGTCTGTGCTAATATTACTAGATGGATGTTTCATCAGTTGGAATATTCTTGGCAGCCTTTCTCATCGTTGACTTCGGACGAGGAGAATCATACAAGGATAGTAAAGGGGTGGAGCTTGTTTTGCTCATCGTTCCTTGTGGGAAACATGCAAAAGTCACCTTTTCATAGCATGGCTACAAATTACTGAAAACGAAATTTGGGAACTAGAACTGGAACTGAAAATAGAGTCATAGTCAGCTCACTCCCACAACTCTGCCTATTGACAATACCATTGAGACTCCTCATCATCATCACAGTCGGAGCTAAATATCTTTTTTAAAATCGATCCAGTCGATCCAAAGTAAAGACAATACATTAAATAAAATGTTTCACAAACAGCAAAATTCTGCAGTCTCACAAAAGCAGTTTGGGTGTTCCTGCCAAACAACAAGACTTGAATAGCAACAAAGTGAACAAGATATCATCATGATGAGTACAAATTGAAAAGTAGATGCTCGAACATTGGAACAAAACAGACAGAACAATCACAGTCAATGTTGGGGACGAGACTGTACTGTATCAAATCTATTGGTGTGAGGCACAAACAAAGCAAACAACACTGATGGGGGAGTAGGAGGTCATGTGGAGTTTGATCATTTAACATTTGATGATCCTGCAGGTGAGAACAATCATGATGATGCCGCTGATTGAGGCAGCTTGTTGGTTTCTTGCCTGGGAATTATGGTGCCATGCAACTGCGGACCAGGAATCATTTAAGCAACATGAAGGTTTTTGGCAAAGGGCAGTGCCAGTGGTTGGTCAAAGTGACGTTCAACATTGTAGGATGGGAGTAGGACGCCAGACTCTCAAGAAGCAAACAAAAAGCAAACACCTTGATTGGCTGGACCTTGATAGTAGCTTCTTCTCGACAAAGTTGATACGCTGATATTGTGTCAGCCAAGCTTGCTGCACATCAGGAGGCAGAAAAATTCCAGCATTATTCACTGCGGTGGAAATATTCTCGCTCCAACAATTCTTGAGTTTTTGCAGTACATCCATTTCCACTAGGTCTTGTAGCGAGTGTATTCCGTAAGAAAGTGACAAGATGTAGGCGAATGCTCCAGAAAGATATTGGCAAGGCCATAGACTTGTTGCTCTTTGTCTTCGTTTCCAAATTTTCCCAAAGCAAACCTAGTTGCAATGTGATGAATCGTCAGCCTTCCCTAACCCTTCTTCTTACTTCGACCATTGCCAGCACTGGTTCAACAGTACTGGACTTGTCACCTCCGTATGGTAAATGGCCATGACAGCCGTTAACGGCAATCTAGAAACTTGAGATAGTTTTAATACGATTAATGCATCAGTTATATATATTCAACCCTTGCCAGCAGTGCGATTGTTCCTACCTGTAGACGATCCTGGCATCTTAGTACTTCACCGCACCCAGTCTCCAACCTACAAGAGGTGAGGACAAGACACAACACACAAAAAATTTCCTAGCTACACACTGTATGTCAGTCCATGCTATGGAAATGAAAAACAGATGTGTAAAAAGCTAGGCTGTGCAGAAGTGGATGGAGGAACCGGTCTCTGAGAAGTTTGGAAATGTCGCTACAGGCTAGTGGTGGAGAGAGAAGATTGTTGAGTTGAGCAACTATGCTGCGAGCAATGGGATAGCTTACAGCAACTTATTGTGGTGATGATGTCGCAAGCCGGCCTGATCATTGTTCTATATTGTGACACGTGTCATCTACGATTTGTGGATAATGATTGCTGGTGCAAGGTGTGCTGGCGATTTCCTTGTAGCTCCACTTGGCTGGTAAAAACAACATGACCGATGATTCTAAATACCGGTATGTAGTGAAAATCTACCTACCAAAAAGGCAGATGGATTTGATTTCACCACGGTGGTCAGTTCTGGGGCACCTGTATTCATCACCCACTATAAGAAAGCCGATGCGTAGCTAACAGTACCTGTAGATTGACATAAGATACCCTGTTCCTATGAAGTGATCTGGTCTCATTGGTTTCTTTGGTCCCGGAAATGACCGCTGAAGCCTACCTGGTACCGTCAATGTCCAAAAAGAAGTTTTCGCATGGTTTTGGGACACCACAGAGTCCCATGGCATAAAGAGCTTCTGTTGTTATACTGAGGACCTTGGAGTCGTTTGATGTTCGATATCAGGGTGCCTTCTCAACCGAGTCCATCATTTGGAAAAAATCTTCAAAATCAGATGAAGGTCCCCATGACCGCCATGGAGACAGCTATCCATTCAACAAGACACCAGGACCTCCCTTGGATACCTACGGTCGATAAATTTTGGGACGCAGTCAAAGATTTGGTCTAGCTAAAGCAGACAGGGGCCAAAACGGGGCCAGAAAAGAGGTATGTTTGTTGAAAATTCTGGACTTGTCGAATTGTTGGCCTGCTTTCCTTAATCTTCTTTATTCTAACACGTATTTGTCATCCATGGGTATATCTGTCAAGGTTTGGCGGCTTGGAATGGGAGATTTCAAGGCCAAAGTGATTGAAGTGCACCTAATGGACCTTTGGGGTCAATTCGGAATGCAATCCAGAAGTGGCCAAGAATCTATCCCAGTCAATGTATCGGTACCCAGACACGGTTGGACCCCGACAAAAGTTATCACTACACATATACGCATCGAAGTTGGGTGCTGTTTTGCAATGCCGAGGCAGAAATGAGATTCCCTTCTCTGATTTCCTGCTGCCCCCTTCAGAACATTTCAGGTGGCTTTTATGAATGTTTCGAAACCTTATGTATTATGGACAGAAATTTGCAATTGAAAGTGCGTACACCTCTAGTCTATTTATATTAAACAAATAATACATGCTCAAATACAAGATTTGTAGTCAAAAGAAGGTCTTATCGTACAAGAAGGTGCTCTTACCTCTTGTTCCAGAATTTCGGTCATTTGAAAGTCGAATAAGTCCAATTATGAATCCGAAGAATGAATCAATCTATCGTTTGTACCACCACGGCTTAGATCTTGTGGTATCAAAGCCTGGAACGGCCGGGAAAATCAATATTTACTCGCAAGAATTGTATGCTAAATTTCTATTTCCCGGCCGTCCCTGCTGAAGGTTCATAGTCATCTGACTTTCTGGGGAAGACCATCATCCCTATATAAAATCGTAATTAACGATATCAAAGAAAAATTCATCGAATCCTGATAGGATAGATTATGAGTCGTTGAAGTAACACTAAAAGAACAACCGTTCAAGCTAATCGTTTGAACAAACATACGACAAGCCATTTCCTGCGGGATCTCTAGTTAGCATCAAAACATAACTTGAACCTCGCGCTGAGAATTCCACTTGATCGGACCTTCTGCGACCAGAAGAATAGGGAAAATCTTTATAAGCAACGGCGGAAAGTAATACCGAACGATCAAAATGTTTTAAATAAAATGCTGACAAGAATTCGAACTCGTCCTGATAAGACAGGTTATGAAGCAATCAAATAACACCAAGAATATCGAGAACTGACGTTCAGTCTACTGGCTGGAAGTACATCCGCAAGCGAACCGTTCTTCGAGATGTTCGAAAAATCGGTTTTGGGCAAAGATCCCTGTCAACTCCGTTTTTCAACTTTTCCACATTGCACAATACGCTCACAAAATGAAAGTGTACCCAAGTGCTGAGACTGTCACCGCATAAAAACATCACAACATCAAACCATCAAACCATCAAACCACAAAACTGCAAAGATGAGCATGCCAATTACCAAACCAAAATCTAAAACGACCACCAGTCGCATTTCATTTCCTCAGAGAGTCTACAACGTGCTGAACCTCTGTGACGATACTCATCAGGAACATATCGCATCGTGGATGAATGATGGGACGGCGTTCAAAGTTCACGATATCGCACAGTTTGAACGTGAATTGCTTCCAAAGTACTTCAACACTCAAAAATACGCTAGCTTTACTCGAGCGTTGTGTTCCTATGGATTTGATTGTATCAGAACCGGAAGACAAACCGGCATTTGTAAGTTGTCGATTGATGTCACCATCTTAAGAATGAACTTAGCAAGGCATATTATCTAACAGCTTTTTGCAGACTCCCACCCTAAATTCAATCGCAACGACCCTGAGGCTCCGTCTATGATCAAGCGAGTAAAGAAAACGAACAACAATGCGAAGGCTTCATTGACCAAGCTATCAACTGGATGTCATGGCTTTTCATTGGGAGATAGAAAGCGATCATTTGCATTTCCGTCCCTTATGAATACTACGCAGTCGCTCATGAATGAAGATGCTGATGCATCAGTTTTTGGTCATCTATATCAAACGATTCGGTCTCAAATTGCCGATCGAACACCTTTGTCACATTTGGTCAGCTCAGACGAAAGTGGCGACGAGAGCGCTGGTGAACAATCACCATACAATCCCTTGTCTTCGTCTTGCAACCCGATTGTTCGTTCTGACTCCTACCATATCGCTGCAGAAGATTACGATGTGATAACATGTGACGAACAAAACCAGGGCGAGCAATACGCCCAGGAGATCGCTGATTCAATCCTCGATGATGATTTTGCAACGTTTCCCGTATCACCTAGTGAAGGTTATGCTTCAGAAGATGATGATTTTGAGCCGCTGCCCTGGTCTCCGGGCGCTTCATCGCAAAATTGCGGCCGACTTGATAATTCAGAAGACCAGGCATTCCTGCTGTCATGGAGCCATGAAGTATTGATGAGCTGAAGAAAATTCAGATAATTTTTTTAAATACAATTTTACAATATGCTAACAATATGTCCAGCCCAAGGCACCAAACTCTTTTCAAAGATTTCTCTCTTGTCGCATTCCTGTAGTCTGTACCATACTTGTACAAAATGTAGAGATGTGCCACTAAGCTATGGACTCCCCGTGGCAAGATGGGTCTCCCCTAAATACATGAAGTATCTTTGGGGTTGGAAGTTTACATCTCACTTCCCCATTTGTCACAGGTACTGGATATTCTTACACTCCCCGTCGGACTTTCCAGCTTCGAGCTATTATTCAGCAAGGCTGAGTACCGCGGATGGACAGTTCGTATTTCTGAACGCATAAGACCCAGTGTCGCAATCTCCTTGTCTTCTATATAGGGGAGTCATTTGCTTAAGTAGTATGAAAACATCAATGAAAGTTCCACGAAGATCCTCGTGCGCGATTGAGCACTACCGTGTCGCCCTCATTGGGTACCCCTAGACGGGCCCTCTCAACCTGACACACTGGAGTCGAACCTGAAGCTACCATGTACAAAATGTAGAGATGTGCCACTAAGCTATGGACTCCCCGTGGCAAGATGGGTCTCCCCTAAATACATGAAGTATCTTTGGGGTTGGAAGTTTACATCTCACTTCCCCATTTGTCACAGGTACTGGATATTCTTACACATACTACCTCATTACTATAGACGCCATGAAATGTGTTTTTTAAAAGCTCTCACTTTGAACGCGCGCATCCAAAAGTACAGCTGCTTCAGGATCAAAGAATGAATCCGTCCAACATTCTTCGATATTTCGTAACGTACCAATGACGGGCACGACGACGCACATATCAATCTTCACCGTTACTGTACCTGGTGAAGTTGGTATTGGTACTGGTACTGGCATGACACCAGATAGACATGGCAGATGGGTGCCTTCCTTCTGGTATTTGGCTTCAACATGATATCATTGATCGCAATGAAGAAGAGTTGCTACTAATACTAGGAGTTTGGACGACATTAAGTGGTTGGCTGTTGGCTCACACTTTTTCTACGACAGTAGGATGAAATGCATAGTAGGGGAAATATCTTACAATGGATGGTGCTTTAAAGGAGATGAGCAGGCGATCCTTCAGTCTTGCACTTACGGCAATGCAACAACTATACGATGACCCATATGAGACGTACTATGAGATGTGAGGTTTTGGTGTACCTACCCCCAATTATCCTGCAACTGGGGATGAGAAGTCTCATTTTGTGAAACTCATCATGGTGGTGGTACACGTGTACAGGTACTGTCAAGAAGCAATTGAAGCTTGCTGGAACTTCCAGTCCTCCATCGGGCATGCGTTCTGCGACCAGAACCTCAGGGAAAACAATCATATAAACAACGGCGGAAAGTCACTCCGCATGATCAAAATGTGATAAATAAAATGCTGACATGCAAGTTCGAAGCAACGATTCACGCGAAAGCAGAAGGATTTTTGGTAGCACCAGAACAACTTACGTTCAGGCTACGCGCTGCTAGTACTTACACAAACGAACCAAAACTTGTGAAATCGGTTTTGGGAAAGGGTCCCTGTCAACTCCGATTTTTTTTCATCTTTTTTTCCTGAGATGTGCCGTACAACTACGTTCACAAAGTCGACAGTGCCTAATCTCTGTCACCAACGTGAGACCCAAACTTTTGGACGGCTGCTTCAAACCATAAAAACGTCACAACATCAAACCATCAAACCACAAAACTGCAAAGATGAGCATGCCAATTACCAAACCAAAATCTAAAACGACCACCAGTCGCATTTCATTTCCTCAGAGAGTCTACAACGTGCTGAACCTCTGTGACGATACTCATCAGGAACATATCGCATCGTGGATGAATGATGGGACGGCGTTCAAAGTTCACGATATCGCACAGTTTGAACGTGAATTGCTTCCAAAGTACTTCAACACTCAAAAATACGCTAGCTTTACTCGAGCGTTGTGTTCCTATGGATTTGATTGTATCAGAACCGGAAGACAAACCGGCATTTGTAAGTTGTCGATTGATGTCACCATCTTAAGAATGAACTTAGCAAGGCATATTATCTAACAGCTTTTTGCAGACTCCCACCCTAAATTCAATCGCAACGACCCTGAGGCTCCGTCTATGATCAAGCGAGTAAAGAAAACGAACAACAATGCGAAGGCTTCATTGACCAAGCTATCAACTGGATGTCATGGCTTTTCATTGGGAGATAGAAAGCGATCATTTGCATTTCCGTCCCTTATGAATACTACGCAGTCGCTCATGAATGAAGATGCTGATGCATCAGTTTTTGGTCATCTATATCAAACGATTCGGTCTCAAATTGCCGATCGAACACCTTTGTCACATTTGGTCAGCTCAGACGAAAGTGGCGACGAGAGTGCTGGTGAACAATCGCCATACAACCCGATTGTTCGGTCTGCTTCCTGCCTTCTCGCTACAGAAGATTACGACATGACAACCTTTGTCGAACAAAACCAGGATGAGCAATACGCCCAGGAGATCGCTGATTCAATCCTAGATGATGATTTTACACCGATTCCCTTGCCGTCAAGCGACGGATATGATTCAATAGATGCTGATTTTGAGCCGCTGCCCTGGTTACCGCACTCTGCATCGAAAATTTGCGGCATGCTTGATAATGCAGAAGATGAGGCATTCCTGTCATGGAGTCGAGAAGTATTCATGAGCTGAAAGAATATTTCGAAGTTATAAATGCATTTACATGTTCGTCCAATGTTAACAAACCCAGCATTCCAAGTTTTGAGAACGAAAATTCTTCTCCGGTCGCTTTACCTGGTCTATTCCATTCTACTCCATGGATATTCAATCATTTGGACTCCTCTACTACTGCGGCAAGCTTTCTCTCGTTGTGGGGTACACCATTGAATCCTTAAGGACTACCTGTGCGCCGTATACATTTTACTTGATTTTGAAGCCGCGGATGCTGAAGGATACTGGGGTTTCCTTCATGAACCTAACGCTGCTATCGGTTCCCACAAGACTGGAAGATCAGACTGATGATAAGAAAGGCAAATAGTTGACTACTAGAAAATGCAGTTTGTTCCTTCCCTCCTCAATATTCTTCGAAAAGTGCCGTTATAATGAGGAGGATGAGGCCCACCCGCATTCAACAAACGTAGCGCCATCGGTGTCACTACGAATTTATCTTCAAATCTTACTTTTAATTTTTATACCTATATATCCCACCCTCAATTTGATGGCAGTTCGGCTGCCAGTTTTTAGAACACCGAAAAAAATCATGATGTACGAGTGCAAGAGAGAGAGGGAAGAGCCGGCTAATAAAATCAGCAAACGGGACCTGTTAGTGTCAAAATGTTCTCTCTGCGGTAATAGGTACCTGGTACCCTGTCTGATCAGGAGAATCGTGGTATTTTTTCTAAGAAAAGGAAAGCATGATGTATGTACACGTGTACGTGTACACGTTCACCATTACCCGACGATCGTTCGTGAAACTTCTGTTTTGGCATGGGCTTCGCATGGCATCGTGCATGGTAAGAGACCGACACAGTGTTATTGTACGGATTCGAAACATAACCATGTCACGTACAAAACCAAAAGCTACTGAAACGACCAGCACTCGTCTTTGTTTTCCTCAAAGAGTCTACAATGTACTCAAACTGTGTGAAGATACTCATCAGGAACACATAGTTTCATGGATGAACGATGGGACAGCCTTCAGAGTACACGATTTGGAACAGTTCGAACGTGAAATGCTTCCCAAGTATTTCAATACTCAGAAGTATGCTAGCTTTACTCGGGCGCTGTGTGCCCATGGATTTCACTGTGTACGAACGGGGAGCCACACTGGGATTTGTAAGTTGATGACTGATATACAGTATGTCATCATTCCCCTGCCATTTCCCCTGACAAACTCGTGTGAACTTTTCAGACTCGCACCCTAAGTTTAATCGCAACGACCCCGCGGCTCCTTCTATGATCAAGAGAGTGAAGAAAACGAACCATGCGAAAGCGTTGAACAAACTATCAAATCGAAGCCATGACTTAGTATTGCGAGATGGAGGGCGATCATTTATGTTTCCATCGCTTCTGAACAATACCCAATCTCACATGAATGCAGATGATAATGCATCGATTTTTGGTCACTTGTACCAAACGGCTCGCTCTCAAATAGTAGATCGAACAACATATGCGCTCATCCGTCTTCCACCAGGCTCACACTTCATCAGTTCAGACGAAAGTGATGATTACAGCGCGGGTGAACACGAATCCCTGAACAGTCAGTTCCCGCCGTCGGCATCAGCTGTACCCTCAAGTTCCTACAATGTCGTCCCAGATTACAATAGGGCAACCTTTGACCAACAAAAACATGATGATCAAACAGCTCAGAACTCTGGCTCAATCCTGGACCATGATGATTTCGAACCAATACCTTTGCCAATGCACAGTTCATCGCAGAATTTTGGCGTACCTGATCATTCTGAAGATGATGAAGCATCGCTTGGCTCCTTGGAGCCACGAAACATTCAAGAGATGAAAAGGAATCCAGAAGATTTCAATGCATTCTACAACATCCTACCAGTGATTCCAAAGCCAAGGTACCAGGCGTTGTACGACTTTTCATCTCCAGTCGCTTTACCCGGTCTTTTCTACTTTATGGATATTTCATCATTTGGAATGTGCTGGGCAATGTTCCTCATTGTTGGGCATACCATTCAAGCCTTATTTACTGCCTTTGGACCAAACACGCAAGATTTGGTTTTGCGTCCGAAGATCAGCATGCTGAAGCATATTTTCATGGACATTATGTGGATGCATTCTCTCCTCTCTGCTATGGTGTTGGTTCCAGAATACTTTGGATCATCAAGTGTTATGCTTGCCATAACCTTTATCGGCACCCAACCTCCCAACCTTGCAACTAGTCTAAAGACGCACTATCACATGAATATCCAAAAGGCCGCGCCTTTTGTACATCATGGAGAATGGTGGATTGCAGATATCGCGAGATGGATCTTCGTTGGGTACTTCATTGCCATGCTTTGCATTTGCCTGGGGCATTTTTGGGATATCGCGAATATGAAAGTGATTGGAACCTTCGTACTGAATCTAACACCATTATTCGCATGCGAATCCTACAGATTATTGCTTTCGATTCCTGCAAGGTTGGAAGTTCAGCATGGTGTTAAGAAACGCAAATAGTAGATGATTTGTTTACTGCAACTTCGTTTTAGCCTCATTGCGGGCGCACTTATAGTTCAGAAGCACCGACCCATCGTAGGCAGTAAAATCTCATCTCCATCTGCTCTACCTTGTGATTGGTTTTGTCAAACGAATACGAGTACAATACCGGTGTATTAGCCAAAAGAATGAGATTTGTCAATGGAGAATGGTGAATGGGAGATATCTTGAGATTGGGTTTATTTCGCGGGGTAGTACTTGATCTCTGCATTTGCCTTGGGCATTATTCGGATACTGCAAGTATGAAGGTGATTTGAGTTTTCTTCATGAACCTTTCTTCATTATTCGCATGCGAAACCTATAGATTGTTCGCTCCTGCAAGATTGGAAGCTCAGTAGAATGGCAAGAAGAAGGACAACTAGTGGGAGTAGCTTGGCTTCACTATTTATTGCTAATTTTTTTCAACCTCAATGTGCAACAAGTCCAAAACCCAGCCACGCACCATGAATAGCCGAAAGGCCAGCAAGTTGTCGATGGAGAATGGTGGATAGCCGATTTCGCTTCGTCAGCTCTCAGCAGCATTTGCCCTGGGCGTTGTTCTGAAATTGCGAATCTGATGGTGGTTTTAATTTCTTACTGAACCTGACAAGTGAATAGCTAAAAGGGCTAGTTACTTGTCAATGAAGAATGGTTGACAGCCGATGTCCGTTTTCAGCTCTCAGCCAGCATTTTCAATTTGCTTTGTGCATTGTTGTTGCTGCTGCAAGCTAAAGCCTATGGTACGAGTCTCATTCATGAACCTAATGACATTATCTGCTGCATGTGAATCCTTCATATTGCTGCTTTCGATTCCTGCAAGATTGAAATAGTAGTACTCGGTTGCATGGTCGCGTGGTGATCATTTTTTATTTCAACTCTCCCTAGTAGTAAGGTAGGTGAATCGATCTCAGTTGCATGGTAATCATTTGTTATTTTAACTCTCCCTCGTAGTACGGTAGTGTTATTGACAAACGCAAAACTTTTTGTTTTCCTAGCACCTATATTTTTCGGTTTACCTTTTTTTTAGCATTCTCAATTCTGTGCCCGTGTACCTTACCCGGTTTGATCTTCTAACGTAGACGAAAGCTCGAGAACGAATCATTGGATTCCTTTCATCATACTGACGACGGTCGAACGACCGTCACAATAGCATTGCTCAGCAACACCAAGTCCGATCAGTTTATCGAACTTGTGTGCGAGTATACGTCAAGAAATAAGGTTTATTTCTTTCTTTCCCTCCCTCCACATCCCTGTTGGGCCTTACATCGACGCATTCTACGTCTCTGTAAGGCCTAGTAGGCAAGCAAGTCTTTGATATTCCGCGAAGCGGAATATCAAAGACTGGCCTTTTGGAACCGCACGCTTCGCGCGCAATCCAAAAGACCAGCTTCACACCACAACCCACCAGAGTCACACCAAGAAAGAATCCCTCACGGAAGAAACCAGGCGGCAGGCGCCAGTTGGCTATCTTCGATAGTTCATCCAAACTTGCCTGAAAGAATAAAGTGGCGGCAAATTGGTGTGATCATTCGAGTAATTTCATTTAGCAGTGGTTTTAATTTTAAAAAAAGGTGCAGAAGGCTCGGCTACTGTAGTCTATAGCCGGGATAGTAAATCTTATCGATGAAGTAAGTGGCGAGAGAAAAAAATGTAGCCAGGAGTGTGTCCACGAATAAAATGATGATGCATACCATTTGACGCGTGAAGACAGTACACAGTACACGTGTACGTGTACGGCGAAACCGAACAGAGAACAGAGCAAATCGAATCAATCAATCAATCGTGTACTGACGTGGGCCTCATCATCATCATCAGGAAGGATAGCCTCGCACCTCGCACTATCATACTGTACAGTACGCAGTCGTCGCTCAAGTTTGCAAAATGAGCATGACAATGACCAAACCCAAAGCTGCTAAAACGACCAGGACCCATCTTTGTTTCCCTCAGAAGGTCTACAATGTGCTTCAACTCTGTGACGATACTCATCAGGAACACATATTATCATGGATGAACAGTGGGACGGCGTTTAAAGTACACGATGTAGAAGCGTTTGAACGTGAACTGCTTCCCAAGTATTTCAACACTCAGAAATATGCTAGCTTTACTCGAACGCTGTGTGCCCATGGATTCGATTGTGTCAGAACTGGAAGACAAACCGGGATCTGTAAGTTGAATTTTGTTTGTCCCATCGTTAGCTTTTAATCGTAAGCTTCGTCGTATGATAAGCTTGGACTTCCGAAGGCAAATTCTCTAACATCTTCTGTCAGACTCCCACCCTAAGTTTAATCGCAACGACCCTTATGCTCCTTCGATGATAAAGAGAGTGAAGAAAGCGAAGAATAAGAAAGCATTGAAGGAAGGTGTATCGAATCGAAGTCATGGCTTGTTGTTGCGAGATAGAAAGCGACCCATGGCATTTCCATCGCTTCTGGATAACCCGCAATATCGAATGGCTGAAGATGATAATGCAACAGTTCTAGGTCAGCTGTACCAAACGACACGGTCTCAAATAGCTGATCGAGCAACGAAGGCGCTGATACGTCTTCCGCCGGGGATTCATTTCGTGAGTTCAGACGAAAGTAGCGATGACAGTAGTGCGGGTGGACACGATTCAGCATCAGCATCAGCATCATCTGTGAGGTCTAGTTCTTACCATATCACGGATGACTTAGAGGAATATGACGAAGATGATTTTGAACCGATACCTTGGTCACCGCAGACTTCAACGCAGAATTGCGGTGTACTTGATCATTCCGAAGGTAATTCGTCTCTGAGTTCGATGGAGCCAAGAACTATCCAGGAGATGAAACGAAACCCAGACGATTTGAATGCATTGTATAATGTGCTTCCGATGTTTTCACAGCCAAGGTACCAAGCGTTGTACGACTTTTCATCTCCGTTCGTTTTACCAGGTCTTTTCTACTTTATGGATATTTCATCATTTGGATTATACTGGGCAACCTTTCTCATCGTTGGGCACACCATTCAAGCCTTGTTCACTGCCTATGGACCGAATACAGCTGATTTGGTTCTGCGTCCGAAGATCAGCATGCTGAAGCATATTTTCATGGACATTATATGGATGCATTCTCTCCTCTCGGCAATGGTATTAGTTCCAGAATATTTTGGAGCATCAAGTGTTATGCTGGCCATAACCTTTATCGGCACCCAACCGCCTGGCCTTGCAACAAATCTTAAGACGCACTATCACATGAATAGCCAAAACCAGAGTGTCCCTTTTGTTCATGGCGAATGGTGGAGTGCAGACATCGTGAGATGGATCTTCTTGGGTTACTTAACAGCGATTCTCTGCATTTGCCTAGGGCACTGTTTTACTGTTCCAACTCTGAAGGTGATCGGAGTTTTCTTGATGAACCTGACACCATTACTCGCATTCGAATCCTACAGATTGTTGCTATCAATTCCTTCAAGATTGGAAGATCAGCCTGGCGAAAAGAAACGCAAATAGTTAACTACTTACTAATACACTGCATTCCCTTTTCAATATTAATCAAAGAATAATTGGATTACATTACTCATCAAAGAGTAATTGGATTACTCACGCCTGTCACTCCACGACCGTGGCATCATCGCTTTCGCCCTTGCACTTGCAATATCTCGGAAAATCACGTGGAACGTTGAAGTGACAACTTCAAAGTAGCCAGTTCTTTTCAGGATTATGACCGCACGATACGCATGTACAAGTTAGTTACCGTATACTATAGCCAGGGGTACCGGTACAGTATGTCACACATTGTCATCAGCAAATTCTGGCAGCGCATATCATCCCCCTCTTATTTCTACTATATGAGCATGGCAGAGACCAAATAAAAGCCAAAACAACCAGTACTCGTATTTCTTTTCCTCAGAAAGTCTAGAACTTGCTGAATCTCTGTGAAGAGAACCGCATTAGGAACACATCGTATCATGGATGAACGATGGGACGGCGTTTAAGGTACATGACTTGGTACACTTTGAACGTGAAATGCTCCCCAAGTATTCCCAACACTCTGAAGTATGCTAGTTTTACTAGAGCCTTGTGTGCCCATGGATTTGATTGTGTCAGAACGGGAAGACAAACCGGGATTTGTAAGTTGAAAACTGTTGTCATCATCGTAAGCTTGGACTTCCCACACAAATTCTCTAACGACTTCTGTCAGACTCCCACCCAAAGTTTAATCGCAGCGACCCATATGCTCCTTCGATGATAGAGTGAAGAAAGCGAATAATACGAAAACTTCCAAAAAAGGTGTATCAAATCGAAGTCATGGCTTATTGTTGCGAGATGGAAAGCCATCAATAATCTTTCCATCACTTCTGAATAATACCCAATCTCACATGACTGAAGATGATAATGCATCATTTTTGGGCCAGCTGTACCAAACGGTGAGGTCTCAAATAGCTGATCGAACAACAAATGCGCTCATACTTCTTCCACCAGGGACATAGTTCCTCACTTCAGATGAAAGTAGCGATGACAGTAGTGCGGGTGAACAATCAATGTACAATCCGATGCCGGCGCCGACATCAGCTGTACCTTCTAGTTCCTACCATGTCGCTCCAGAATATAATCTGATATCATTGGACCAAGGAAACGAACATGAGCACACTCCTAACTCTGGTTCAATCCTCGGTGATGAATTTGAACCGATTACCTTAGCACCGACGGAGCCGTGTGCTTCAGAAGAGATGATTTTGAGCCGATACCCTGGTCACCGCCCACTTCGTCGCCGAACTCCGTCGCACCAAATCATTCCGAAGATGAGGCATTGCTTTGGTTGGTTGGGCCGAGAAGTATTCAAGAGATGGAAGACGAGGCCGAGGATTTGAATGCATTTTACAATGTGCTTCCAACGTTTCCAGAGCCAAGGTGGCAAGCATTGTATGATTATTCATCTCCAGTCACTCTACCCCGCATTTTCTACTATATGGACATTTCATCATTTGGCATCATGTCCTCCTGGGCAATTTTTCTCATTGTTCGACATACCATGCAATCCTTATTTACAGCCTATAAACCGAATACTGGGGACTTGGTTTTGAATCCAAAGATTAGTTTGGGGAAGCATATGTTCCTAGACATTATGTGGGTACAATCTCTCATCTCGGCTATGACATTGTTGGTTCCAGAATACTTTCGATCATCAAGTGTTATGCTGGCCACTTCCTTTATGTGATCCAACCCTCCGAGCCTTGGAATGAGTCTCAAGTCACACTATCATCACTTTCACAGCCAAGAGGGTCAGTCATTTGTCTGCGGAGAATGCTGGTTAGCCGACATCATCAAATGTCTCTTCTTGGGATACATGGTTTCAGCTCTCTTCATTTGCCTTGGGCAATATTCAGATATTACGAGTTTGAAGGCGGTTGGAGTTTTCTTCATGAACCTGACACCATTGCTCGCATATGGATCCTATAGATTACTGCTTTCGATTCGCGCAAGGTTGGAAGATCCGAATCAGGAGAAGAAACAAAAATAGTTGACTTTGCACTGCAGCTCAGTTCCATCCTCAACATTCCTCGAAGAACGTATCAATCAATCAATCAATCGCCCGCATTCGAGCGATTTACATACCGCCATCCAAGACCGTGGCATCATCGCTATTGTTCCAGTGATGCCAAAGCTGAAAGAGCCTCAATCTCCGACATTCCATCAAATCAAACATGCGTTGCCGAATGGTGCATGATGGGTAGTTCTCTCAGACAAAGACGATTGACTCTTATGTACCAACTCCTGAAAATGCCTCTGTTGGCCAGATCCTCCTTTTCGGGGTGTGTAGTGTGGTTATTCCGTTGACTGTGCTGATGATGATGCTTTTTAACAAGCAGACAATAAAATCAAAGTCGTCCTTTTGCAAGGTTCATTCCGAGTGGTATGGAAAAAATTCGACGTATTGGAACCGTTGAAAACAGACCAATACGCACATCGAAAATATGACACTACAGATACTGTATAATATATTGGTAGATTATCGCGGTACAACCCAAACGGACTCGCTCGATTCCTTTTGTACAAATGAATCAATTTTTTGTGTTCGCCTCGCATATTCGGAGCAAGGGGTCCCGCGGTGCACTGGTATTCATTTATATTTATATGTACTCAGAACACAGCAGGAGCAGAATAAAATCTGAACCTGACCTGGAGAAGTTACATATTCAAAAAATATTGCGGTGGAGCATACCGGTATAATGGAAGACACCAAACCAAAATCGAGAGCGACCAGCATTCACCTTTCCTTTCCTCAGAGAATCTACAACTTGCTCAAATTCTGTGAAGAGAATCATCAGGAGCACATCGCATCATGGATGAACGATGGGACAGCCTTCAGAGTTCATGATATAGAAGAGTTCGAAAGTGAATTGCTTCCCAAGTATTTCAATACTCGGAAGTATGCTAGCTTTACTCGAGCTTTGTGTGCCCATGGATTTGATTGTGTAAGAACGGGGAGCCATAGTGGGATTTGTAAGTTGGAGACTTCCATATGTCACCAGTCCCGTACCATCACCCTGACAAACTCTATATGGACTTTTAGACTCGCACCCAAAGTTTCATAGCGACGACCCAAATGCTGTGTCCCTGATGAAGAGAGTGAAGAAAGCGAAAACACCGAATAACCACTTATCAAATCGAAGACATGGCTCCTTATTTCGAGATGGAGATCAACCAATTCTGTGTCCATCCCTTTCTTCAGATAACACCCGACCGCGCACTTTTGATGAAAATGCACCAGGTTTTGGCCAGTTGTACCAATCATTTCGGTCTCAGATCGCTGATCGAGCAACGTATGTGCTTATCCGTCTTCCACCGGGGTCGCATTTCGTCAGCTCAGACGAAAGTGACGATGACAGTTCGGATGACCCAAGCGCGCCACCGGCCGTACCTTCTAGTGGCTTTTACCATATGACTTCAGATCATAATAGGACAACCTTGGATCAACAAAACCAACAGGAACAAATCGATCAGAACTTTGGTTCAATCTTCGAGGAGGATGATGATGATGATTTCGAGCCCGTACCCTTGTCAGCGCACGCTTCATCGCAGAACACACTTGATCATTCCGAAGATGAGGCATTGCTAAATGCAATGGAACCAAGAAGCATCGAGGAGATGAAAGAAAAACCAGACGATTTGAATACTTTTTACAACATCCTACCAGTGTTTCCAAAGCCAAGGTATCAAGCGTTGTATGACTATTCATCTCAGTTCTCTTTGCCCGCTCTTTTCTACTTCACGGATATTTCATCATTTGGAATGTGCTGGGCAATCTTTCTCATTGTTGGGCATACCATACAATCCTTATATACTGACTTTGGAGCAAAAACAGGAATTTTGGTTTTGAGTCCGGAGATCAGCATGCTGAAGCATATTTTCATGGACATTATGTGGACCCATTCTCTCCTCTCGGCCATGATATTGGTTCCAGATTACTTTGGATCATCAAGTGTTATAGTGGCCTTTATCTTTGCCAGCGGACAACCGCTCTCCCTTGTTATTTGTCTCAAGACGCACTATCGCATGAAAAGCCAAAAGGTTGTGCCTTTTGTTCATGGAGAATGGTGGATGGCAGATATCGTGCGATTGATCCTTTCGGGGGACTTGATTGCGCTTTCTTGCATTGCTCTAGGGCACTATTTTACTATTGCAAATTTGAAGGTGATTGGAGTTTTCCTTATGAACCTTTCACCATTATTCGCATGCGAATCCTACAGATTGTTGCTTTCAATTCCTACAAGATTGGAAGCTCAGAATGGTGCTAAGAAACACAAATAGATGACAATAAAAACTGAAACTTAATTTTCTCTCAGATATTACCTCCTATGGCCAATCCTTCTGTTGAAATTGCTCTCTTGGAGACCATTCATTGGAAACTCCTTGATGGAAGCAGTTCGACACGTCCGATCGGACAGACGGACAAATGTCCGTTTGGTCCGTTTTATTCGGGGGATTCCTATGAGTCGGTTTTTGCAGGGAATCTGAAAACATGGAATTGTGGGCTTGGACTATCAAACGTCTGAGCGCCACGAAAATCCCATACTGAATCCTGCGGGAGTTCGGTACGTGGGTTTTGTACCGGCCTTTCTGGATTGCAAACATCCAGTAAAGGTTTGGGAAATTTGAGTTTTCGTGCAAGGCTTTTGCTTTGCCCATTCCATGTAGATAACAAGTCTTTTAGAATAGTTATTTCCTGTAGAGATGATTATTTCCTATTAGGCGGATCGGAGATCGCTATGGTCGGTGCCTCTGCATGACAACTTGATGGGTCGCATGTTGGCACGGCTGGTTGGCAATGATGGCTTCATGGGCCACAAAGTTGTCAATCGGTTTGGACGACGACAAGCCTGTCGCTTGTCTGATGTCCGCCAGAACCGAAATCCAACTCCTTCAGTGCCAGTGCTTCCAGTGTAATTTTCTAAACATCAGTTACTCTGCGAAGTGGCCCATCGTCTCTCCCAGGGCAGCTTTGCTGCCTACCGTACCAGGCACACTGTACCAGATCCCTTGTGTGTACACGTGAACAGTAGGAAAGGGATGTAAGAGTATATTGGTGAATATTAGGAAAAGGATGTAAGAGTATATTTGTAAATTCGCTTTGTAGAAAAATTTACCTGTTGCATCGTGAAGCCCGATTCATTGTGTGCTTTTGTTTCCTTGACATGGCGGAGAAGTTACCTATCGGAACTCACGCCTTTGCTGACTGTCTTTGTTAGGCTTCGAAATCCTTTGCTACCGGTGCCAACTGGTGCCAAGAAAGCGTCAATGCAAATTGTTGCAGTTGATTCATCTAGTACTAACCTGCAAGTTGTAGATTTGTTCGTCCATTCCATCTGATGGTCGCCAAAATGCATTAAGATTTGACACGCTTTCCCTTTGGGAGGGATTCTTTTAAAACCAAGATGCACACAAACTTCATTTCTTATGAATTTTTGGACACACCATTTGATTAGCTTGGTGTCATCATCTAGTACTTTTGGCTTTGTGTACCTTGGCAGAGTAACATTGCGACACCACTTCGCACATCACGGGCGTTTTCCAGTTGGGCTGGTACTTCCCGTGTCAAATAGCCAGAATGTGTCGGCTCATACTTGAGACTATTGGACAGACAGATAAAGTGGTCGCGAACACGAATGAAGTCCAATCCATCAAAGATTGGATATGGCGGCGACTCGAGTCTGAAAGATGGTTTGTTGGACCTTCAATTCCGCTATTAGCAAAGCATTGTGCAATAAAATAAACTGCTCTAGCTGGACCCTGGCTCAAAAAGAGATATCCGAGTAGTGAGGCATCCAATGAAACTGCTGGACAGATCCGTGAGGTGATATTGTTGCGTTTGCGCATCAGGTAATGCTGCTCCAAAAAGTAGACAATAGTAGGAAAGTCAACCTTGGTAGACTTCCATAGGATGCTGTTTTGATCGTTGACTCCCATGCTTCATCAGTCGTACGAATGATGCCGAAAAGTGGAGCAATGGTCATGGTCATTTTGCTGTTTTCTTTATTATTTTAAAAAATAATCGTGGCATTTTTTCTCGAAAAAACCGGGCACATCAATTTTGGAGCCTCCCGCGCGCGGTCCCATGGGGTGTTTGGGTGTCAGAAATTAAAAGCAGGAGTATTATATTAAAATAAAAGGCCCTTATTCTTCGCGACTCACCCTTTTTCCGTTGAGGACGTTCGCGCGAAGGGCCAGCGGAAACGAATGAGAAAACAGATGGTGGTATTTAATGCCAGTTTTAAAATGTTCTCATTTTGCCCATGCAGTTTTTGGAAAAACGATCAATACCTCTAAGTAACAAACATACGTGTTCGGCTGCAAAATGTTGATATTAAAAAAAACATGGAAAACCATGCCAAAATACTCACTTCGAAACTTCAAATAACAAGAAAACAGAGCCACACCACAGGAGGACCGAATGAACAACGTGACAATTACCAAACCAAAAGCTGCTAAAACGGCCAGCACTCGTCTTTGTTTCCCTCAGAAGGTCTACAACGTGCTGAATCTCTGTGAAGAGAACCATCGGGAACACATTGTCTCATGGATGAACGATGGGACGGCGTTTAAAGTGCACGACTTGGAACAGTTTGAACGTGAAATGCTCCCCAAGTATTTCAACACTCAGAAGTATGCGAGCTTTACTAGAGCCTTGTGTGCCCATGGATTTGATTGTGTCAGGACGGGAAGACAAACCGGGATTTGTAAGTTGAATTTTGTTTGTCCCATCGTTAGCTTTTAATCGTAAGCTTCGTCGTATGATAAGCTTGGACTTCCGAAGGCAAATTCTCTAACAACTTCTGTCAGACTCCCACCCTAAGTTTAATCGCAACGACCCTTATGCTCCTTCGATGATAAAGAGAGTGAAGAAAGCGAACAATACAAAGGCACTGAACAAGCTATCAAATCGAAGCAATGGCTTATCGTCGCGAGACGGAGGGCGATCATTTGTGTTTCCATCGCTTCTGAATAATACTCAAACGCTCATGGATGAAGATGCGAATGCATCAGGTTTTGCTCAGCTATACCAAACGGTTCGGTCTCAAATAGCGGATCGAACAACAAATGCGCTCATACGCCTTCCACCTGGGTCACAATACGTCACTTCGGACGAACAAAGTGACGATGATAGTACGGGTCGACAATCGCCATACAATCCGATACCCAATTCGCACTCATCAGGCCGCATCCATCTTGCTGCAATCGCCGAGAGGACAGATGATCCCAACCTGGTTACTCAGAACTTTGTGCCGACCATGGACAGTCCTACAAGGGCTAATCTGATTTGGGACGAGCCAGAGCAACATGAGCAAATCGCTCACAACAACTGTTCGGTCTTCGGCAATAATGAACCATCAATCCCCTTGTCATCAGAGCTCAGACTTCCTGCAGAGTCGCAAATCCTTGGCGACTGCGATATAGCACAAGATGAAGATGATTTTGAGCCGATACCCTGGTCCCCAGAGCATACCCCATTGCAAAATGGTTGCGAACACAGCCATCCCGACCAAGACATATTGCTTTCCTGTTGGGAGCCAAGAGGCATTCAGGAAATGACTGAAGAGTCAAATGAATTGAATTCATGGTATGATGCTATGCCAATCATTCCAAAATCAAGGTACCAAGCGCTGTACGACTTTTCATCTCCGGTCGCTTTACCTGCTCTTTTCCACTACATGGATATTTCAACATTTGGAATGTGCTGGGCAATGTTCCTCATTGTTGGGCATACCATTCAAGCCTTGTTTACTGCCTTTGGACCAAACACGCAAGACTTGGTCTTGAGTCCAAAGATCAGTATGCTGAAGCATATTTTCATGGACATCATGTGGATGCATTCTCTCCTCTCGGCTATGGTATTGGTTCCAGAATACTTTGGATCATCGAGCGTTATGCTGGCGATAGCCTTTATCAGCACCCAACCGCCCAACCTTGCGACTAGTCTAAAGACGCACTATCACATGAATAGCCAGAAGGGCGTGCCTTTTGTCCATGGAGAATGGTGGATTGCAGACATCGTGAGATTGATCTTCTTGGGATACCTGATTGCGATTCTCTGCATTTGCATAGGGCACTGTTTTACTATCGCGAATCTGAAGCTGATTGGAATCTTCATACTGAACTTGACACCGTTATTTACTTGTGAATCCTACAGAATGCTGCTTTCGATTCCCGCAAGATTGGAAGGTCGGCATGGCGACAAGAAATACAAATAGTTGACTATTAGTACAATTTTCATCCTCCCCACCAGATATTGCTCGAAGAATGATTCGCATACTCGTACTGGTTTGGTCCATTCATTCACTCATGCAAATTGCTCCGCTGCCGTAGCATCATCGTTTTCGGTGTAACTTTTTGGACATATCTGTGATCAGTTTCATCTTCCCAGATAGGAGTAAAATTTCGAGAGAAAAGTGAGGGCGATTGCTGGTCGTGTTGGAGACAGAGAATTTTGGCATCCCGTTCCGATACTGTAGTTGCCTCTAAAAAGCTAATACAGCACTGGATGGGACCAGTACGAACCAAACGCTCGGCTGAAAAGCTCCGCATCTGGAAAAAGGATCATCAGTTCTTAAGTGTTGCAAAGCTCTCAGTGTCTGATCAGGGGAGTGCGTCCAGAATCTTATATAAATGATGACGCGTGTTTATTCCCAAAGAAGAACGATTCACGTTCTTGGAACATTGAACCTCGTGAAGTCGAAAATTTCGAACTGACGTGAAATCAGCCATGTTGCTTTCATCACAAAACCAGAAAAACATAATATGAAAGAGATAAGAATGGCAGAGATCAAACCAAAAGCTAATGAAGCGGCAACCAGTCGTATTTCCTTTCCTCAGAGAGTCTACAACGTATTGAAAGTCTGCGAAGATAATCATCAGGAACACGTCGTCTCATGGATGAACGATGGCACAGCGTTTAAAGTACACGATACAGAAGAATTTGAACGTGAATTGCTTCCCAAGTATTTCAACACGCAGAAATATGCTAGTTTCACTCGAGCGTTGTGTTCCCATGGATTTGGCTGTGTCAGAACGGGAAGGCAAACTGGGATTTGTAAGTTGAAAACATATACCATTATCCTCAGGTCTTCGATCTTCAAATGACATATTCTAACAACTTGCAGACTCCCACCCTAAGTTCAATCGCAATGACCCCGAGGCGGTGTGTCTGATGAAAAGAGTGAAGAAAGCGAGTTATTCGAAAGCATGGAAAAGGCGCGAACCATCCAGTCTAATCGCCACTCCGTACTCAGGCTCCTTCCACCACCATCATCTTGCTTCAATAAGCTCCGAAAGGATGGATGATCCCAAGTTAATGATTGAGAATTTTGTGCCGATCATTGATGGTCATGCAGCATCTATACCCTCGTGTTATATGAGAAAGCGGTCTGATCAACTGACTGGGGACCAACAAGAGCGACATGAGCAAATCGCTCAGAACTATGGTTTGGTCTGTCTTGGTGATAATGAAACACCAATCCCCGTGTCACCAAATTTCAATCTTTATGCAGAACTACAAGAAGTCCTTGACAATAACGATGATTTTGAGCCGATAACCTGGTCCTCTGAGCATATTGCTCTCTTGTTGGGAGCAATGTGCGGAGATGAATGAAAAATCAGATGATTTGAATTCAGTGTAGCTGCAATGCTGTGAAGGCAATCATTCCAACTCAAATCCACCAAAAGCGTTGTGCGACAATTCATCCCTATTCATTTTATCTGGTATATCCTACTTTAACTTAATTTTGCTATCTTTCACGTTGTTGGACTTGCGACTGGTCCCAAGACACGCTATCACGTGAATTGGCAAAGCGATTCTCTGCATTTGCCTTGGGCATTATTCTGACATTGGAAACCTGAAACCACTGTTCATATATGAATCCTACAGAGTGATGCTTTCGATTCCTGCAAGATTGGACTATAAGAGTGGCTGGTAGCTACGGTGCTACTGTAGGGGGATGAAATTAACGCAATTAATCCATCATTATTCCTATGACGACCACACTCAGGCTTTCTTGCGAATATCATCCATGTAGAAGAATTGGTAAACAAGAATTTGCGGTGTTCTGCTCGTTCTCACAGCCCAATGGACCACCAGTAGTGGTAACACAGGCTTGAAGACGTGGAGTTGATTGTTGGAAACAAAATGCGAACTTTCGGACGCAAAATTCGACACGTGCGCTGCTCTTTCTGCTTCAATACCGTGTGTAAAATTCGTCAATTCCAAATGTGATTAAAAATACCTAGTCTCGGCCTACTCCTATAGATAGTTTCCGCAATATAAATCCTGCTTCACAAGTTCATGCAAGGGAACAAGGGGAACAGAAGCTACCATTCCCGAAAAGCTTGACCAGACGCTTTTTCCTCTAGAATTGTGGAAGGAAACAAGCAGAGCAAAATTCATCCAACTCATCAATACATACATCGAGTATGATGAAAGAGTTTCCTTGTGGCCAGATGCCATCACCGAGGGTATCAATGGAAAACTATAGGCAGCCATTCGATCCAGCAATCTTTTCTTTCCCACAGCAGCTCTTCCTCCTGTTACAGATCGCTGAAAACTCTCATCAGGAAGATACCATTTCGTGGGCCCAAGATGGAAAATCGTTTACAGTACATGATCCGAACGAGTTTGAGAAAAAAATGCTTGTCAAATACTTTCAAATGAAGAAGTATGCAAGTTTCACAAGGCAGCTTTGTGCCTATGGATTCTCATGCGTCCGACAAGGCCGAAAACCGGGACGATGTAAGAAATCGAGCAACTGAGTCGCAGTGATATCATATGTTTCAACTTTCACTCAGCATGTCTTTTACCTCCAGATTATCACCCTATCTTCGCCCGTGATGACTATAATGCTTGTAATAGTATCACGAGAGGGTCAGGCAAGGCATATCTCAAACAGTCGTTCACATACACTGGTGATAGGCCGAGTTCCATTGTTCGAATGGAGAATGGCAACTTTCCAAGCACTAACTTTTCTCTGATGGAAGATCACAGTTATAATTTCAAGATGGGAAACTTGACACCAGCATCTTATTTCTTGCAGCCTATATCAGCTCCTTCTGGAACAATGAGAGCCGTTCAGGAGCTGAAACATAAGCGTGAGAGAGAAAAGACGATTCATGCTTGTTATGCAAGGGAACGGGCTATGTCAGAGCTATCTGATGACGACGAAGCAAGCAATCCTGTTGCAAAAAGTCCTTCATTCAGTCCATCTCGATATGGATTGAATCCAAGTGCTCGCCACAGCGACCATCACGGCCAAAAGTATGGCTCTCATCATGTCCGATCACAAATTCTGCCCAACGAAAACGAATCTTGCCGAGCTTCCCCCCAAACAAGGCACCATGAAGGTTCATCAGATGATGCTTCATCATCATCATCGTTGGAACCACGAACCATTCAAGATATGATAGAGGAACCAGAACTTTATTGGGCGAAGAGGAAGAAAGGATCATGAGCCGTATTGCCACGCACTAACACGATGATTCCTTGAACACGATAGAAGACTCGACTCCTTCGAGACAGTCGATACCCTACTTGTAGCACCGTAAAATTGGGGCATGATATCGACAAAGCTACGCGATCGGTGGATGCAAAGATGATACCATAACGAGTCCAAAGAACATAGTCCAAAGAAAATATTCATTTCTGAAAGATCGAACTGATGGTTCACACCACGGTATATCGATTAAACTGCAAAGGCTCAAGGACAAGTCATAGGATACAACAGCAAGGTAATTTATTCCAAATCAAGATATATTGGATACCTCCAACGGTCGAGGTAGTATTGTGCATAAACAGCAAGATATACATTAGAGGAATTCATCAAGATTTCATTCTTTCCTTTCCTCGGAATCTGAGAATGTAGCTGGATTAGAATACGTGGCAAGGGATGGTGCTCGATCGATAATCTTCCTGGATGCTTTGTTCCCGGCTTCTGTGCAAAGATATTTCGACATGTCAACCCCTAACTCCTTGAGATTGCCCAAGAATTCCAAGACAAGTGCATCAGAAGCCTTCAAAGAGCCAAGGTTCTCCTGCTTTCTAATCTTCGTCATTTCTTGTTCCTGAGTCAAAGCTGACACCTTCTGTACATGCAGTTCCTCTGCCAAATCAGCCTGCATCTTTGCCTCCTTGCGAGATAGTTCGATTTCATTCTCCATTTTCTTACGGCGTTCTTCGAGTTCAAGCTCTTGGAATTTGATCTCACTTTCTTTGTTGGCAACTTGTGCATTCATTCGCATTTCTCGCTCATGTTCCGTGGCTAGCTGTTTCTGCATTCGGCTTCCAGGAGTGACTTCAAGTACTTGAATTGAATCGATGGAGAACCCGATAGCTTCACCAGTTCCCATTAAATTTGGAAAAGATTTCGAACCCGACATCTTGTATGTAACCTTAGTTTGAATAGATCTAAAGTCGGCTGCGGATTTCACTGTCGGGAGGTCTTCAGAAAGGAGATCTTGAATATCTCCCATTAGCGCACCGCAAATGAAAGCGCATGGGTCGCTGTGCATTGTGACCTTATCAATGGAATCGATCGTGTATGTGATGGCCAGTGAGGCATGAACCTTTGCCGATCCGCTCCCAATTGGTACCTTTACACTCCATACTCGTTTGGTATGAAGCTGAATCTTTTTGAATCTAGAAATATCCCCAGATCCATAATTCAATGTGCAGCATGTTTCTTCGGGTAGGCCACTCCATGAAAATTCTTCGACAATCTCGTCTTCAGCAGGAATGAAAAGAGCGGGCCCAAGAACAAATCTCTTACTCTTTTTCACGACGAGGCTCTCATCTTTCTCAACAGCCGTGCCATCTGTATTATATGCGATATCCTCGTTTTTCAGCATAGGTAGATGGCTCACCTGGATAACCTCGTTCTCCTTCAGCTTGATGCCGTCGTTGACAGAGATGGTGTCATGGAAACTTGGATTCAAATACATCTGAACAGGACCTTGAAGGTGTTCCACTGTTCCGTCCCGATGTTGGATCTTGAGATATTGATCCGCTTCTGCTTTGAAGCGCGTCAGAAACCGAATGGTAGAATAGAACATAAGGATACGCTTCGGTCCGACGATCTGCGAGTGTTCTCCAGAACGATTCCAGATAGCTGCAGCTTCTCCATCTTTAATAGTTCTACCACCGATGCGGACAAATTTTGTGTATCCACCTGATCGAAATGCAACACCCATTTTGACTTTCTTTGGTCTAGTCTGATGCTTTTGCTTCTTTGATTTTGTGACATGATGGGTATGTCGTTGTCAAGACGTGCCTTCTATCCTGATACGTATCTTTTTGGTTCATGAAGCAAATCACATGATGGTTGAGACCTGCAAAATTGATCGTGGATAAAGAACTACTTCAGAACCCAAAAGACCAAACCACGTCAGTTGCAGTTGATATATA